TTCTGGGCTATTGCCCCAGTATCGTATCGAACCTATGTGCCAAATTACAGCTTTTTTATTATTTGTTTTCGCGGATAAAATCCGTAATTCCAACACCAGCTACATTGCGCTTTTGGACAATGAAAGGTGGCTTGGTGCCCTCTTGTTTGCAAATTTGAACCACCTTCCTCAGCTGCAAATCAATTTTATTGAACCCAGAAAGTTAACAAAGAAAAACCTTAAGCAGTGTAACTCGCATGTTCCAGGGTAATCATTTTTTCACGAATCATCATATTCATTAGAGTATTCATTTGAAAACGGAACAGAGTGTGATGCGGATAAAAAGACATATGAGTCACAAAGCCCCTGTTTACCAAAAAGGAAATGCCCCATATCTCACCAGTAGGGAAACAGCCCACTCGACTCACGCTCTCTTTCTCTCGCTCTAACGCAAACTTCCAATCAACAATTAAAGAATTACATCAGGCAAAGAGTGCGCCTTGCAAAAGATATTACTCCTCCCCAAAAATCTATATTCTCTCTACAAATTCGAACTTTTACACACACCGCCGGCGCATAATCCAGATCAATAAATAGTTGGACTACCTTAAAAGTCAATTTTGACTCGCAGCAAGTACGAAGCAAAGTCCTGCTACTATTTGTGACGGCCAGCCGACGACACCAGTAGTCTAATGCCGCACCGCCTCCTACGCAGTATAGCTCCTGCGCCATGAATGCAACACTTCACCGTTTGCAACACCCTCTAGCTGGACACAGACGCATTGCTCCATACATGAGTTTCTCATGTGTTCGCTCCTCTGCGGTCTGGTGGTGTGTGTTATCTTATTCTGATGACTGATCTATATGTGAGTCCACTCTCCCGACACTGTGCTCTGATATGATTTATCTCTTTACCTGTCCTATCTCTCATTAAGCAAAGATTATAACAGACATGAGATCTTTACCTCCGCTTGTGTGTGTGATTATGAGTGTGTGTGTGTCCCTGATCTCTTCAGACATAGAATATCGCTGATATGGTAGGAGTCCGTGCCCCATATATATATACTAAACAATAGACAAACAATACCATGACTATGACTGCTCTCCGTGTGTGATATACATACATACATTCTCTCATGTCGTGTGGACTTCCATCTCCTCATTTATTCCGCAATGTATTAAAAATATTGTCGAGCATGACACAAGCATCGCCCTCACTTCATGACTACGACCGTGATACCTCTCGTGCGCATGATCTCACTCAATGTGCTCAATAGCCCCTTTCCTAGCAACCATTCCTCACCACCACAACTACTGACAAGGCACTTCTATAATGGCGATTAGATTCATGAGTCACTTATATGTGCGCGTCTCGCACTACACTAGCACCCTGCCATATATATTCACCTCCCATACACCTAGTGTCTTTATATCATGCTATAATCTGGCATTTACCACCATACACGTCATTGCTCAGATATCTGCCTTACATATTTACCTCACCAGTCGCCTGCGCGTCACTCCGCCTGTATCCTGTGCTCGCGACGTGACCGGTATATACTATGCAGACAGCGACAACATAGAAATGGCGGCTCACTTATGTAGACCTACCTACGCTCGTTTCATAATAAATTGCAGAATATGCCTCTTGAGATTTTGCAGCCTCGATGTGATCTCCACCGTCCTGGTGTGTCCTCCAATTCCACGTGGTGTGATGCTACGTCCCATCCCTTTTACTAGCCGATCGCTTCATAACTCTTAAGCTCATTCCTACTCAGATGGCTACTACACGCATATACTCATATCACATTACACTTAGCGAGACCATCAGCCGACATCGGACCGCTCTCTTCCATTCCTCTTTTTCGTCAGTCTCCGTACGACTGGGGGCGGTCTTCTTCTCACCGGCATCTCTTCATAGCTTGCTCACGGCCATCACTCTGTTCAGTGCTCTGCGACTACGGTGCTCTCGAGTGGCTCACTATATACTAGCCAATTCTCTCTCTCGTCATGATCTAGAAGGATCGTGGCGCATCTCTCGCCTTGTGGCATATAGTATCGCCTATCTCCGTTACACCATACTGATTACCTCTTCCTACCAGAAGACTGATTGTGGACGATCAAAAAACTGATATCCAGTGACTGCATACCGAAGTTTGCAAGAAAAGCATCACCCAAGGGCAATGATAATTTCCAACAGGGAATTTGGTCCAATGTTTTACATTTAAATACTAGCAAGGAACACCTGTTGTGTAAGAAGGAAAGAACCCGCAGGATAGCTGTCATCTAACCACAGATTACTCGCTGTTTCGTGCTTGATCATCCTGGCGCGCTCTTCTTTATATATCTAACTTAAAAGGAAATGTCTCACAGGAATATCCCTACGTAAGTGTGCTCACTCAGCGCGTCACACTCAGCTTCTGCAACTGCATCGATCTCAATGCAATGTCGGCGAGATTATATATGTAACTTTTCCTCAAAATGATATAAATTTTAGCAAATATACTAATTTTTCGCCCCGGCATACAGGCTTCATCAGAGTTTTCCTTCTGGTTTCTCGTCTCGTTGTAATGTGTATCCTGTAGTATCTTTCAAGGAAAAAACTAGCCTGCAGTTGCAGACCATCACCTTACACTGGACGGAGGCACAGAAATATGCACCACGGCTTCCAACCAAAGTTCAAAAGTTTGGGGGGCTGGCGGGCGGATATTTTAGAAAGACTACACATAAATGCTTTTGCAATAACTGGCTAAAATTTAGATTGAGTAAGGCAGCAAGTTAAATTTACCCGTACATTTGAACATAACCATCCAGCAGCTTTTTGGTGTTCCCTCTTGGAACATCATTCAGAACTAATTCCTAACAACACCAGCTCTACTAAACATGTCGACGTGTGTCCCTCTCTGTAATTTTTCCCTCTCTCATATCATTATCGTGCTGTGACAAACTAGCATATTACCTCATTCGGTTAAATGTATATTCCCTAGGAGCTTCTGAATCTCTGCACGTCAGCCCAAGAGTGTGTGATACAGTTCCTCGTTATCATCTTATCGTATTCCTCTATATATGGCAGATTACAGTTATATACCCATAGGTGAGATTCGCCGTCGTCCTACTGGGTATTGTGTGCCTCATACCCGTATGCCTCATCCCACCAAATGACCACGAGTGTAGAATTCCCGGTGATAAGGGTGTACACCTTCTGCTCATATCCTCCTCCGTCTACCTCGCGATGAATGTTAACCACCACGCGGCGTCACTCCGTGCTCTCACCTGAATACACTCACTACATCTCCGATGACAATTCTTTCGACTAAGATCTTACGTATAGTATAATACCATCTCACAAGATACGTAAACCCTATGCCGTCAGCCTGTGCTACCTCACAATCTCCGCCTCACTCTTATAATATGTGTGTGCTCGGCATTACTGTGTAGAACTTTATACTCATAGAAAATGGGGGGGAATGACGTTAATTGATGATGATTGCTGCTATCAACGATACAAGATTGATGATTAGGCTTTCGCGTCTCTACACCTGTCTCTACCTCTACCTCAATAATGCTATATCACATACGTATCCTAGAATCATCTCTGATCATAGCGCTCGTATTAAGACTGCAACGAAGCTCGCTCGCCGCTCGACTTGTCCCCTCACATAGTGTGTGTGTGGAATGCTCTCATACCTGTTACGTGTGGTCGATTACAATATGACTCTCTCTTTCACCGCATGCACTCTCTATATAGTGAATCGTCTCGTCATCGTCTCGGCTTACTCAAGTGAGACTTCGCAAAAAGTGATACACAATCAACACTTTGCATAAATTATCTGGATGATTCATATATAATCTCAATTTATTCTCCTCCTCTTACGCAAACAATACATAATCATTTTTTGTCAATGTAAAGATGTTTGGAGTGTTCTATTCTGTTGGGATGTATAATGGGAAACAGAGCATACGTGGCTCACGGCCCCCCCCCCCCCCCACTTTTTTGCGAAGCAAGTACTTTTAAAACTGCAATAAAAGGGGTAAGAAGCCTTGGCCCCCTACATTTTAGCATTGGACCCCACTTTAAAATTCGTGGCGCGGGCCCTGCAATAGTTACTTCTTTGTTTGATGGGTTACCGCTTTTACCACTCTTGCAAACGTTAAGGTATCATATCGTTTTATTCATCAACGACTCTTCAAACTGCAATACAAATAACTTGACAAACCGTAGGAAACTTTCCCAACCTCTGATAGTTTGGCCCTTGGCATAACGCTTTTTTCTAGGGTCAATGCGGTTGGCAGAAAACCACGATAAACTGTCTGGTTTCGTAGGCACTTACGATATAACGGCAAGAATTTACAAATGAAACAATGCAACATATTCTAACGCAGACATTACATTCTTACTCCCAAAACAGTGAGAATAATAGCGCGGAGATTTCCGTGCATGATAAGCTAACGGGTTTTCTTTCTGTCTGTATATAGAAAAAGCAGCCCGGTCACCTTTTGCGACATTAAACCATGAAGAAACGTTGCCTTGAGGAAAGTCCTACAATAATGCTTAATGAACGAGGGTTAAAGCTAAAAGCAACTGCAGAATCCTAAAGGAGAAATTAGCTATGACATTTAGCTAGTTTAAATCTCAGAGAAAAAAAAGGGGCAATTATTGCAAAGGCCGAAATCAATTTTCAAATCTGGTTGCCTAAAGATATGCGATTGCGTGTAAAACAAAGGCAAAAGAAAATCACAACGACCTATTAGATACAACAGCTTGAAAGATATGTAGCTGACAAATTCAATTTCTTTAAATCTTCGCATAAAATAATGGAATGCAGATAATTTCAAATAGGATCTTACAAGTTTCGCTGCATGTTCCAAAATGCACTGTTTCAAACCCTAGCATATTTCTAAGTTGTCAGAACCGCATAAAGTTAACCGAATTAAAATTTGCACTTTTAAAATTCATCCCGTCATTGCATTAAAACTAACCAATGAAGAAAAAATCTTATAGATGATGCGCTATAACTCACCAGTTTTGCTCGGCCCATACTTCAAGTGAATTGATTTTCTCCATCAGCGCGTCGAGGCTTGAGGATGTTAGGTCTTTACAAGTCATCATCTTCTCAATGGTTTGAGAAAGTCCGCTCAACTCACCAAGCATCATGGAAACGAGTATGCACCAGTCAATACAACGTGACTCCACGAACACTTTAAGCAAATGTCTAGAACAACGCAACAGTGCGTCATATAAAGAATCTCCTATGATCCTTTGCGAACCCGATCTTGCCCGATAAGGAGAACTTACAATTTAACTCATTAAGGACCCGCCGTCTTACAGCTATAACTAACCGCAACCGTACCCGCAAAGAATTTTAAAGCCTACATTTTCAATAGAATCATAGATTCTTTAGGGGCTGTCGTCACACTAAGGCGGGAATAGTCACTGGCCTTATGATAAACCCGACAAACTGGAGTGGAAGAAAATGTTTATGGCATAAGCAGAAATTGTCCCTAGAAAACAAGGAATGACTAAAAAGGGGGTAGCATTTATGCAAAGATATATAAAGTAAAATCGCGTTTTTTCAATCCAGTGCGATTAACCAAAGATAATTGAACTTAGCAAGGTTTAGGACAGACTAGATCTGCTAACAAATGGTTTCTCTTATCTGTGTAAATAATATAAAGGTTGTATCTGGTATGGCATTCGTAAAGGAGAATATCGATTGAATGACCGAACTCAGAAAAAAACAAAACATATTTTGATTCTTCAATGGGGATGTTGATTTTTGTGGCAATGATTTGAAAAACAAGATTGAATGAGCCATGGGAGACAAAATGTTGAAAATGATTGACTTTGGAAGCTGAAAGTAGCTAATTCCGATCGAGACAAGAGGGGAGAATGCCAAGACCATCCAACTCCAAAAACCGAGAGCTGTACCACCAAAGGGTATCCCCAACTTATCAAATCACAACGCTAAAGAACGCAAGAGTAACCAAATACAGATTTATAAATATTTTGCATTGAAGTGGTGACATCCTTGATTATGCTTCAAAAGTTAGAAAAACCATATTAAGGCTTAATTAAAGTAAAATTAGGAACGGTAGCTATGAGAAAAAGCAGCCTACGTAGAGAAACTATACCACGGAGCAGAATTTATGCATTCGATATCGTATAAAAGTTTACCTTAGCTGTCGCTCACACTGTTTGGAGCCCAAAGGTGTCTTGTTTTCAAGCTCCATCATGTTAGGTGGTTCCGTGACCCATGAACACCCATCGACACTCTCCAGCTCGTAATCCAATGACTGTGCCACAGAACTTGTCTCTGACATTTCAATGCCACCAGCCATACCCTCGGACTGTTCGACTAGGGAAAAATGCATGGTTAATGAACATGGCAAACGATAGGCTGGAGACATAACTATGGTGTTGCTTTCATTTGTCATTTCGTAATTCTTGGTAGCTTTTTGTTCCTTACACCATAATTTCAATTAACGAAGTAAAATTAGAGTATGCAACTGTGTTTTTGCTCATACCCCTAACATAAGATAAGGAAAGCGGCCTCAAGCAAACAAGGAAATTTACTGATATCATCATTTTAAGCACCTTTGGCTAGCCACTGTGAACTAGAAGACAGTACTCTTAACAACAGGCACATTGTAGCATGTTTTTATACAGTAATGTTTGTATGTTAAAATACAGTAAAACGGTATATATTTTTGATAGGTTTTATATCATGATGCTTTTACATACGCGCAGTGCTTAAATTATATAATGCAATTACTTTTTAACGGCTTAGGGTGCAGGGCAACCATTCATAAACGAATGAAACCTTAATAAGGAGAGACGATGCATAGGTAATGATTTATAAGGCAAGGTATCGGTGATGCATTAAATGGAAAATAATCGCTTAATTTTCTACGAGTCCTTGCCCTAGCATATTTGTTTAAGCATTATTATGCAGCACGAGTCACGCTATGATGTATGCGTTTTCCCCTCCCGTTTCTCCTTCGGTTTTATCCCGTTACATACTTCGATTATGTGACAGGTGTATCAGTCTGATTGGCGGGGTAAAAAACCAAGGCAGATGCACCAAAAGCCAAAAATGTTTTTCCTGAGATTAGGGTTTCGTTTAGCATAACTAAGGATCCTCGCGTAGGAATTAATGGTTCCAATAGGACAATCGCTAATCTGCTATGGAATGATCTTCGTGACAGCATCGGATCGACTTGCCACCCTCATAATCGGATATTGCTTGCTAATACAGTAACAATCTTTACTTTTCACAAACAAGAGATGCGATTTACAACATAAATCGCCCTCAAATCGCCCTCATTAAGGCGGCCTGCTAGCAGAGAGGTGCTTCATTTTGAGACAAAAGTATCACGGTAGGTGACAGTGACCTGGGAAATAGGCGAGCACATTTTATCTGCTTATGAAATCAAAGCAGACCGAGATGCATCATCTAAGCTAATAAAGAGATTTCGTTTTGTAATTCAGCTTTTTGTAAATAAAAGCAAATGTCTGGTAAGAGGAAGAGATTTACTGAGGCAAGTGTCTGTGGATTAATCAATGGTATGAGATTTGTTGCAAAGGGTGGTATTAGATGACACAGGTATTAGAAAAGAGTTGAGGAATTTTGCTAAAGCAGGAAGTGTCTTTTGGTATAGTCACTGGTAGAATGTATGTTGCAAAGGGTGGTATTAGATGGCACAGGTATTAGAAAAGAGTTGAGGAATTTTGCCAAAGCAGGAAGTGTCTTTTGATATAGTCACTGGTAGAAGGTATGTTGCAAAGGGTGGTATTAGATGGCACAGGTATTAGAAAAGAGTTGAGGAATTTTGCTAAAGCAGGAAGTGTCTTTTGATATAGTCACTGGTAGAAGGTATGTTGCAAAGGGTGGTATTAGATGGCACAGGTATTAGAAAAGAGTTGAGGAATTTTGCTAAAGCAGGAAGTGTCTTTTGATATAGTCACTGGTAGAAGGTATGTTGCAAAGGGTGGTATTAGATGGCACAGGTATTAGAAAAGAGTTGAGGAATTTTGCTAAAGCAGGAAGTGTCTTTTGATATAGTCACTGGTAGAAGGTATGTTGCAAAGGGTGGTATTAGATGGCACAGGTATTAGAAAAGAGTTGAGGAATTTTGCTAAAGCAGGAAGTGTCTTTTGATATAGTCACTGGTAGAAGGTATGTTGCAAAGGGTGGTATTAGATGGCACAGGTATTAGAAAAGAGTTGAGGAATTTTGCTAAAGCAGGAAGTGTCTTTTGATATAGTCACTGGTAGAAGGTATGTTGCAAAGGGTGGTATTAGATGGCACAGGTATTAGAAAAGAGTTGAGGAATTTTGCTAAAGCAGGAAGTGTCTTTTGATATAGTCACTGGTAGAAGGTATGTTGCAAAGGGTGGTATTAGATGGCACAGGTATTAGAAAAGAGTTGAGGAATTTTGCTAAAGCAGGAAGTGTCTTTTGATATAGTCACTGGTAGAAGGTATGTTGCAAAGGGTGGTATTAGATGGCACAGGTATTAGAAAAGAGTTGAGGAATTTTGCTAAAGCAGGAAGTGTCTTTTGATATAGTCACTGGTAGAAGGTATGTTGCAAAGGGTGGTATTAGATGGCACAGGTATTAAAAAAGAATTAAAGAAATTCTCCAAAGAAGGTAGGATTTGGCGAGATTTTATGCACAACGCAAATTTCGGTCACTTCGATTTCAGAAATTTAATAGCTTATTATTGTATTACAAAAGTAGATGGAAAAACATTTTTGATAAGGTGACAGCAAATCTTGTCTTTAAAATAGACATTAAAAGGGCAGAGAACTTACAATAAATGCTGGGCAAATGTTTGAAACTTTGCGATATTTACTTGCTTTATGTAAATATCGCCAACATGGAGAAAAAAAGTTATTTCTCGAACCTCTGATGGAAGCCAACTTTGCTTGAATTTCGTCAGCAATGTCGTCATTTTCTGTAGAGTTATTCAGTAGAGGCGGAGTCTGTGTTTCTCTAGGCGTCTGGTCTGAGCTTCTGTACGCTACAAAAAATGAATATTAATGACAATCAAGCTGTATATATAAAGGTTGTTAAGTATAGAATCAATTCAATCCAGTCCAATCCTATTCAATCCAATCCAGTCCCACCTAATCCAATTCAACTGAAAACATTTAAATGTGAAAACGATAGCATGAAAACGTCACGAATGATGGAAAATAAAGATCACTATTAATCAGCTTGTTGCTGAGTATTAACAGAGGCAAGTGCAAGAAAAGTTTATGAAATGAATTCATTTCAATTGTCGCTGCTTTCCATTGGGAAAACGTAAAAAACAGGGTTTAAAAAACTTAAAAAGTGGGAAAAATTCCCTTCTATTGACAGAAGATTTGTATGAGAGAATCATGTGATATGACAGTAGGATGTTCCAAGGTAGTCTATTTCATTGGCTAGAACATACGTTTTCACCAGACAGACTGATATTATATCATTATACATTCAACGGTAAGAAAAATGGAACGTCTGATTCAATACATTCTACATTGTTGAGGCTGATATTCAACCAGTTAAGAAGGCTCGTGCTTTAGTGTCGTATGGCCTTCGATTGATCAAGAAAGATTTGAAGAAAGTGAACAGCCCCCAGGGTCGGAAAGTTTGTTCATATAAAACTATAAAACTAAGACAATTAAAAAGCTTTAAATGTTCTATTCTGTCACGAGTGGAAAGGCCTTTCGATAGAATTTAAACCCATCACTTGGAAAGTTTCTGAATTCATGACAATGACCAAATCAAAGTAAAAGCACTGGATGTGGACTCTTATGGTTGATGATCTTGCCACTAGCTAAATACGACGAAAGATGGGAAAGCGTACATTCATTTCTATGAATCAGAGTCATCCTGACAGATTAGCCAAAGATAAGGATTATTAAGGGCAAATAACAGTTATTTTAGATACAAAACTCACGGATAATCCCACCTTTATCATAAGAAATATGACAGGCAATCCGCTACTATGGCAAACAATCCTCCAAAATATTGTTGGAATTTTGGAAATAGTAATAAAGTATAATAGGCTAAATGAACAGGATTATGTGTCGTATTTTCGATATATTATTCTAAGGGTTACTAAAATACATTTCAAGAATAGATGAAATGTTTTCCATTTGCAATATGATGTTACTCCTAGTTAGTTGTTTGACCTGCGTCGCAACTGCATTAGTCAAATAGACTTTGAACACAAATAGGGAACGTTGGACATCCATTAAAGTTTTTAACTTCTGTATAATTTAGGACGCAACGGAAGTTATTAAAGGGTGAAGTGGGAATGTTGATAGAAACAATAAGCGCCTAGAAATGTTTGCATTCCTTGCGTGTACAACAACGATGTGCGCCTACTCTCTCAACAGAAACGAATTTGCCGAACAATAGAGAGCATACAATAGAGAGAATTAATTCTAGTAGCCGACATGAAACGGCAACAAAGTGTACGTATGTAGCGAATCATTTGAAGGTTTCCTGAGCTTTGTATTTGTCTACTAAGCCCAACATTTCACAGCAATGAACCAATATCGAGGCGTTTGTCTACCAACCAAGAGATTAGCGATCGAAGGATGTTGTTAGGAATGTGGGTTTGCGGAAGGAAGTATCATTCCTTCGCGGCTAAGGCAAGGGTATGTGTTTTAGTTGCAGAAAAAAATTCAAATGATGGATTTTTCGTCCAGTTAACCATGGTTGAAAATAGGATTTTGCGGATTAAAGGATGAAGCAGTTTGGCAAAGGCAAGCTTAAGATACGCGGCAAAAAGAGTAGATACTTTAAAGTAACGAGCTCTTAACAAGTTTTCCGTCATTGTGTTCCGGCAAATAGGATTAAAATAGTCCAACTTACAAATTTTGCTTGAATCTCTCGAAGTGGACGATACTCTCGATCCGTTGGGGGCCATTGGATAGGACCATTCAAACTGCCTGTGTAGCATTATGAGGGCATCTAACAAGTCGTCGATACGGGCTGCTCGAAACCTAGGTGAAAACAAATTTAGTATAGACGTCTCAGGTATATTGACGATGAAAGTTTTACAATCTAAAATAACCAGATAATTCAGTCAAGATTCGATGTTTTTTTGGAAAATTTGAGTCTAGGGTGTTCTTGATACGGTCCTTATTTCAACATTGATTTTTCTACAACAATATACTATCAGTTGCTTCTAAGACCACTCCATACAGTACCAGTTTGGCATACCATTGATAGCTAAAATTGCAAGTTAATTACCAGATAAAATTTATTGGCTTTGTTAACATGAGAATAAATTTTGAAAAAGCAGCATTTTTCTTTTAATCTTTATCTGAGGCTCGTCATGTTCTTACGCTGTACTCATTTTTTAGCAAATCGTGCATCGATGTTCTTGCAAAGAGTTTTTATAGACAAAAGAGTTTTAGGGATTGTAAAAGAATACGGCTTCATAGTTTGATTCGCTTTCGAATTTTTAAATTGAATTTTTAAAGTGTACTTGATGTTTTATCGGAGGGCTCCTTGAAAACCAGCTAATGGGTAAACTGCCCTTAAAGAATTAGGAAATTCATAGCAATAAAGTTATGAAATAAATCATTGTTTAAAAGCGATGACCTAGGTTGATTATGGGTAATGAATTGATTTATATTTTTCTGTTCTAATTGCTTCGTTGCCAGTTAAGATTCGGAATGCATTTGACACCAATTAGTTCAAAGTTTTTTGTGCCTCCAAAAAAAACTAGCATCATATATCTCAGTATGGCCTGTTTAAAGGATGTCAACATGATGTCAAGAGTTCAAAGGTTAGAGATGGTTGCATAGTTTAGAATAAATCAGATACCGTCTTTCTGACGTCCTAACTTCAATGTTTTTCTTGATCAAAGCCGTGTACCTCCTTCACGGCGACCGCTTTTAACAATGTGAAAGGGTGATAGATCTTCCGACATGGAACATTTGAATCTGAATAACCTAGCCCGGGAGGTTGTTAATACTAGAGAGCCGCTCAATGTTGGCTTAAAATTGAATTGAAAGTACTTGTCTTCATTTAAACAGTCAACTGAGGCTATGTTACGCTTACCTCTCTCTGGTAAACCAAGAAACCAGATCGAAATCGAGATGAGCAGAAAATCGGCCTAAATCCCTCAGTCTGAACGAGGACAGCAATTTACGGGCATGGCGAGCCAATATCAAATCTGTGAAGAACTGAAAGAAAAAACCAGTAAACCATCGATGCTGGAAGTGCAGGAGCTAGAGTTACATTGAAAGAAAAACTGACAGCGTTTTTATCATTAAAATTTCACTTTTTTACCAGAAGTTTTTTTCTGTTATATTTGCCTCCAGCTCCTTCTTTTTGATGTTTTCATACAAATGAATGAAAATCGAAAGTTGTTTTAACTTGGCGAAACTCGAGAGCCATTCTTGATATAGCGTCATCATTTTGGTTTGTGAATAATTGAAGCAAATAAAGACAAAATAGAGGAGATATAACGAAGATGATGGGTTGAAATGATGGGTTGAAATGATGGGTAATGACAGATAATGGTTATTAAATAACTTAAACAAATATCTTTTAGAAGATTTTATGACGTTAAGAAGCAATAAGTTATGGACAAAAACAAGAAGATATAGCAAATATATAAAATAAGATCAATTAGATAATTATTATGTTTAAACCTTGGGGAAAACAAGCTTACAATTTGGCAGGCAATAGGAAGCATGGAGGTCTAGGTTGGACAGATAAAACACGAAGCAATCTAATCATAACTGGGTCAATTAAATTACCTGTTCGCAAGATTCAACAGTAACAGGCCTGAAATGAACAAAATGTAATAAGTAGAGTCTATCGCTTTAGTTACATTTATCAAAAGATTTTTCATTCATACGTACATTCTGGGAAAATTAATTCTAACTGTACGATACCAGGCAACGTTTACAACAATACATATTTAGCTGGGTCCAAAAAACAATACTTGGCTACAGACACTTAATGCTCTTAGCGCTGGGAAAAGTAGAGCAAAACGGATATGGAATGAATAACCATCTTTAAAATCATCTTGATCAAATTTCCTTATCAGTAACACAATCATGAAAAGCCAATGATTTGATAAAATGGTGTTAATCTAAATATTAATCAGCATTCAAATTCGATCTATTTCAATCGATAAATTGATTAATTTTTATAGATAACACAAAAGCAATATCACCGCTAATCAATATTAAAGCTCGGTAACATTAGGAATGAAAAAAGCAATGCTATTCAATCTTTCATTGGTATGTCAGTATATATCTTCTCTTTATTCATGCAGTTTAATTAATCATTCTTTGCTGACGTCATTACCCATGATGCCTTGAATTTGGCATTGGAAATCCAGCGCTGTAGGTTTTCAACTTTCAATTACAAAGATTTACTTCCAGTTCTCAAAATTTGTGAACATACCTTGACGTAGATGAATAATCCATAATTTTTGAAAGGGACGAATTTCTATTCAAAAGACTAGGTCTCTGTACTTTTTCCTTTGGAGTAGTGCCCCTTACAGATAAAAATTGCAATTAACAAAAGAAAAATTTATCGAGTGCGGTGGGGAATATTTAGAAGGATGTCTAAAATTAATAATTACAAGTAAAATAATATATAGTATGTTGCTAGCAAAAGTTTACTTAAAATGCTCTTGTGATTGTTTTTCAGATATCTGATTCTAAGTATCCATCTCTTTTTCCATAAGAGTTTAATCTTTCAAGAAACCTGATCTTAATGCTTTGTGTACATTTATACGCCTTAACCAAGTATGACTGATTTCTGCTAATATAAAATTTAGCTTCGTTCAAAATCTAGAAAACTACCAGTCTTTTCTTTCAGACAGTACCATCTCCTCTATGGAGCCATCTCTATTAATCAATGGGGAAAAACGTTTTTCAGTAGAAATACGAGCGTGAATAGTATTGTAGAGTTATTCATTTATGCAACCATCTAGATATCCAGACAGTCAGTTTTCTACTGATTCTATGCACCTTACTTTCTTAAATATTCTATCATTCTTGCACCTTAATACCAAAGAAAAGAAACATTCTATTCCATGCTCAATCCGTATAGAAAAATAAATACTAACCCAGTATTCCCACCAGCCTTGGCCAACTGTGTTGAACTGCCACTGTTTGTGCGCGAAGGCGGTTTGTGGACAGGAACCATTACCGGCGTGACGTCACCTTCACTTTCATCAGTTTCTGACATGATCGGATGATGGAATGATTTGTGATGAGGGGTGCGAGGAGGTGAATCCGGATCGCCTTTGCCTACGATACAAGGGGTGGGCATTTAATTAACATGTTCAAATAAACATGAGGCAAACTAAGAAAAGTCAAGTAGTAACCGTCAAAACAAAGGCTTGATGTAAGAAAGAGTTAGAAATAGTAAATAGGGTTTAACCAAGTATGCATAGCAAATTGTGGCTTGGTTGACAAAGACAAGTCATTGATAGCTACCAAATAACCAGTAAGGTTTCAGCCATGATCCTTACACATAGGCATATGTCACTTATCAAGAGCATCAAAACAACTCTGTTATTTCTCATTAAACATGGCTTTTGAACCTGCTTTCAAAAAGGCATCAAACTTTTTCATTGTGCGAAGAAGCACCTCTGTCTCTATAGATCAATTTCGAAACATAAATATTGCAGGCCGTGTAAAAGCTCTCTAAATCAAGGTACAGAGATATGTTCTTATGCCTACTTCCCTACGCTCGATGTTATGGCAAACAAAGTACCAAAATGACTACAAGTTCTGCAACGGGCTCACCTATGGCGGTTAAGAATCTCACAAGGTCTTTTGCCAGCTAGAAAAGAAAGCCAACTATAACTGTAAGACTTAATAACATCAACAATAACGTATACAAATATCTGAAAGAAATATAAGATATTGAATTATTCATGAAATTAAATAACTGAGAGTCAAAAAATTCCACGCGGAAGAAAGAATTCGTCATCAACTGATAGGTAGGTAAGTAAAGTATTCAATTCACAGATTAAATTTGTAAGGGTTGTCATAACAGTGCGGACTTCCTCACCTCCCATTTGTCATTATCAAGCGAAGCTTCTAATAGCAATGTTGCATGCTGGGATAAAACAGAAAAAAAGGATGAAACCAATTAACATAGAGAAGTGGGGAGAAAACAGCCAATGGGGGAAAGCAACAGCAATCACATAGTTAAATAGGGCGGATCACCATGATAATACTTTGATCTTATGATTGGTTTACCTATATCTGACTTCTAAAAAATAATCTTGATAAACACGATGTTAAATATGCAATTATCACAAAGAAATTTAACGGATAATTTGCTTCAGTTTGTTATTGTCTCTGTTCATTATTTCGATTATTTAAGGTTCATCCGCATTGCATTTTGGCTTCGTCATCACTGATACCATAAGATAGAATCATAAATAGACAACTTCACTAATCAGGAATAGATTTGTAGCTCCTTTTAAGAGATAACCGGAAACAAGAATTTAAAATCTTGATGTTCCTAGGAATCAAATACATTGACTTTATAACTTGGCTGTCCCTGTTTAATACTGTATATAGAAGGCCAACGGGTTCCCAGGTATAAAAATGCGTATGAAAAAGCATACCAACTGATTATTCTATCTATATAGCCAAGCCAGGCGCAGACGAGAAAATATAACACATTGCTAACAGCAAATTGGACACTAAACGCGAAAGAACCAGTAAACGTGAAGTAGACAAGGCTAAAATATTGTTTAAATCCTCAATTGAACAAATAAAAGGCATTCCACCCCATAAATTTTCCTATTCAATTTCTGTTTTCTGTCTGCAATATTTTTGCATTCAACTTGAAAGTGGAAATGTGTTACTTCAATCCGTAAAAAGTTTTTTTAAACTTCGTACAATAAGTTGTATGGGTAGCCTTTCCAAAAACCTCACCTGGCGGCTCACAGAATGGTGCTCAAGGCTCTGTATAATGATAAGGTATGAAGCAGCTGTTTCTAATTTCTGGGAGTCACAGCATTCCTAGAACGAATCATAATTTTCTAGTAAAAATCCCGTTATAAAACAAAAGTGTTTGCTACTAGAAGAGAACTCGCTAAACCCTTGCTTGTGTATGAAAATAATTTTTCAAAGCCAAAAATATAGCTTGACCACATCACATCAAAATTTTCAGCTTGACCTAGCAACAGTCAATTACCAACTTGCACATAAAAATATTTCCACCTTGGTGGCACATTTCAAAAGCTAAGAATCCATATTCAAAGATCAAGACTGCAACAACAATTGATTATACTTTGTAGAAAGCAGGATGTTTAGGTCAACCCTCATCAGAAAACCACATCAAAATTCAATCAACTTGACCAGATAGTTATCATTTGCATGGCTCAGTGGTGCAAACTAGATAGGTCTTGACTTTTGAATGCAAAGGCACAAACAAAGCTTTAGTTGATTGATAGGGAAACCTAAACTCAATTACATTAATACTAAAACCATTTGCGATAAGCCAAAAAGAACATAAGCTGCAGTTTTCTCAAATGCTCTTAAAACGTTTAGTGAACTAAACACTGTTTTATTCAGTACGCTTATTTGTGAGTTACGAGTACATTTCAGACGACAGCAACTAGTTGAGTGTGTATCATAAAATATGACCTGCACACCAAAAGAAACAATAAACTTCTTCATGCTTAATCTAATAGGTTTAAAATAAAGTTTGAAAGAATAGTAATGAGATATCCATAAAAAATGCAGACTCGTGCACATTAGAATTTTAATTCACAGAAAAAGATTTATACGAGCTCGTTATATGATTAGTAAAAGCAAAAATGTTGTTATGATGGAAGCTGTTGATGACGAAGAAAACATGGATCGACAATCCCTCTTCGATGGTTAAAAAACACGTCACCAATACAGTGACAAGCTAAACGGTTGATAATAATGTTCTGGGAATCGAAAGATCCTTGTGAAGATGGTAGAGGTTTCTGAACAAGGGACCTACCAACAACCAGTTTAACTCATTCACCTTGATACAGAGTAAAACAGTAGATGTGTATATTCTACTTAAGAGATATACTGAATACACAGATAGATTGAATAAAAATATTGTGGTTTGGAATATAATGTTTTATATCGGTACCAAAGAATTGGTAGAGTTGAGTTATTGAAACCAGGCAGTTTTTAACGGATAATTGGGTAACAGAAGAAAAGTAAGGGAAATGCCAGGCCCCATTATACACGAATGCCTATAATACTGTCATTGCTTTTGCATACAAGTCCAAACGATAGTGCCATTCGAGAACGGAGACATTCGAAAATATTTGTCTAAACAGAGGGATTGCAAATATATTCATTATTTTATTAGTGATGCAAATAATTCGACAAAACTGTGGACAATACTAGAAAAAATGCCTTTTGGAAAACGTTACGGATTTATACCCCTACCTTTTTAGAAAATTTTAGGAAAATGTGTACCCTGTCTTTGGGTAAATTCTGAAAAAAACCTACCCTGAAAATGCTGTTAAGGTAGTTAAAGAAGATATCTATTCTAAAGAATACACATATTGTAGGCTCCATGTTTCTCTCATTTGCACTTCCATGAAAATATGAAGGAAATTGGAAACACAAAACAAACTTTACCTTAAAAAGATCAATTGGATTCCCGACGACTGAAAACAAGTGTCGCCACAAAGCAACTTCAGTCTTCCTTGCGCAATGACAGACGGTCTCTAAGTACTGAGGGAATTCTTGGATGAAGGCAACGATTCTTGGAAGTAATGGGTCTGTGAAAAAACGAACAATTTTAGGAAATGAAACATTAAGATTGGATACAAAATTATCAGGCTGACTAACTCTAGGGGAAACTATAAAACTGTTTCGCTTAAGGACACTGAGCACGAACGTCCACCCCCTAAATATATACGGCCCCGGTTCACGAAAATAAAGAGAAACAAGTACCCTTTTGCGGAAGTGGCAACCTTTAGGGGAATCGTGGCTACAGGTCTGTCTTTATGATTGCTGTTGGAAAATCCATTGAGAAATACATGATTAACACTTTTATAGTGGGGGAAAATGTGAGCGAGTGACATAATCAGGGCAGGACTTAAATGGGCAGTCAGCGACTGTTCTCCTATCAATTAATGTTTTTCAAAATGAACTGAAATGTCAATTGTTATACCAGACACAGTCGATAGCAAAAAAGTACTGCGATTTTCATTGAGAATTTTAATACAGTTTTTGTGGTATATTGCTTGGCTTACATTATTAATAAAAATTCAATAGGACTATGGTCTTGCTTCTTAGTAAGTAAATTTCTCACAGTTCAACAGTAAGCTTTGATATTCATATCTCATGTTTAACAGTGAATGCAGTTAAAACATAGGTTATATACCAGGGATGGGTTCTGAAGCAGTGGCCTCTCTCTCCAGCACTTCATGCAGCATCAGTTCCAATACGTGAGTGAAGTAAGGCAAATTTGTACACGTTCTTGCTATTTCCAGGGCATGCACTCCCAAACTGTTAAGAGACAGAGCCTTCATTACAAAAAGAGAAAAACCACATAAATGATTGGTGAAAATCAGAATTGCCTAAGGTTGCTATTTATAGCCTCGCCTAGCAGGCACGTGATTTTACCCATGCTTTAGTTCCTTATAGTTAGATTTAATGGGCAAGTCTGATTGTACGGACTTAGTAAAGGTGTTCTTACTTGTTCGTACCCCATATTGAAAATGCGTATTATCAAGTTCTCATTGATTGACAAGGCTGCGCAGAATTTGTTACTTTCTTGGTTTGCAATAAACCTAAAAGGTGTGGCAGATTCAGGTTTCTGATTTCTTTTTCAAAAAACATAATGAAGTTCAAGACTTATATGATGTTAATTAAATTCAATCTCATCGATTGATAATGACATTGAAGGTAGATTCTTTCACTCACTTTCTTCGCAAAAGTTGTCGTAAGATGTGAGGCAAGTAAACTTGAGTCTAAAAGAAAAGAGGAAAAAGATCGCCATCAGTTTTTGTATCCTTTTCATTAAACAAGCAGCATTCTAAGCTAAGAAAGGACTTGAGTAAGATATTATTTCTATTGTCAATTGAAATTAAAATTCTTAGGTTACTCGCAATTGAGATATTTCTTATCCTATTTGCAACCCTGACAACAAAAAATACGATATACTGGAAGGGCAGGATAGTTATTTTGTGTAGTAGTTTTGAAGCATCTTGGTACATAAACAAACTTTGTGCCAAGTGTCTTCAAGTTATACTATGAGTAGATTATGCAACAAAGCATACAAAAGTAGATGCAAAAAGGACAAGTCATACCGTCCTCTCAAGGCTGTAGGATGAAAACATGTGTGAGTTCTTGTACGAAAAACCAGGTGACAGGCTGTCAGAGACATTGTCTGTTCCAATGCCAAGGATAACAGCATCTTCAAAAAGCACAGCTACGGCAAAGAAAGATCTTCCTTACTTGGCAAAACTCTGTGTTGAGAAAACTAGTTTTGGAATGAAGCCATTGACTACCTTGATGGAGCTAAAGAGCCACATTAACACAGCACGTAAAATAAGAATAGCTAACATATGACTTGCAATCTAAACTCACAAAGCGGGTAAACATTCAGATCAAAGTGGAGCATGATGCGCTTCGAGAGAAACCCAAGTGATCTTCCACCATCATTGATTGGAAATAAAGGCAGCCACGCCTGCAAGAAAAATTTCTTGATTTAAGAAGAAAATATGTGTGCAATTGAGTATCTATGGTTTCGTTGAAAGTAGGAATGCAAGAAAATAGTGCAAGATTATATCAATCATTAATCATTGGATGGTTCTATGGCAAGGGATATCTTTTATAAAAATTTTTAAATGACAAGTAAATCATTGCTTTTGAGAAAAACTTTTGATAAAATTTTTTTGTGATTCATTAAAACCATTCAAATAATCTTAGAAATGCCTATTACCATCTCCACCTGCTTCCCTTGATGACCATCCTACACGACAAACATCCTAAACAGTTTTTGTCGTCATGTATTCAGATTTTACAATGCCTAGAGTCAAAAAATGTCAATCACATTGATACCTTCATTCCCTGAGACCCACAAGCAAGCCAGAGGGATTCTGATAAGTGTCTCTTATTAGAGTGAACATCGACCATGTACCAAACGTTTTCAACGCAGGAAGCGAGGACGACTGGTGATAAAAATTTAACCTAAAAAAAGAAGCAAATTAGCCACATTACAGCATAATGCTGCTTGGAGACAGTAAACTACTCGACTTTCAATGATGCCTAAATGATCATCCCCTCCCCCTGCAATCGAACATTCTTGAAAGGCAAACTTTTTGGCAAATCACACAAAGATATGCGCAAGCAATACTGTATCTTCCATGTAAACATCGTGTCTAGGCAACGACAAACGTGAAAAATCGTGTCTACGCAACGACCAAAAGTAAAACAGACCTGTTTGCCACCTCTTTCAGCTGCTGGTCTGTCTTTCTGCAACATCATAATTCTGCCAGCGACATTCATCACTAGAGAATTCGCTTCGTACCCATCTGTAGACGCGCTTAATGCAGCTAGAAGGGATTCATTAGTGCCAAAAATATCAATTAGGACCTTTTAAGAAGTAAAGAACTAGTACGTGACAATGGTTCAGTAAACTGCTTAAATTCTTGTTGATACCCAGCTAGTTATTGGTGTTTCTGCAAAGGTTGTCTAAATGCGTAAAATAATCAAATTCTCGTGTATTCACAAATGTACAAAACTATGTCTGCATACATATTGATATCAATTGTCAAGGTTAAAAGTGATGTAATATTTCCACTGGCTTTTCAATTAATTCTTGAATGAAACATGATTGGACCTGTACAGTAATATATATATATATATAATGTAAATATGGCAAACTGGAACTTCAGTAAAAGGAGTAAAACAAGGGACGTTAAGAACGAAATAGCTCGCAGGTAACAGATGCAGCATGAAGGAATGAGGCCTTGAGGCCGCTAAGGAAAGAATCGAAAAATCCAAACTTACCTTGCTCATTTTTCAATCCAGTCAAACTTAATGACGTAACGATGAGAGGATGCTGAACGTGGTCCATCAAAGACACTTCTGATAACAAGACGGGGGTGACTGCAGCAGCTGTTTAGAAATGTTAGGAATGATTGCGTAGACTGAATCATATTGAAAACATAGCGCTTTGAAAATCGAAAGTACACGAAAATGCCTTGATAAGTCTTCTATATAAGTCTTGATAAGACTTATATAGAAGACGAAAGAAGAAAATGGTACTGAAGGCTATCGTCAAACGTATGACCTTGATTTTGGTAAACTAACTTTGGCTAGCCGAGTCTTACAACAGAAGATGCCTCGTGCTCTTTTTCAGCTTTGAATGTGAAAACACTTTGCAACTGGCCTATTTTATAATCTAAACATGGAAGGAGTTACAAAATCTAGCAAAACGAAACATCAAAATGCCTTTTGAAGTGTGCCATTTGCAGCAGAAAAAAACTTTTCGCCATTCTCCTTGAATTTAATCCTAACCACTAAAGACCAACTAAGTAATTATAATAATTTTGAAAATATCCAGAAAATGATAAAAAAATCCCAAACAATTAGGATGATATAATGACAAAAACTAAAAAAATAATGAGAAATCTTAAAATCGTGGCAACATTTTGATGATGAGTAAAGCAAGAAAAATCATAAAAGATCAAAATCACGGAAATTTTTTAATGATCAGGAAATTAATATAAGTTATTTGAAACTAATAAATAATAATAAGTAGGTTACAAGAAAAAAAGTAAATGATAATGACAAAATAATCAGAACGTAATCAAATGATGAAAAGATTATTGTAATCAAGACTGAAACAAAATAATCACAAAACAATCGTCAACGATCGTGATAAAATAACCATTTTTAGATGTGAATTGCCCTTAGGCCGCTCAAACGGCATCAACAATCCAAAGATTATATACTGAATAAGTGTTTATTCATTATATATCAAAGAAACGATGGACGCGGACTCACGTGCGACTTGATCATCCAGCAACAGTTGATAGAAACGGACACTGCAATCAGCTGTGTAAACCAGTAGGATATCGTGAAATGTGTTGATCAGAAAGACAGGAGAATCTAGTTTGATGGTCTGTGCTGTATTGGCATCAAGGTTTGACTTTCGACAATGAAATCTCACCTGGCAAGAAGAAAGTCGCTCAATGACTAATCAGTAAGAATATTTCCTTTACCAAATTTCCTTTTTATAATAACCTAAACATAGGCAATTTCACTTTAATACTTACGAAATTTTAACAGCAAAATCTACACAGCGTTGTGAAAATATAAGGACATTTGTTTATCACATAAAAACAAGCATAAATTATTAAATATTTATCGTGACAGGAAAAAGAATAAGATATTCATCATAGGCAAGCCAAATATTCTTTTATCATAGGTTTAATCTTTTACAGAAAATAAAGAATTATCTTTCCTTTTATCATTATTTTATCCTATCCACCATCTTTTACAGAAATTGAATAATTATAAATGATTGTATAGCACACCTCGTCAGATTCAGCTTCGATGTTGTAACAACCAACAATAAGGTATTCATCCCAAAGTGTCAAACCACCCCTGCAAGTAACATTCTTTTCCTACAAAGTGAAATTCTCTCTCAAAAATGCCGTATAATTTGATATACCGCAAAATTTGAAGATGGCATAAACTAGAGGAAACATAGCATGATGAAGTATCTTGATGTAAATTTTCTGCTTACTTTTGGGCACTATCCAACGGTTATACTCTGAAGAGTGTCAAATGAAAAGTATTTCAGTATACTATGTTTCTACTAAATCGTAGCAAACGTGAAATTTTAAAAAACAGCAGAATAAAAGAATCATTAGGTAGATAGACGTTCAGCATGAAAGAAACATGCAGTGGTACCTAAACCCTGTAAACATAAGCTAGTCTACAAATCGGGTATTGAGGTGAGGTATGGGGGAGGCAGAGCAATGCAACGAAAAGAGCTTGAAATTTCCAACCTGGGTTTCATTTCCAAATAACTTCCATTTTCTTGTGTTAAGCGAATAGTGGGCATATCCGAACTTGCCAGCCACTGCCATATCTCTGCCATTCCAGCCTATCGCTGAATACTGAGAATAAAAAGGATTATAACAAATAGAAAAACAGCACACGATTTAGGGTAACAAACTTGAAATTATCTTTTGCAAACAGTTGATAAAAGGAATTCAGAAAACCTTATAATAACAAATCAAAGACAACCAAATGGAGTAGGATATTTGTAGGAAGCAAGAAGGCTAAAGAGAAAGATGGCTTTATAGGGTTTAAATAAACAGAGTTTTGAAGCAAATGAAACAGAAATTATTCTAATAAAATTCTACACAAATGCTTTGAGATGAGTATTGAACACTTATTGTTCGAAAAAAGTTTGCCAAATAATTTGTTGAAAAGTTAAAGTGATTAATAGACAGTTAAATAAAGGTTGTGAAAACTTCCTCGATACTATTCACAAAACCATTAAATATTCAAATGAGGGTGGATAATAATGAAGGGAGAACCTTGATATTTAAACTAAACTTTAGTCACTTTGACTTCTTTTGACATCAAGTCTCTACAGGCTGTACGTATATACTAGGTGGTGCAAAGTACACTACTGTCATTTTGGGACGTTAATATACAAATGAATTGAATTGAAATTGTAAAGTTGAAACTCCAAAACTTCCAGAAAATGTGAAGCATCTTCAAATACTACATAAATAGCACTAGATGATTATGAAGAAATAGTACTAAATGATTATGAGAGAGGATGCCCAGATCAAAGATCGATTATTTCTAGGACTGAGTGTATGAATAAGCTTTCTCTTCTTGGATATTATTAAAAATATCCATAGCAATAGATGATCATAACTTCACTGTGCTACAAGATTTATATTTGTACATTAGCGATTTATGTGGCTTTGCTAAATGCATTCGGCATTTTGCTGACAAAAGAAGAAATTTGCTGATAAGAAAAACTAAACATAATCCTTTTACAGCAGATTAGGATAGCTGCTCAATAGCCCTTTGAATATATAGAACTATAGTGTTCATATATAATAATAATGATAATCAATTTATTTAACGTTGGCGCTACATAGCTCTTTACAGTGAAGTACACTCGAGCTAATCTAAGCCAACTGTTAAAACTAATTCGGCAAAAAAAACATACATTATTCAATACATAATCAAAGGTTTGCAAAGAAACATGAAACGATACACACCCGAATCGGCCAGTTGGCACTTATGTATGAAGAAGGAACTTGGATAGTCTGCCAGTGTCTGTTGCTGAAAAGAGAGCTTTGCAAGCCTGAGTCATGAGTGGAATTTGGTAAAATCATGTCGCCAGAATTGATGTATATTGAGCTGTCACCTTGCAAAAATAAATGCTGTCTGTTTGGCTGAAAAACAAAAATTATCAATATTATACTTATTAATTTACACCAGACGTTATAACAAAAACATTGGTCTTTTAATAAACAGATACCTAATTTTCTTATTAAGCGTGTCACCATCCTGTTCTATACATCAATGTGAAGGCTCTCGTATATTAAACTTTGTAGAAAGGTTCGATTCTCCACAATTGCGTTGATGTTAGGGTGAGAAAAGGCTTATAAGCAAATCTAACAGCTTCGATTTATGATATTTGTCCCTATTTCGTCTGCTGAAAACATTGTACTAACTCTACTAGAAGAATTAAGGTCTGTTCTTTCCTAATGACATTCAAATTTAACAGTTACATTATACTTAGAAACCCTGCAAGGAACTATAAATACAGTAATGGTGATAAAATGCTGCTACACCTTTCAAGGTAGGGTTCTTAAAATGAGTAAAATTTCTACAAATTGTTGAAAAGTTTTAAAAAGAATTGGAAAGATATAATTTGCTTCCTGGTGATTTCTCACTAACAGCTTCGAAAAGACATACATATTTAAAAATGAGCTAATGTTTTTTTCCGGCTTTATTCAGATCCACTTTACATAAAAACCAATGGTACGTTAGAAGAATGTTTCGGGTGAATATATTTAGCGTTTAGATTATATTAAGTACCCAGACGAAATTGTGTTACTTCTTGAATGCTTGGAATGTAAGCAAATTTTGTGGTCAACCTACCATGCACGGGTTGACTGTTAGAGCACTTTTGATGAAATCAAGCTGCAAAATATCTCCTTTCACCAGATGCTCTGAATCGTCTGATAAATTAGGGATCATCAACAGCTGATACCCTTCCGGCCCCCATCCCTAGAGAAAGAAGGAATTCAAACAAAATGAGGCCAATTTTTGTTGACTTCTAGAAGGGGAAGCTTATGGTGCTCCAAGACAATTTAAATTGTCTCTGATGAAGCTCTACACACTGATGTAGAATATGATAATGAAGAGCAGCATTATAGTGTTATAATCAACAAGGTAGTGTTAATGTTTTATTTTAACATTGTTAGAAATGTTATTTTTTTATTCTAAGATGGCGCTCTTTATATCCTTGCTATAGTCTTTGAGCATTACAATTCTATACGAACGGTTAATAGGCATAGAATCTATCATTCATAATCAAATAAGTTTGAGCAACTATGTCTGCTAACTCTATGAAGATACATTGTGCTGAAAGCAACGAAAGAGAAAGACAGATTGCAAAAAAGTATTCCAAACAGCTTTTAGGCCTGTGGTACTTTATCCTTATAACGAGGTCATAATGAGTAAATAAATTACGTACCAAAATGAAATTGACGGTGAAATAAACACGACCTCTCGAGCCTATTATATTCGTTATTAAGTGAAATATTCGCCATATAGTCAAATAAGTGGTTTTTTGTTCAATTTGCTCATTATATTGTCGTGTATATTTCATGGACTTTCAAATTTTTAGAAATCATTTTATATCAAAAATCGTTTTAAAAGGCAGTGCAAAAATGTCACGCAAAGCAACTTCAAAACTAGGAGTGAAGAAAGATAATTTGAGAAAATTACATAAACTGAGACAGAATGCCTAAGTAAGGTATTCTACTGTGATTGGTTAGTGTTTACTTACCAGTGAATCAACTCTCAGTGGCTCTTGATGGAATACGTCCGGGCTAAAACTGCACAAAAATAAAAAAACTATGACAAACATGCCAAGAAATAATAAGCTCATGTGACGTATTTCTACGAGGCTTAAAGCAAATGTTTAAAACCATGAAGCCGGGGTTAGAAACTGCAACAAAAACAAGCGAGGAATAACAAAAATAAATCATGTAGGGGCACGGTTTCTTCTGTTCTAAATCTGTTCTAAAAACGGCCTGGCTTTAATAAACTGGAAAGTTTATTCGCCTCGAACATGCCCAAAGATTTTTCCAATTCCAAATGAAAAAAGCTTTCGGTTATAATAAATGTAATTAAATACTAATATTTTGAAACAATTGTTGAAAGAAAAGATACAAATATAGAGAGTAGACATATTTTGCGATTCAAATTACTCAAAAAAAACATAACTACATCTCAACATTACACCAGGCGATAAGTTCATTCTATCGATCTGAAAATTCAAATCTCCATCATCTATTTTATTCTTGGTTTATACAATTAACCTTTTGATATGCAAGTGGAGAGGTATTGCTGCAGAATCAGAGAAGAAAGAAAAAATTGAAAGGTGTGCCTTTTCTGACAGAACTTCTGGAATGAAATCTTCCCTTTAACAACATATGGCTAAGCTAAATAACAAGCCTCTTTGAAAAACATTTTTCGTGGTAAGATCGTACTTGGCTCAAATAAACCTGCAGTACTACATACGTTGTGGCAAAATGTTTCCGTTACTTTAGTGCTATTTTGATGCCAAGATCGCTGCCTCCACATTTGTGAGATTGCGTGTAATCATAGGAATTTCAAAAACAAGATACCCCAGCTTGAGATAAAGGATCTGAAATTTGGCTTTCGGCAAAATACTTCCTGCATGCATTTACCGTTTCAGACGCAGCTTCTGTCACAAAGCTTCAACGGTATTACCTGTGCCAATGCTACCGTCAAGACGGAAAAAATGACTCAGTTCATGTGTACAAACGGTAAGCATACACCCCCAAGGACGACATGGGCAAACATCGAACTATGTACAAATCCATCAACAAATGCTTTTTACATATGTTTATTGTTTTTATTAAGTCCGTTTATTAAGGTAGTTGAGTAAACTTTTTGTCAAGAAGTGTCAATTGGTCAATCGTATGGGGAAATGAAAATGATTCGACACTACTCTACGGCTTGTGACGCAACAGACTTCCTCTTTTATAAGTGCTTCTGTTCTCCATGTTTGAATAATGGAGAAGGTCACCAGTTATGGAGAAGGTTAAGACATTTAACAGGCTTTCAGATGAAAAGGTAGAATTTAAGGAAAAAAGCAAACTTACAAAAAAGGTTTACTGAAATGAAATTATTTTAACCCTTGCTGCTTAGAATATTTTTATAACTTTGGAATGGGAATATACTCATTTGCCGTAATAAAAAATGACAATTAAGCAAAAGCTCTTTCTTCAAATTCAGCTCTTTTTATAGAGGATCATTTACATGGAGTCTTTAATTGACAAATGTATATTTAGGTGGGCCTTTTCAGGGAAGTAAGTAAGCAAACAGAAAATCGGTTTAACATATTGATTAATGATACACAAAACCAGCATCACACAATTGTTTTAAGAAGTAAACCAGGCTACCTATCTACGTTGCAATAGAGTACGAGGACTCCCAAACATTCCTTTACTATGGATTTATCAATTCACATACTAGGAAAAAATTCCACGATACTTCTTGTGGTGGCTAATCCCTATATAGAAGACCCTCGTAAGGTAATGGGGACTCTTTTCCCAGAAACGTGGTCCTCTTTCCTCTCTTGAATGTCCTATAACGACTATACTTTAGTTCTTAGCACTAAAATGTTGCAACTACAAGCAGATATAAGATAAAAGACAATTCGAAATGTCAAATAATTTTGAGTTCCTCTTCCTTGGGTGGGTTCCGCCATATGTGCCACGCGTACAAATAGCAAACATGAAATATCACATAAATTCAAAAGCGACTGCCTTCTAATCCCTTTTCATTGAAGGATAAACTTCATTCATTCAGCAATTCAAGACCTTTCCCATACCGGGATCAATCACCATTGTAACAATTGTGAGCTTGTGAGAGCAACTTTATGCAACTTATTCAAAGGGTACTTTGATGCAACGACGTAAATCAGGTATTCGAGCGAGGGGGACTCTTATTTTCCTATAAAGACAAGTAATTGAAGTTCAAGCTGGCTAATTTTCCCAAAACTTTGAGGCTGGATTGCTCTTAATTTGTTAGGGTGTAAGCAGTGAAACGCTAGCTTTGTGTCCAGGGGAGTGTTCAGGTCCCCTTTACCAAGAAAGTGAGGGAGCCATTCCTTTTGTCGAGAAGTTTGAAAGTTCACTAACAATGGACTCCTAGATGGAAAAGCACTTATAACTTTATTCAAAATTGCATTTTACAGTAGCTCAGCCTCAGCCTTTTCTTGATTTGTTCGTTACTTTGTCCAATTTAAAGCTCACGTTCGCATAAAAGTTACATTGTTTTAAAATCACCTACTGGAAAAATGATGAGTTTCAAACTGAATCTACTTAAATTCTTTTCAAAATCCATTTATGTTAGTGGCAATCAGAAAGATCCCCTTATATTTAATGCATTCAACAATTAAGAAAAATACGGTACTGTTCAAATTATAACGCTCAAAAGAATTGTATTACATATTTATATGTCTGTAAATTTTTAATTTTTAAGTCAACAAAAGAAGAAAGGACCTTGGCATTAAGTAAATTTATGAATAATTCTAATTCTTAGTCATAATTCTAAGAACTTTTTTAAAACGCCTAAGACGAACGTCTCTGAAATAGTTGAATTCCTTCCTAACTTTTGAATTTCCTTGTAGTTATATCTTCCATTTACGTGATGCTATAAGATATATTCTATCGTAAATACAAAGCGATCCACAATGATTGTATATGTCATGGTATTACGAAACGTGACCTTTACTGAAACACTTAGCATTTACACGTCATTTATTGCTGAAACACAAATAAACAGGTCATCTCCTCTATATTACTTCGATTACAAATGCATGCTACCGTCATGTACCTGCATACGTCACTTTCAAAATCATAAATGGTCGATGTGGAAAAATGGCGGAACCTTTGGTGCATTTGAACATGCAGCGGAAATCCGCATGATTCTCAAATTTCACTCAAACTTCGGCAAAATTCATTTAATGAAGAGATAAGATTAGCGTGAGCGTGACCATTGTTCAAAAGAAAAAATTTATTAAATAAGTTAACAAATAAAGATATTTCAACTTCCACCTGAGATTCCTGTAAAACCGTAAGAAAATGTTTCCTTCTTGGGGGAGAATCAGAGTTCCATGGCATATATATGCCTGACATTTCAACACAAAAGATATAACATATAAAGAATATTGTCTGATTCCGAACAACCACACGGCGAAGTTCAGGCCCAGCTTTAAAACGAAAGAGAAAACTGTACTTGCTCTAATGCCTAGAAATTGTAGCGTTGTGCAACCATCTATTTTCATTTGAAAAATCCAGTTTAAATATTCTAACACCAAAACGTTTTCTAGTTTGGATTCCCAGTTTATATTGGATTTTAGTTTAAATTCTACTGCCTTTAGATTGAACATGAGCAACATTTCAAAAGAGAGACGATAGTAACAAATACATTACGTTTAAAAGAGAGAAATTTGCAAGTCGATACAAATGTATCCACATAAATTCTGAAACAGACAAGGTGATTCTGTATGCTCTCTCATCGTAAAAGTTTAAATGAAGTTTTTCTCCTACAGTGCTTTCAAAGTATGCGAAAACAACGAGGAAGGGAGCAAGCGGGAAGCGCAAAGGCGCTAGTCTCTGAAGGATTACACAAGAAGATCCAAAGGAACGATTAAACGTAACTTCCAGAACTGCAATGTTCTCGGAATACTGCAACACCCAACTTTGCAGTTGTCGGAAACCAATTGGCCCCTCTGCTTCCTGTCACATAGATTGCGCCACAGTAGTACAGCATACTGCATGATGACTGGGATCGAAACCCCTCCAGAAGGACCATTCCAAGAAGTCACTGATGTCACGGATGCACACTTTGGATGGCTATAAAAGCATGCCTGCTTCACGAAATGATCAGACGCTCCAAAGAAGAGACACAGCAAAGATAAAGCTAACTAGCCATCACCTATCTGGCACCAAAAGATTCAGTAGATCAACACTGCAAAAGCTTGCTTCCAAATCATGGCATTCAACGGATACACTATTGCATGCTTTTTACTCGTTGTGGTGAGTTTTATATTAAATCTATACATAAATATTGACTTAACACACTGCCTAAAGAGATCTTTCCAATAAAACTGGATTCCTCGCTTTTGAAATAATTTGAAATTAAATCTAAAACTACAAAACCACCTAAAATTATCTAGATTTAGAGCCCTTAGAGTGAAAATTTGCAACCTCGTTTTTATGTAGACCCTTAAATTGCTACTGACTGGATTACATTATATATTTTGATATAAGATCAGGCTTTACATAATATTTCATACTTTGAAATTTTTCGTCTGAATCGTTAAAAGATTGATTTGTCACCACTTAATTTCTAACTCTTAGCCCTTTTGAGAAAACAATTGTAGACTTTTTTCATCGTTTGAATCTACAGGGCTTGTTGCAAGCTGTTGAAAAGCACTCAACATATGCACTTCCACTCCATGGGAATACAACAGCTACTGCCCCAAGAGGAAATAGCACGTCAAGTGAACACCCAGCACAGGCAAATGTTCAAAACGAGACAGGGAACAAATTCAATGCTTCAGCTATCACCAACGCAACAAGCCAAACTGACGTTCTCAAAAATATGATGCCAGTCACATGCCCAGCGGAGAGCGTGGTTGATTTTGATGCCAATAGATACCCACAGGTAATAACGAAAGTCAGATGTAATGGTTCTGGAACCTTGTGCTTGTCAGATGACGGGAGATTGGCATGCAAAGAGGTGAACAGACTTATCAAAGTATACAAATATATAGGCTTAGACAGTCAAGGCAAGAAATATTACAGGCAAGAAGATTATCTTGTACCATTTGCATGTACATGTGCAGCTTAATAACTCTAAGTCATGTTTTAGGTCTGTTGAGATTTTAGCACTTGAATCCGTTCAATATTGTAATGAAAGACTGAAGCGTGACCACAATACATCTTCCTAGTGAATAATTTAGACTTGTAGCGAGCAGAAGGCTACCCTATAAGGCATGTAAGCGTTACTTAAGTAAGTTACCTCCACCTTTCTTAAGAATGACATCACAGCCATAAAAAGGAAATCATTAAAACAGAACAGTTTTAGGAAAGGTGCAATTGTATGCAAAGAATTGAACAATTTAACGGTTAAAAAAATCACCATGATTTCCATCTCCAACCCATGTCCAGAAAGCAAAACAGAATGACTTAACAAAGATCAGGGGATAGTTTCAAAAGCTTGGAAAAATTTAACAAAAAGATATAACAAATAACATGATATTTAGGCACTTTAATTTCATTTCAGTGTTAAACGGGTTCAAATGACATTATATTTATTTCATTTATTTATCATTATTTAAACTGGACTTACATTAAATATTATTGGGCCATAATTTCAAAAATAAAGCCCTTAAACTATTTAAGAGAGTGTTATCATATTGTGACGTAAACCTATTGGTTGTAATATACTCAATGTTCTTAAATTTTGTATTAAAAAATTGTTTGTTATCAGAATGGTTAAACAGACAGTTTGTATTTTTTTCAAATTTGCTTCAAATTACAGACTGATATTCTACAGAAACTTTGAATTCCTTCAAAGTATTCTCTAAAGTCGAAGATATGACGATATAATAGCAAGGTTAATAGTGTTCCAGTGTTAATAGAGTTTTGGAAAAAAGGGTTTGGAAAAATGAGAAAAATGAAAAGCAAATCTATTAGGAATGAACAATTACGATATGGTATGACAACTAATACAAAGAAAACAGAGAACTGCTTCGCCTTCCAAAATTCCATGTTGTTAGTTTTGCCAGCAAAAGGGGAAAAACAGACAGATTCTTTAAGATCAAAGCCTCCAGTAAACCAACTGAAATAACCAAAAACCTACGCAGGCAAAGGGAATAAAAATGCCTACAAATCAAGGCTCCACTCCACCATTAACTAGTCAAAAAAACCAATTCAGCACCAGAAAACTTCGATGGTAATATTGGTCAACTCCATTACGACATTTTTTGTCAAACTAAACATTTTCACCTACGTCGCCGAACCCTTTACCATTCTCTTTTAATAAACTGACATCAAAACCTTTTGGAAGATAATTCCCAGCCTTGGTTTGCATTTCTATCATTCCGTTTCTAATTTGTTCTGCTTTTTCCTGTTTGCCTTCTTTCCTTCTTGTCGTCACAATTCCCATTGAATTTATTTTATCCTTAAAGACTAGATGTCTGCGATGCAATTAGGCAGCTTTACTTGGTTTTTTTTCCAAAATATTTCACAAACCTCTGTATCTAATGGCAAAAATTATTAACAGGGCTTGTAGTTAGGTGGAAAAACTTTTTTAAAAAGAACTCCTACCAAAAATCAGCGTTAAGTGTGCACGTGAGCAGAGCCCCAAACACACTCCATACTGCAATGCCACCGTTGCCCCAGGCCATTGCCATCGCACAACCATCAGGGGTCCATGAAGTTGACGTCACAATTCCAGCCTTTTTGCCTTGGTCTGGAAAAATAGGCAGAAAATACTGAATTCGATTTAATTAAAGGGGGGCGGTGGTACAAAAACCACTATTAAGTCAAGATGCATTATAAAAACACATCCGATAAATCTTTAGCAATGTCGTCTCACATGGAAATTAAGAAGACGTTCCGATGAGGAAACATTTTATCGTATTTACGGGCTATCAAACTATTTTCAATGCTTAAAAGCTTTTCAGATAACAAATGGTCTCCGCGATGGCAATAATGCAATTTTATATACAACTACAAACGTTAAATAAACGGTTAATGAAAAAATGCAAAACAAAGTAAGTTGTGGCACAGGGTTAATTCACTAAAAATTGGAATTAATTCAATCAAGGCTGAAGCAAGGTGAGAAGGGAACAAAGTGGGAGTGTTTTATTTATAATGATGGAAATAGCAGCTTTAAGTTGTAGAAGGTGTAGTACCCATTAAAGGAATTGGTATTTCACATACTATAAATTTTGGACTCAATGATAGACTACCGCCCCCCCCCTGACAAATTTGAACACGACTTTCCTTATTATCTATTACAGCTTCTAAAAATACTTTTCAATATCAATCCAAAAGTTTTCATAAGCAAGCCAATGCAGAAGGCTTCTCAGGGAGAGCATAAACAGGTCATTGAACATGGGTCTAATGAATACTTTTTGACTGACTCCTCGCTATATTTTGATAACAAGGACGCAAAAGTGACCATATATACTGTTTTTTGTAAAGTAGTGTCTACTGACTAGTTTACTTCCGCAAAACTTTGACCAAAAGTTTTACATTAGTTGTCTGGGGGTATCTGCTACAAAAAAGATTTCTGCCATATATCTATCGAAGCTTAGAAGAGAGTGCTATATAGAGTATTAATTTATATATCAAATATCTCTGATATAATTATATATCAGAAATATTTGCTCACAGACTGGCCAGTCTTTGTCCTTCGTTTTCAAACAAATAAGACTCCCAGATTGTTAGTCCCCTTATATTTAACCATAAAGACTCACTAATTGTTCACTTTTACATCTCCCTATCTTTAAACGTAGACACTTACCAGGATAATCCTTCACAGGCAATGAATATTTGTGTGACAGCATCAGGCCTCCATATAGATCGTCAAATGTAAACGCATACGCCTTTCCACTGTAGCAGATGGGGACAATAAGGAAGTTAAAAAGACGAAAGAGAAGAATCTTCTTTGCTGGTGAGATTATGATAAGATTACGCATCATATAGGTGAGAATCAAAGTGTCAAAATATTGTAAAATACTAGCAAAATGAATACCAATATATTGAAGATTCATAAAAGGTTTCAGGCCCCCATTCCCTCAGAAATTCTTTCAAAGCTTCCTTAGGCTTGATGAAGATTTCTACCTAAAATCTATCTTCAATGTGTTATTACTATATATTTACAGTATATCTTTGTAGTAGATACAAAAAGTTTTAAAAATGACAAACACAGAAAGCTTTCACCAGTGGGGGAATTTAAAATAAAGAGCCTTAACCTAAAGCAAAAACTAGTATTAGCAAAAGATAAAGAAAACATTTTGGAAAAACAAATTGTGGGACATTTTTTCTATTCATTGAAATTTGAAAGTTGCTAGAGCTAATTGCATGTAGAAATTTCAAGAAAACAATCTGAAGATTATCGAGCGCAAAAATTCATTATAAGTAAGTTTATGAATAGAAACATCAATTGACCGATTGTTCTTTGACGGAAAAAGAATATGGCGACAGAGCATCTAAATATCGTGAAAGTACGTTTTGGAATTAACGTACATGTTGGATAGAGCCAATGGAAGTACAATCCGTGACGTTGTTGGAAAGGAGGTCGACTACGAGCAACATGGAAATGATTTTAGACAAACCTTTCACATCCAAAAACAATCATTTGATATTTATGATTCACTGAAAGGCATGTTGCATCTGTAATATTCTTGGCGAAAACCCCAACCACTTCCTGTAATGGAAACATCTGTCTTCAAAATAACATTTTGGAGAGAGCTCTCAACTGGCGAAAGGTTTAGCGAGTGCTTCATAAGTTTCAAATTTGACATTGTTTAAAATTGGGTTTATGTTCAATAATCGTGTTAATTCTCCTTCAAAAAGATTCAAACGCAAATGAGAAGAAAGTTCTAGCCCCCTTTAACATCTTAGGCCCATTGCAAACTTTATGATAGCAGCCTATATGGAGAGCGTAAAACACAGCAATATAAACATAAAAAACAAAGAAGAATAAAAGGAAAAAATTCAAAAAGCAATTCAAATAACTAGTCAAAGGCTGTTAAAATTCATGAAAAAACTTCATCTTCCGAGGAAAGTCATTTAAAGTCATGAAAATTTTGTAGCATCAGTCATAAAATCATGTATAAGAATATGCAAGTACTTTTGAAAATTTAAATCAAGTAGAAAGACAGACAGATGTATGTCACTTATAAACCTGCGAAATACACCTACACTGGGCCTAGCAACTGCTGAAGTCGACATGAGGAAGCCAGCTCTGCCATCAGAAAGTACGAAAGCAAAGCCCCCCAGCAACGGGCTACACTCGATGCATTTGACGTATAAACAGTCACCACCAAGAATTGCCCCTACATAAGATCGAAATTTAGAACAGAAAAACGTTGCTGATGAAAGAACAGTTTCATTGTTCTTAACACATAATGTTATACTTAATCGGAGCGATCATGAATTTTTACATAGTTAACACGCATAAGTTCTGAGGTTATTACGCCTTATTTACTTCAACTTTCGTTCAAAGATTTTTATAGTTTAGAATGCCAGAAGAAGATGAACGTTTGATGTATCCTTAAACTAAAATAAAATTATGAAATATTATTTTAAACATGCAACTTTTCTAGGGAAGAAAATCAATGAGTTTAGAAGTCCGCTAAAATTTGTTTAAGAATATATTTTGCAAACCAAATGTAACAGAGACGAAAACTGGTTTTTGTTATGTAATAAATTCCTTCGCATTACATTACCACTCATAGAATCAACCATGTATCAAACAAATGTGGTTAATTACATATTTATATTCGAAAGCCCAGGCAACCTATTGCAAAACATTACAACCTATTTAATAACAACATTTTTATTGCATTAATAGTATTTTACCTGTTGTGGTCTCCAAATCAGCAGAAAATCTCACGTTTCTGATATTGATTGCTAGATTGTTGTCAACTGTTCCATCCCATTTTAAACGATGCAACCAACCATCTGTGGTGGTGACAATAAGTTCATCTGATCGTGGTGAGCAACTGTGAACAACAATGATGACGTGTTTCATGACATCCTATGCAATAGCAACAGCTGTGAGACTATAATGGATGTCATGTAAATAAATGAAAACATCAATTCCATTAGCACAAATATCTCATTATGGTACTGCTTGTTTTTGATCTATGTTCTGACGTTTTAAACTCTGAAGAGTGTCAGACGAAAAGCTTTAGTTTACTAAATGTTTGCTTTTTTCAAAGCCATTTTCAAGTTTGGTACTGCTTTTGTATTTCTCAAGTATATTTGCTGTTGAGAGCATAAACTGTTGAAGGGAATCTCTTACTTTTCTGAAATAATAAATACACTCTGTGTAACATTACATAATGACCTTTTACAGTCCCCCCTAAAATATTTCCCTATTTAAATATCGTCCTCAGACTTCCATTAAAAAGACCGACTTTCCATTTTCAGTGGAAATGTGTTCCTTGTTCAAATTAAAAAGCTATGCACCCCAAAAAGTTGAATATCCCCTTAGTCCGACAATTTCCTGACCCCTCTCTCCTTAGGTCCAAATTAATGGGATTCAAGTGTAGTCCATGAAACACAGGAACTTTTATTTTTTGAGCTTTTACTTTCTGATACATGACGATGAACACAATGAACACCAAACAATGAATGCCTTCATTGCCATGTGTCACCTTCTTATGCCCCCTCCCACCTTCTCTAAAACACCCTTCTTTGGACAGCAATTATTTTACAATAGTCAAAGACTACAATTAATATTTTGAGTGCTATAGTGCTATTTTATAAACTTTTGGCCAAAAAATCCTTTCCCGACAACAATAGAAATAAATTGAACAAAGAGTTCATTAAAGAATCTACTAGGAATTTATCTAAGAACATTTTTGGAAAAACCCAGGTGTCTTAGCACAACTTTCTATAGGTGTAAACTGTGGTGAAAATTGTAAAAAAAAGTCAAAATATGCAACTGCTTTATCTTTGCACCACTAAATCAATTATCTCAACACTGCTTTTGATATTATAACCTCCTATTCTTTGTCCTAAAGATCAATCAATCAAACTGTAGTAGTAATATTCATAGTAGAGTAGTTATAAGCTCTGTAAGGCAATCAAATTGTTTTCATATAAAAATGAAATAAACCTTGCTGCATCAGCGTCAAGATTGACTCTAGATTTGAGAGAAAGACTGCATTCTAGAATTCCATGGGGCTCAAGCTGTTCTGCATGTCTAGAACTGAAGGAATGAATTCTGTTGAATATTTTGAAAAACAAATAACAAGTTGAAATTTAAAGTTGCTGGTAAATAAAGCATATAATTAGATAAAGCATATATCCAACCTTGGATTTTGAATTTTGTAGATGTACTCTCCATCTTTGTTAAGGACATCAAATAATAGTATGGAGCTGTTGTTTGTCTGTGAAAGAAAAGAGGGAACAATGATGTTACTTAAATTGCTAATAGCTTATTTTAATGAAATGAATTTAAAATGCAAAGAAGCCAATAGAAATTTCATTTGTTTCAATATGCTTAGTGATCAATGCTGTCATTTTCCAAACTGCATTTTATTTCGTGAAGCAGTACTTGAATGAAAATGTGAAAATATAAAATAGTAAAATAAAATAATGGTCATAATAATATTTAATTCAATGCATTTAAGGAAATAAACTCACAAGGACATAGATGGCAGATGAATCTGGCTTGAAAACAGCACACTTGTTTTCACCATGCTTCTCAATGCAATTATTTGTCCTTTGATATAAGCACAGTAAAACTCTGGGCTGTATCAATGAAAATGAAATTAATAAACACATTGAAATTCAAAAAGAAAATATTGGGAGGGCAGTGATTCACCTCTTCAAATATATATACATATATATATATTTCAAAGGCTATTTTCATTAAAATTCTAAGGTCTCAGTTTTATGGATCACAGGTCATTGCTTGCCTTAACTTATCGAGACATGCAATTACCAGCACACCAGCAAATTTCATATAAAAAAAGAAAATGCTAGTGGTGGAAAAGTATGTGAAAAAAATCTTAATTGCTGTAAGAATATAAGAAAGGTTTCTACATATAAGTTTATAATCTCATTTGTATATAAACAAATAATAAGAAGAATTACAAAATTGCATTTAAATTTGCAGTGAATGAGATGTCACACACAAAATTGATAAAGAAACTAACTGAGATTATGTGAATATTTACATAATAACATAACATTTAAAATTTATTGCTATAACATCACTCTTAAACAAATACTTTAATTTTTAGACAAAAACACTGTTGCCCAACAGGGTGTCATTTATTAAAAGGCCATGCTTTTAGGAAAAAAGGCCTTGTTCTGAAAATTTTCCCAACCCTCCTGACTACCCTGCAGCTGGTGCCATCAATACTTTGCACACATTTTCAAGCATAGTTAGCTATATCAGGCTTGTAAAGACCTATAATTGTGTTCTTGTTGGCCCATGACCCTGCAAAAGTTGATGAGTGTTGAAAAGCCTGGTCTGCATTGAACCAATGTAAAGCCTGATTCCCTTAAAATTTTAAGATTCAGGAACATGTTGCTGATCCCTTTTTCCAACTTCCATAATGATCAAAGAAAAAGTGTTCACATTGATCAGAGGCAAGTTGATAACTGTTGGAAAGCAATAGATTATTCTAACAACAAAATATAAGCAAGCAAACATGTGCCAAATGACTTTCCTATGATTTATTAATTACATCCATGTAACCATTTTTAGCAAAAGTGGATCAGCGATGTTGGCAACCAGTGTTCCCATTAAATTTTTCAGTGATTGAAAATGTCAAAAGAGTGGGGAAAGTTTAACTAAGATCAACTCTTCTGACCATTGCGATTCTCAGTCTGCATCAAAGGCGACCGCCCCCTCAATACTTTGGAGGACAATGGTTTTTTGTTTTAAAACAATGGGAAATGTGATGTCATCTTATTAAAACAATAGGCTTGCCCCCCAATATTTGATCAAGTGTCCGCCCCTGGTCTGCATAGTAGTAACGACTGCAAAAAAGTATTCCCATAAAATTGGGCAGACCAAAGCAGACTGTTGCCAACATTTTTGCGATTGTATTGGAACAAGGCTTATAGGCTGGTCAGCCATCCCAAGCAAATTCTTAATCAAGCAAATTCTGGCACTATCCACTTTGCCAAGACTTTGCGACTAGCCACTAGCCAGGTACAATCCCATTAATCAAGCAAACAAAGTACCAAATTGAAGAACTAATTGGAGGAAACAAAGATCTTCATAATGTTTTTTTAAAGTTCAGTTCAGTTCAGTTTTATATATTAAATTTTTAAGAATTGAATGAACGATTTTGATTTATAATGAAGGACTGTAATTGCTTTTAGCTGTGTAAGATATTTTATTAGGTTTAGGTAGTTGACTATTAATTTTAATTTTTTTATACCTACATTGTATTTTTAATTTTGAGGACCCCCATGAAAAGCACCTCTTGGTGATTGGGGCATCCTCTTTAAAGATTTTTTATCAATCAATCAGTCAATCAATCAGTAAATCAGTCAATGAATCAGTCAATCAGTTTTGTCTCTGCCACTTTGAAGAGAGTTCATTACTGTGTATCACCAAGCACAGTATCTGCATTTCATTTGTCTAAACGAAACTATAAAAATTATACAGAGCTTGAACGCATTCACAAAGAAATGTTGCATTTGCCCACCTTTCAAGAAGTACCACCATGCAAATGCGTTGGGTGGTATTTCAACAATTTCTCAATGCTTGAATGAAAAGTGATGTTGAAAGGTGATGTTGAAAAAAGTGCTATCCTTGTTCTGTACATATGTATACGGGCGTGACATAAACGGGTGTCCAGAATAGGCAACGAAATTCTTCGAATATTCACCCCCAGTTTTTCCAAAACTTAATTTTATTCCATTTTACGATGATTTTTCCGTGTGTTAACGTTCATAAGAAAGTGTTATCACCATCAACTATTCGTTTAAGAATTCATTTTGCTATTAAGTATAAGTATCCGTTTTCTAAGTGTTTACTCTATTGCATTCGATTAAGAAAGTTATCCGGAAATATACAAATTATAGATTACACGGAATCTTTAATCAAGCAAATAACATAAAAATATCCACAGATGTGCTTAACTTACCCTTGTCTTCCATAGCACGATGCAGCTCGGTGATAGGGTGACTATTAAACTCTTTGTTCGATTCAATTTCAGGAACGTCAACGACGAGCATTCTTCTATCCTGGCGTTATGGCACTTAATGCATCCTATTGGAAAGTACATTTTATTTCTTGGTGAAGTAGCTATTACCTTCGATCATATTACTTCCATTTCTAGTTGACCGCCGACTTCTCTCAGTCAAATAATAATTATTTTGATATCCTGTGTATACCATTTGCGCCCGACCTCATTTTGATACGACCGTCAGTGGCTTAGAGGCAGATAGAATATCTGTCCATGATTTTAATCGCGAAAATTCGCAAAAATCAATAGGTTGTTGTAAAATTGTGAATGACGCTAAATCTCTCCTTGACTTTTGCGTTCACAATTTTGTACGCCGAGGAAGATGCTTACAATTACAACTCAAATTGCTTCGGTGATTCGTCGCTTTAGTGGCAAAATGTCGCTGCCAGTTGTAATCTTTGTTCTCGGTGGACCAGGGGCTGGAAAGGGAACGCAGTGCGAGAAGATAGTAAAGGTCTGCACAGTAGAATTTTTTCTTGTCGACCCAATTCCTCTCTCTATGAGGAGTTTCTACCAGGGATTTTTCCTAAATACTAGTGATCTATCATTCACCAGAATTGTCTTAGGGATTCATAGTATTTTATATCTGAGCGTTACGGCTAGTTAAATTTTGTCTCGGCTCGATCTTGAGATCTGACGTGGCTCCGCACAATGAAACCGTTTGCTAAGTGACCGCACAACTTCAGTGTAGTGGTTTCAACAAAATCAAACACACTGTAACGATCAATATTCATAAATGCGGTTATGGTAACATATCTTCGGTTAAACTTTATTCGGTAAATTGTAAATGTTGCTAATTTCCATAAGTTTACAGTGGTAGTTTTATGAAAGTGAGCGGTATTTTTGTGACTACATATGAGCTTTCCACACTAAAAAAAACTCTTCGTGATATGTAAACATCACTGGGTTTGGGCAGCCACCAGTTTTTAAAAATCAGATCTGATAGAGCCATTAGTGTTATCTTTAGCTGTTACCAGTTAATCAAAATTTTATTATCAGAAATATTTTGTTAATCATTGTAAAGATTGCTATAACTAATTCCTAAATTAAAGTGGTAACAAGGGTCATTGGTTTCACTTTAATATATTTAATAGATTTCTCCAAAACAATACATGGAGATGTATGCATGGCCCACACCATGGAGTGGGCAGGGGGCCATGGCTTATGTGAAAAGCATGGCACTTGTAACCCCAGATCAGCTGCGGCTTTATTATTTTACTTAGGTGTGGGGCTTTTTGTGATTACCATAAATGCAGGCACTGGGCTGTGACCTCCTGGAGCCCCTTAAACTGGTACTATCCAAGATTTAAAAGAAATTTAATATTTACTACACCCTTTTAAAACAATTGTTACAATCGCTGCCATCTTGGATTCCTGAGATTTTTTTCTATTAGGTCCAAACTGTTGTGGACTGCTAGGAATAAATGGGAGCACATCAGCTGAAATATTATCTTGATTTTATGTGCATAAAATATTTATTTAGTTCAGTTAGATATATTTTCTAAAAGCACTTGATATCTTATGCATGCTATTACTGTATTAGATATCTCGATATTATTGACCACATGGGCAATAAAATTCTTATTTTCTTTCAGGAATTTGGGTTTGTTCATCTTTCAGCAGGTGAATTGTTAAGAGAAGAACAGAAAAGTGGGTCTGAAAATGGTGATTTAATTGATTCTTATATTCGTGATGGAAAAATTGTCCCTGTTGAGATTACAGTTGGATTGCTAGACAAGGTATATATAACCTATTTTTAATGTCTTTTTTATTGGGAGTAGGCCAATGAGTTTTTTATCAATTTATTTAAATGCACATTTTTATGACTCTCATATTATAATTTTCATAAACAAGATGACAAGTTTAAAATATCTAAAGCATAAATGCATATATTAATAGTGTTTTATTTTAATACCAAAAAGGTATAGTAGGCAGCATCCTTGTGGAGATAATTCCTGTCAGCCTTGGCCTGCTGTATGCATATAAATGGTTAATATGACTCTGAAGAAAGCTTACAGAGCTTAAACAGAAGAAAAAACTGCCTTGGCTACAGTGGAGCTCTCCAGGGGTGACTGCAAAAGTTCACAATCATTTCATTGGGTTTTTTGGCTCATTGGAATGATCCTTGCTTTTGATATGGCAAACTGGAGTTAGATTTTGACCAATCACACTATTTACAACTCAGGCCTGGCCATATAATAACATTTAGCAGGGGAATAGTAAACTGGGCCTTGCCCAGAAAACGCTCGATCGAGTGCCAGCACAAGGACCTAAAGCACACCTAAAAGTAGCCATGGAGAGCGATTTAATGAGCACCTGAAAATGTAAAACAATTTGCCCCACAGCAAAATATTGTTTGAAATAAATGTTGGTAGAACTTAAACAATCTTCTCAATTGACTTAAATATTTTGTTTTATAATATTTATAAAAAATTTCATACCACTAATCTTTTGATGACTAAAACAATTTTAGTCTCAATTGGAAATGTCTCTTAAATTGTTGTATAAACACAGTGCAAGTGTCACTTGTGAGACATTTAAGGTGAATTTTTCCACAGGTGAGATTTTTGATATTGTTGTGAAGTGTAAAGCACAGATCATTTCAGCAGAACTAGTAGTCTTTTATAAATCAGTCCTAGCTATTTGAAAATTATCCTTAAAAAATCAACAGAAAATATAAATTCCCAAGTGCTGGCAATAAATTTAGGTATTTATAATAAGGGAAATTTATCATATATAAATATATAATTTGTTGATAATATAGCAAACTGTTTTTCTTGCATTATTAATTTAATTCTATTTATCCTACATTGCCTTCCAAAATCCCATGCTATTTTATGTTAAATTGATATTATTTTTATTCAATTTACAGCCTGCTTATATTAGCTTTTTGTGCTATAGGCAATGCAAAAGAATTCAACCAAAAGATTTTTAGTGGATGGCTTCCCAAGGAATGAAAACAACTTACAAGGCTGGACAAGAATCATGTCTGAAAAAGTAGACCTCAAGGCCGTTTTATTTTTTGATTGCCCTGAGGAGGTATATTTGTTTCTTTGTTTTCCAAACAGGATCTTAACTGAAATTGAAATAGGATACTATTATTTTGCAAATAAACAAACATCTCCCTGTTATTGTTAATTGCTAGTACTTTCAAATGTTAAATTTTCAAACTGAAACTGGAAACATTTTGGTATTAATTTTGATGTCTGTTTTGAAAAGATTTTGGTCAATATTTAGATACCTGTTTATCCAGAGTGATGTTAAACTTCCTTTAATTTATAGACATTTGGCAAGGCTACACTGTGCGGTATGAACAAAATTATGTTGAGGAACAAAAGCAAGTTGCTGACTACAGCTTTTACTAACCTCTATATTTGAAATTTGATTATTACAAGTTATAAAATCTTGAAAATTGTTTATCTGCTAGATTTGTGTCAAAAGGATTATGCAAAGATCAATATCAAGTGGAAGGTCAGATGATAATGAAGAGAGTTTGAGAAAAAGGTTGCTATGTGTTGAACACTTGGTGTTTTTTGAACATCCCATTTTTCTGCAAAAAAGAGTCTTATTGATCTACTTCCTTGTAGTTTTTTACCCAAATTAATGTAGATTGTTTTTAAATTTTTTTATTCTATGTGATCTTTTGACAAAGTTTTGGGTCAAAATTATCAGTTCTGTATATCAGCATTAATCAAGTATCATCGCTTGATAACTGTTAGATGTCAAATGCAAATATATAGAATAGATGAAATAATTTTTTTAATTTTTCGGGAATGCCAAATTTTTCTATTGTTTCATCGGTAGTCATGACTATGTTTTTAAATATATTTATATGTATCAGCCCTTCATTTACATTACAAGATATCTAACTACAAACTTTTTTTTCAGATTTCAGACATATTATAACCAAACAATGCCAATAATAGATCATTATAGTAGAGAAGGATTGGTTAAAAGAATTAGTGCTGTATTACCACCAGATGAGGTAATGTTTTCAGCTTTGTCCCAGGCTCATTCAGGAGGAGATTAAAATCAATTACAGGGTTTCTGGTGCAAGTATGGGGGGGGGAGCTTGGCAAATTGTTTACAATACAACAGTGCATATTTAACTAGTTAAGAAAGTTTCAGAAACAATCATATTTATTTATATCTGTGAAAGCAGCAAAGCAGAAGGGTTGTCCAAAACTCCCCGACAGCAAATTAGTTTTCATAACAATTAGAAGCACAAACTGACCTTTACTTTCAATGAAGACTATGCATTATTTAAGGGAAACTAGAGTCTCTTATTCTGAAAAGCCAAAAATTCTGAAAACAAGATAGAATTTCTAAAAATAGATGTTATGCATCTAGTAAATGTGGTTAGTTTTCTATCATATTATACAATCACCTGATTGCTTCCAAGCACAGTAATTAACTGTTCAGTTGCATGTTTATTATAAAGTTAGTTGCAAGCAAAGAATTAGTGGAAACCATGTGTAGCGGTAAATATAAGGACCAAAATCTTTACTTTATCAGCTAGTATATGAAGTTCAATACATAAGGAAAGGCCACATTGAACACAAATGTATCATGTCAGAAACCAGAAAGCTAAAGATGTAGGCTGGACATATAGAATCATTTGAAATTTTGCTACTTTAATCATTTGAGTCTAAAATGCTTGTTACATTGTGCATCATTAATATGATCTCATTTTTATTCTAGGTTTTTGAAGAGGTTAAAATTGTTATGTCAAAATTGTTTTAGTTATATTCACCTTAATAGAGCAATATTTAGCCACCTACATAAAGCAGGTTAAGATTGAGATCATATTTGGGGGCATCCAGAAAGTAGCAATGCTAATGGGTCCTGTACTCCCTAGACAACCCCCCCAACCTGCACAGGCTGCTTTATCCATATCTTTCTCTCAGTGCTTTCTATTCTACAAAAGCAAAGAGGAACAGAGGCAATAAGACTCTGCAACCTCTTAACTGGAACATGGATGATATTCAACACATATGCTATTTTCAAACAAGGAAAAATATAAAGGTTCTTCAATTGTTAAAAAACCAACCTACAAAGATATTTAATAAACAATATTGAGGACTCCAGGCTGGTGTTATTTTTATTAATGATATAAAAATACTTTTTAAATTTAACCTTGACTTACACCTATCCCTTTGTTAAATTTTGTGAAATCCAAATTTCCCTCTCTGAGCATACTTGCTTTATGGATGCACCCTTTTGAGAAGAGATCTAGATATTTTAGTACCGATGGTAGATGATAGCTACCCAGTAGCCAGGCTATTGTGACATATCTTGCTTGCATTTTGCAAAGTACATTTTAGTAGAAACAATTCTGTAAATACAGATGAACAAGGAAATTAGCATTCTAATTGTGATTTTCTTTTTTTGCTATCAGGCAGCTGCTGCTCCCCATCTTCCATTCTCTTTGCTAATGCCAAATCATTATACAATTTAACCAGTACCAAAGTATTTTGCTGTTAGAGTGTTCCTTCATTCATTAATACCATTGGATTTTGTCAAACACAACTTTTTTCATTGGGCTATGAATCTGTTGACTTATTTTCTTGAAAAATTTAACATAGCTAGATTAAGCAAAGGCAAACTCTTACATACCTGAAAGCTGGCAGTGATGGTTGATTTGCTGAAGCTACTAGGTCAGTTATTTTCTATGGCTACTTTCAAAGCTACCCTACCTAGCTTCAAGTAACCGAATATAAAATTTTCCAAATGCCCATAAAACAGTTTTTAAGTTCAACATGACTGTGGCTAGGTTATATACTTTAATTGACTGCATTCAGAAAACCTTTTCAATTTAATAGCAAAAACATTCAGTGTATTGGGCTGTGTTTGTCTGATACAAGTTTAGTTAGTGGCAGATTTAAGTAGAGAAAAACTGATATATTATCTCCCGTATTGAGAGATTTAACTAAATGAAGTATATCAAAGTTAAATGGGTATTTCTATATTTTAATTGGTAAGTGTATTGGAATTATATAGTAGTTGGCAAATATTGATATCTTTTCAAAGAACTCTATTAAATTTTCAAAGTGCTCACTTTTTAATATTTTTCAACATTCCTTATGTGTACATAATGTCGTTGATCAAAAGGCACAATATCAATACAACAAAGTAATATGAAAGACGGAATTATCTTGCTTGGTTTTCACCAATCGAAAATTAAAGATGACATCTCCTGAAGAGTGAGTTAATCACAAAACAGGCTTGTAGAGATAAAACAACATGTAGTTTTATTTTCTAAAAAAAAAATTCATCATATTCCTTTCCTTTCATTTTTATACGAGGAATAACTCTTGTGTATCAACAGCTCCTGAAGAGTGAGCTATTCATGAAACAGGCTTGTAGATATATGAATGTATATATTCCATTTAACACCCATCTTTTACACCCATTTCACCCCACAGGTTTAGTTACACCCATCTCTGCTTGAAAACAAAGTGATTGACAACAAAAAAGAGCAAAAATATGCTGCAAATTTTAAAAGCATTTTGCCTGGTAATTTTCAATATCAAATCTGAGTTACAATAAAATCTAAATGAATGATACAATAACACATACCCTATTTGCCAATAATATTCCATTTGCAGTTTGATAATGAAAGAAACTTGTGCTACAGACTTGTACTAGCAAGCTTTGCATCAAGGAATTCTCCTGCATTAACAGGATCATATTTTGGTGGATTTTCTGCAGAGCAGCATTCAGGAATGGGTTCAATTTGGGCATCTTTGTTTGGTCCTGTGAAGTAGACAACAGAAAGTCTGGACTTGTGGCATAATTCTGGGGGTGGATTGATGACCCTGTGGAGATTTGATATCCAATGGTCATTTGTCCATTGTTGAATAAGATCACCAGCATTAACAATGTAGCAATTCTCAGTAATGTCAACAGGGATCCATTTTAAGGTGTTTGGCAATAAAATTTCCAACCCTCCAACTTGGTCATCTGGTCTCAGTAACGTAAAACCAGTATAATCTGTATGGGCCCCATAGCGTATCTGATTTGGTTTTGGCTTTTCATTTTCTTGGGCAGGATAGTAAGCAAGGCGAAAACCATTTTGGGGGCTGGAAAAAAATGGCACAAAAAAATTTCTTTTCAGTCCAAGTGCCAAAGCAGATATCTCCATGACAACTGATAAAAGCTTTTGCATATGCTTGCAGTACCTTTGCACAGAGTCTTTCATTGTAACGGGAGTATCTGGAATGACGTCATTTCCAGTTCCATCCTGTAGAAAGCACAAGCTCTCCACAATATCTGGAGGCTTCTCGTCTTGAGAATCCCTTGACCTTGAAACACTCTCTCCTCCCATCGGCAGGAAACCTCCCTTTCCATATCCACTCTTTAAACAGCTCCTCATCTTAACTTTCATTTCCTGACCAAAAAAGTTTCTGGCATTTTTCTGAATGTCCGCAATAGCTTCGAGAGGAACACCGTGGCCTGTTATCACTGCAAATCCAAGGGTGCTGAACGCCCTATCCCATGCTCTCAGTACTTCTTCTTTGCTTTGCTCACTTCTTTCGAGTCCATCTGTGAAAGGAGATAGGTCAACAATCTCTACAACCTGTTTCCCTGTCATTGGGCAACTAAAAAAAATCTTCCTTTGCTGATAACCACCACTGATCGGCGATTACCACAACACAACAACAACACCAGCCAGGTAGCCTGCTTTTCCCAGAAATACCGTAAATCCTCGAATTAGCCCCCTGGGGGCTTATTTATTTTTGATATTTTTGGATGGGGGCTTATTCGAGAGGGGGCTTATACGAAGGGGGGGCTTATACGAAGGGGGGCTTACAGAATCATTGTTGACATTAAGAAGACATTATTAAAAGACCTCGTTTATTTTAGTAGAAATTTCTTTATGAGCATTTATTTAATTACTACCAAAAGTATGAATTTGTTGTGGTAATTCAATAAAACGCCATAGGCGACCTCAGATGGCAAAAATCATCAAATTGAGGGGTCCAATTTGAGAATTTACGGTAGCAGGGGGGGCTTAGTCGAGGGGGGGCTTATTGACAATTTGTAGTTCTAGGGTGGAGGCTTATTCGAGGAGGGGGGGCTTTTTCAAGGGGCGGGGCAATTCGAGGATTTACGGTACTGTCTTATCAAGCACAGACAAGATTGTGTAGGAAAACCTTGATACGAAAACCTTGTAGCTTTGATACAAGTTTCTTTGATACCAAAACCTTGATATCATATTACAGCAAAAAAGGTTGGGGCTACAGCCCCCAGCTCCTTTGGCTCTGGTGGGCGGACCTGATGCCGAGACTGCTGGTTAGCGGACCCACGAGGCAAACCTTTTTTGGATTTTCTTAATCAAGGCCGTCCTTACATTAAGACGTGTGGTGTGAGAGTGTGAAACATATTGCATTGTAACGTGAGGACTTAACTCACGTTACAATGCAATATGTTTCACACTCTTTCACACTCTGTTTCACAATCAACGCCATATTCAGAATTGTCGCAATTAAGGATGGCGCACCCACTTTTTCAGCAAATTGGATCTGAGCATTCCCCTTGAGCAAAAAGCTAGCTCTAAAAAATAATTCAAATACTTCAATTTAAAATAATCTCGCATAAAATGAGGGTTCAACTGGTTCGCTTCTTTGCTGATTTCAATGTAACGGATTCCTTGGCGAGCAATGAGCATGGTGCAGAGATTTTTGGCTGCCATTTCGTGTCTAGAATCGCCCGTATATGTCGCCCAATCTGAAAACTTGCCTAGCAATATTTTTGGAACAGACTTTGAGATAACTGTGAATAGCTACAGGGTTGTTATGAAGATTCAGGCCCCGTGTGGTATCATTATTGTACTGTAGTTTGTAGCAGTGAATTGCAAATTTCTATGAGCATAAAAAAATCTGAAAACACAGATCTAGGTAAGCAAGTAAAATTCTGCGAAAAAATTCATCCAAACCAATAAATCAAAAAAAATTTAGGTCGTTCTCGCGAAGAATAAGAAAAACCAAGCAAACAAGCGCCGTCATGATAGGATTTTTCAAAACGCAAGAAAATCAATTGCTTTTCTATTTGTGCGTACACAGGTTGCAACATAGTGGTGAATACTCGGGCAGAGGAAACCATTATAAACATCGATAAAGGCGTATTAGATGATAGTAAAGTTTCATATTCGGCGTAAGTTGGTCGTAGGTGACAATGAAAAATTATTTGGCTTTGCTGTGAATTAGGACCCAGTATAGGCAAGATCAAGCAAAGAATTTTGGGCTATTGTGCGTTCTTTTAATATGCATAAAAAAGTCAAACACAAGCGTGCAAAAATCACGATGGAATAGCAGAACGTTATTGGTTAACTTTTAATCACAGCCAGAAAAAAACATAGAAAATGAGATAACAATCTTAATCACATCTTCTCCAGAGCATCAAATAAGAACATTATTTACAAATTTTACAACAAAACTTTACAATCCTTGATATAACCAACTTTGTGGTACATTATCTGCTCAACGGTGCCTCGTTATCGTTTTCATAATTATCTTCTTCGTCGATAAGATGATTGGCATCCACAGTGTGGATCATTTTGGAGAGAATCCCAACCTAAAAGAACCAGTTAGACATTTAAATATGTACCAAAAAACAAGCGCAACAGTTATTCTTTAAAAAAACAGGTTAACATTATTTTAAAAAGTTCCACTCTTGTGCTGGAAGCATTTCAAAGTTGCAAAAGTCACCGATTAAGAACTTTGGGAAGGAAAATCACAGATTAAAAATAGGGCACCTGCAATTGCGTTCAAAACATTGGGAGAACTGCACCAAACAAGAACAGCTTTACAAATCTGTCTTCCTTCCTCTTTATCAAAATAACTTTACCTTTAATTCGAGGGCATTTTGTTTAGGCAAGCTGTTATGAACAACCTCTCTTTTAAGACTATGATAAAAGTATATTGTAGATAAGAAATTCCTTTTATAAAGTCATAGATTCATTTTCCAGCAAAGAACTTTTTACCATAATGGTAGTAACGGAGGGATGGAAGACTGTACTATTCTTGAAATAAGCAAGATAACATTACGAATAACATGCACCTGATGGGGTGATATTGACGGCATTGATCTCAGCTGGTAAACAGTAACTTGTCCTTCACTGTCGCCAATCAAGACTGCCTGTTGTTATAGACAGAAAAATGAATGAAAGCTACTGTAGTAACTAATTTCACTTCAATCTTAACCTTAAAGTCTTCAAAAAATTTTGCGCACTTTTTCTTTTAGTGAAGGTTAGATTAGATGTTAACGTAATAAACTAATAAAGAATTTAAGGAATAAAACCATAAGAAATTTTTGGCTGACGCAACAAATATAATATTTCTAAATTATTCAGAATAAATGCTGTGGCATTGATAAACATTGAACAATTTAGAAAAAACTAGAAAGGTCGTTTAAAGATTATCAGTTTTCTTGAAAGAGCAGTAAAACCATAAAACTATAAACTATGAAACTATAAAAGCAATTAGCATTGTAACAAAATTAATCATTAAGATTTCCTTGAGTACCTCCAAACTTTTTCATAAAAAAGGTAATGACAGAATAAAGACACACAAAACACGATGTTCCAGGCTCTTACCTCGGTATCAATAGCAAATATTATGGAGGTTAGCTGAAGATTCTTGTCAATCGAAACGTTAACTATCAGCGGATCAAGCCTGAAAAAAGATTAATGTCTTAAAGTCGTTAATAAAGACGATAAGGAAAATTAAAAAATGAAATTAAGAGTCTGCTCCCGTCATTACTTTCATATTTGGTTTCACTGTGGTCCTTAGCGAGCGAATTTTATTTTCTTTTTTTTAAAAAATATTCTTGATCTCCTACATTTTGTATATAAAATCCTTAATTGTAATTGGCATCTTCCTAGCTTCCAAAGGTAGTTTTCAGGACACCGAGAAATTGTGATTATCGAGCAGTGTCCACTCCTAGTCCTTCCTCTCGATGTGACCAAACGTCGTGATTTGACAGAGCTCTAGCTACTCTATGAACTGCAAGTAAAAGTGTCGTCATAGCAAAGACTGGAAACTCAGACCTTTGGATAGCCCGTGAGCCTAGTCACTGAGCAATTCTCACAGCAGTTCATATAACCTTTATCATTTTCTGCTTATTTCTGAATTTCCAATATTTCTTAAAACCTCCAAAACATGAGGTCTAGCTTCTGCAAACCTTGTTAATTAAAAAAAATTTACAGGTCTCGAAAGATACGGATGTTTAACGAACCTTTAAATGTGATAGAAATAATAGACAGCTATAGGAAATTCTAAGCATTTTTGTACAAATTGGTCACCAAATATGGCCTGCCTCGGTGATGTTTATCTGTCTTAAGCACTTTTGAAATTCTATTTCTATATTTCGGGTCATCTGAAACATTTTAAGCAGGCATTTTTGCATACTATTGGCAATAAGCTCTTCTCTTTTAAGAAGCTTTGCCTAAAAAAGGGTCTGTAAGGGGATGGCTACCTGGGCATCACTTGAGGGTCCTTACCAGCGTTAGACCAGAGCCCTAAAGGTTACCTCATGGCAATAACTGGTGCCCCTTCTCGTCAATTTCCGAAACTTTCTTTGAACTCATTGCCTACTTCCTTGTAAAATAATTCACCTCAGGCATATAATGAATAAATATCACTCACAATAGCGAATGAGCCATCATCGACGAAATTAACTTTTGAGAAAGTCTAAATTGCTATTTGATTGTTGTTTCATAAAAAAAATTCATCAAATCATGAAAAGTCTCTGGAATTCTCCGTTCTTTGGCTCTGTCCTCAAAAGATAATATTGACATAGTAGTTCACTCTATGAAGGCCAACTCACGTGCTATAAGCGAGATCCCAAATCTCCACCTGCGTGTCATTGACAGCCCCAATTACGGTGGGGGATCGCGGGGACCAATCAATATCACTTACTGCTTCCTAAAATTGAATGAATGTAACATTTAAATAGATGTTTTTTTAAAAGATGTTTACAAATCGCTCTTTTATTTAGTCTGGAATTATGGCTTCTTGGGGGTAGGGGCAGAAGCTTGGATATTTTCTGTGTTATAACTTCAAATTTTTAGAATAAGGAACTCTGCTACGAAACGTATACACGAGCTATAATCTGAATAAGAAGGTTCTCGAAAGGCGCTATTGAGTTACAAAAATCGAAAAACGTATAAAAATGGGGTATCAGATTGACATGACAAATGGAGCAGAAGTAGAACGAAGGATGAATAAGCAGTTTTTTTTCTTTGGCAACGCTATTTAATTAACAATTAACCATACGTTTTTAACAACACTTGCCTGTGCTGATTGCAGAGTTAAAACTGGTGACTGTTTGTCCTGGTGCCATATTCTAATACTCCAATCGGCACTGCAGCTTATGAAAGCATCCGATAGAAACGGACACCAAACAACTTTATAAACTGGACCCTAAGAGAAAAATTATACAAAATAATTGATGCAAAAATCCAAGTAGCATTGTAGATGCCGTAAAAATACACAGATGCACGGGCAATGAAGGAGACATATAAAACAAACTGCAATTTATGCCTGAATCCAGTGGTCCTTCTTGAGATCCAGGCCCCGGGAATTTACCACGGCTACCCACCCCCCCTCCCCCCTCATCGGTACTGTCCATGGCACCAACATTTTCATGAATTTGCTGCTAGAGCTGCTTTTTAAATAGAATTGGAAGAGAACTTCTTAAGACAATCGCATGGCCTGAATACGTTGCTTCAAATTGCCTTAAAGCGCAATTCAACGGCTAAAAGCTTTTTGCCATGTAGTTCAGAAAGCCTTTCCAGAAAATAAACAACTAAAACTGCAACTGCATTAGTACCAGAAATTACAAATCACAACCACATAAACAAAATGTCAATGTTTACACACTTTTATGTATTGAACCCTATCTTCAGTCTTGAGTACTCAAACATAAAAGGCTTCAATAACCAGTATCTAGGCTCTCGCATTTTGTCCCTATTCACCCAGGCAGCAAAAAGTACTACATCTAAACTTAAACATTTTAGGTGGCATATATTTGCAAGTCATTGTTATTGTATTGTTTTATAAACATGTACCAGAGTATCATACATTAAAACTATTTGATGATATAACTGCACTGTGCGGGAGAGTTTTACAGTACACATCAAGTAAGTACATTTCATCAACTAGCACGAATTATACAACCTTGCAGTGCAGGTACATTTGAAAGCAATCCTAAAGTCAAAGATATACAAAAAATTCTTGACATCTGCTTCATACTCACTGTGTGACCGGTATAGGTTTCAAGGAACTGCTCGTTATACGAACACGAGCATTTGTATATATTTCCCTCCTCTGACCCTGCAATGTATCTAAAGAAATAGAATCAAAACATCAGATATTCGCTTTCTCCCTGCATGGGTGGAGCTTATTCACAAGCCCTGAACGATAGCACCAACCGATAGCATTTTAATACCAACAGATAGCACCTGAAAAATACGTTCTTAATTTGCGTGTAGGGTATCGATAACTGATGGCGTAAGAAAAGGGCAAATTGTTTTGTTGTCACTGGGTGGATCCCAAACACTCTAACGGGTATTTGTAACTTAGGCAGGGATCACTCCCAACTTACCCATGTAACTCTCGTTATCAATCATTGCAGGTATCATCTAACAGGAGATGTTAAAAACACAATGAAAACGGTTTCCTGCAACTCGACGAGGCTAAAAGTTTTTAAAGGGGTAAAATTTGGAATCGGTATTCTAGGGCAGTGATCGTTCCTTTGTATCCAGAGAACAGACCCCCTCAACTGCGGGATGTGGAAAGTAAAGGGGAATTTGATGGAACGTAATAAGCATACCGCATATGAATGAGAGCCTAATAGCCAGACCATACGGAAACATAAATTACATGGGCCACAGTTTCTAACGGTTTTTTTATATTAAACTCATTAATCAAATCGATGAGACATTACTTACAAATTTCCATCATCAGGGTGAAAATCGAAGCACATTGCAGCAACATATCGCGATATTAAAGCGTCTCCCTTTTTCCCGTCTCCTTTTGTTGGCGATTTTCCTGCTTGTTTTGCTACGTTCATTTTTTTCAACTTCATCAGATCTGAATCAATAAAGAAACAAGGAAAATTCAAGACTACCGAACAGCAGAAATTTTCACCCGATGCATTTTCTAAAAATCTAACTTTGGGGCCTTTAAAGTTAGTAATTGTAGGTGGCTCCTGCCTACGCAAATAAAATACTGAAATACTCGCGATTACTGAAATAGTTAAATTTGGCTCCTAAAACACTAATCTACTACAGTAAACTAAGATGTGCTTTTTGTATGTTTTTGGCATTTTTCGAGGGAAATCAGCTAGGGGGTAAAGCATTTGTTTATAAGGACAATAGCCTGTTGTTTTATTCCCTGGGAATCGAGAGGCAATTAGCCCCCGAGTTTCTATGTTAAAAAGGCCCTGTGTCATCTTAGGGTCTTGCTACTTGTTTATATATATTGCCCTACAGCATAAAGCTCCGTTTTTATAACTGCCTTTATTATTAAATGTGGAGAGGTAGATAGCACTTGTGTCAATTCTTAAGTCTACTTCAGGTTTGTTTATATTCTGCGATCCTGCGCATAAAAACAAGCTCCTAATTTGAAATCACTGCTCGAACTTACGGAATTACGAAAGGGCGGGGTAGCAATGTTGCACAGTATAGTTCAACGTTTGAATAAGAGAAGACAGGACTTTGTTGGATCCTGGGGAGGGTACCTACAAGGAAGAGGAGTATTTTGGCCAGTTAAAAGTTGATGGTCCTGTACCTTCTGGAAAATATCGAATGATAACAAACCTTGAAATTCAAAGCCTTTTCGTATCGACCATTGGGTTATCCGACCATCGGCTGAGCCAGAAACTAAAACCTCGCCACCTTTGTCTTCGCCGGTTCCTTTATTACGGTCGATCCACCGAAGTTGCCAAATTGGGCCTGATTGTTTTCCATGACTTTCTCTACAAAAAAAGAGATTCGCAATCATACTGTTATTTATCAAATGTCGATTCTTGGCTACGATTCGCAGGACAGGACACTGAACGCCAAGACGCTATAAGCCGATAGGCCAAGGAATTTAAAACAGATCAATGCTTAGCTAAACATTGAGCTTACACAAGGTAACGCTAAAGATACTAAAACATTTTAAAGACGTAGTTTGATGAAACTGTCACGTTGAACATTCAAAATTGAACAAACTGTGTATCATCTTAAAAATAATTGTAGGACAAATTATATTGAAAAGACAATATACGTTATATCTTTATGCAACTTTCTGATCATTACCCTTATCCTCTATCAATGCTCAATATTCACAATGAATTCGCTAAAAATAATCACGTGGATGCCCTTCTATTCATGCTTACTCTATAGTCCATCAATATAATATCCTCTTAGAGGTCCATCGAGAGCCACAACAAAGGTGTTATTTGATTATTGCAGAGGACCCCTCGATTTGATTATTCCAACGTAACGAAAAATTTAAGTTTGGGATTGAAATATGATTAAATCCTGATAAGTACATTAATGTTTCTTTTTTCAAATGAAAATGTAATTCTTTTTTTAAAAAGACTAATAAAATTGCTGTTAAAATTAATACTGGCCCCTTGGTGGCACTGGGCCTCAAGACAACCGCCCCCTTGCCTTCCATCTCAGTGGGTATGCCCTCTTAGAAGCCTTGATGAATATATAGGTTATGCAATGAATTAGAAGTGAATTCTATCGTGAATATGACAGTGATCTGGCGATGCTGCATGTAATGTCAACTTACGAGCTGTCCAATACAGCAGAGTCAGTCGTATGCCTCACGTTGTATATGGCTATTGTCCCATCACGAAGTCCCACCTATACACAACAGTAAACAAATAAAATAAACAATAAATTTAAAAATATTCTAAGCAATAAATTCTTACTTATTCGAAACTGCAATGGTAAAAAAATGTTGCAAAAAACTTGCCTCAGGAATATCTCACAATAGCGAAACACCAAGAATGAGTTCATATGGTTTAATTGTTTTCAGATGGCAAAGATCAGAGGATTATATAACACGATAAATACAACACAATTTCAGTTGGCCAATAATGATGCCTGCCAAACGTACACTTGTACACTAGCCTCGATTGATGCAAATTCATTTAACAATAACTTCCTCCTATTTTACTCTAATAATTTCATTGCTGTTTGATATGACCTACGGAGTTTCGGTTTCGTTCCATCAATTATAGTAGGATAGGTAACTCTATAAACATTCTTTGATGGGGGAAGGGTTACGGGGTCAGCTACTTTTACCGGCGAATGCCAAAGTTTTATAATAACGCTTTGGTATCAAGACATGGCAAGGATCCTTGGCAGAGATAATATAGATATAATCATTTGATACAGAAAGACTTACGGCCAGAAGGTTCGGGAAGGCAGACGAAAAATCCAACGCTGTGACAGCACTAGGAAGATGATAAAGCCTTTCGGGAAACTGAAAAAGAAAACCAAATCTGAATCTATCTACAAACATAAATCCATGTGCAGTGAAGAAATTTGGGTCGCTGAAAAATGTTGAAATGTTCACATGTCAAACCTCGAGCTGGTTATTCTTTTAGTGCTTTAAAGTGTCATACCTCAGATTAATACCTCTAGCAGATAAATGTGTCAGTTTCCTCGTGAGGAGATTTTGCATAATCGAGAAATTGTGGGTTTAACCGACATAATTCTGCAAAATTGTATGCAATGTATACGCAAAGGCCTTCAATCAAGGCGACAGGAAAAGTACAGCCCGAGGAACTGAGACTCTGCAATGAAAAGTCCGTATCTGGCAATGCAGCCATTTCAGGTCTCAAAGGAATCACTACGTGTTTTAAATTTTTAATTTTTCACAGAAAAGCGACATACAGTCTTAAATTAAAACAAATTGAAGGTACACCAAGACAGATTAAAACCAAAGACCTTACTTCTGGGCAGAGCAAAGGCAAATTGAAAAAAAGGTTCGCGAGTATAAAGCATTTCACAGAATCAGGGGGGGGGGGGACATTACAACTGGTGTAGCTCCATGGTACGATCATGGCAAAAGCAAACTAAAAAAGCTTCTATACATATGTGTATTTAGTCTCGAAGCTTAATGTTTTCGCTAAACGAATTCTGTCAGCTTATGATTACCTGGTGCAAGTTGCATGTAAAATTAAAAGGTACTGTGCATCGGTGAGGGGCACATAGTTTGATCATTGCACCTTGTCAAACATTCTTTGTTAATCAGAACATTTCCCTCCTAAATTAGATGCCTTTTCTGTATTCTAGACAACATTAAGACTATTTGCAGTTGTCTTCCATAACAAACTAGAATGACAAAAAATCTCTCCATTCTTTTGTTCATCCAACAATTCTATTGTTCTGAAGTGTTAGGTGAAATGTTGGATCGTTTGACCACCTCAGCCAACGTTGTTGGTTCTGCGCAAGCGCAGTTGGTTAAAGAGCACCAAAATTCATCATCGCATCGTTTTGGTTTCTCGAGCTGGTTTTGTTCGTTTCAACAATCGTATTTTCTTACAATCAGTTACACTTTAATTATGGACAACATGACAAAAGATAACAAATTCTGTGCGAAAGAAGAGGCTTAAAGCGTCAATGAAGAACCTGTAGCACAGAGGAGCTACAAGAAAGCGCAGGGGGGCGAATTTAGGCCACGGCCTTGATAGGGGATGCGACGCTCGTCCTGAAAGACCGCGATGACAGTGAAAATATCTGAAGAGTAAATAAATAGAGAAGGCAGCGATTGTCTTTCGTTTTTTGGGACCGAAATGTCGCGAAACTATGCAGCCTTCAGCGCGATCCAGTCTTTTTTCGATCTGCGCGTGAAAATGTTGGGTGAAATGTAGGATCGTTTGACCACCAACGTTGGGTCACATTCCAACATAAAAGAAAAATGTTGGGCGAAATATTGGGTGAAATGTTGGATCGTTTAACCAGGGCTTTAGTCCAATCCTCATCATTGATTTCGTCATTCACCTAGGTATGGCATATTTATTTATGGAACAATATTGTCAAAAAAAAATCTTGGGCGACCCCCTTTTCAATGCCCAACATTGGCAAATTTCTACTTTTGCTATTGTTTTTCGCAACATTTTGTTCAAGAGCCCCCTTTTTATTTTTGATAGCACTACACCACTGCATATACCTTGTCTCCTAGATGCTTTAGAGTCACCTCATTTTAATCCAGCCTTATAACTCGAAACAGGCAGAAGACAAAGACTAATTATCAAGCATAGGCTTCCCCCTGACCACAGATATGGAATCTTATGCTGAACAGGATTAGACTATATCTTCTTAAATGCGACTGTCTTACGAAATTTTCAATAAAGATTTGCTGGGCAGGCCGAATTCTCAGACAGCTGTGGAAACTTTAATTGCAAATTCGAGCGAGTGCTTTCGATACTGTCTTTAAAAACTGATAAGTAATAACGAATTCATGTTGAATGTAATTTGGAGGGCACGGAGCTGGATTTTGAGTTGCAGCTGGATAGTCTGCTTGGTGGAGAATTGGCATTCACAACTCACTGTGTTTTGGTAACTAATATTTGTAAGATTTCACATTTTCTTTAATCGCTATATCATTTTCTGAATCGGGGAATGTCGTATATTATAGCTGTTTTTACATTTTGGGATAAACTGTTGAACAGCTTTCAGATGTACGATAATTACTCTGAAGGAAAAGCAGGCTTTTGAGAGTTTTTCTTAACGGTCTACACAGTTTTCCTGAGAACAGATGTGATTTTAAAGGAACAGAGCAACAGACTTTTTCGCTCAATAATTACCTTATTGTTTTCGGTCCATGGCACTGTTGAAAATTCAATTTTTTAATGGTTGAGCAGACATAAAAATTTTCCGATTAACGTTCAGGAATGTCGAAAGATAAGAAGTGGGGTTAATTCGGATTCAATTCCAGGGTTCACGTTCAAGGAATTTCACATCTGTAGAAGTTATCACGCATCTTGATTGTTTCTCCTTTTGCCCCAGGGTCCGATTTGTCTCTCAATTCCCACAGCTGAAGCTTAATGTTTCTGACAAATATGACATTTTCATAAAATTTGCCAAATATCAAGCAGAAAAGATGGTAGATCTCCGTCCAAACCTAACATCTCCATAATGCTGAAAAACTTTAACAGTACAGGGTAAGACTCACTTCGAAGAATTCTGGGGGCACATCACTCTAAGAAAATCTCGTACACCTTTTGTGAAAATCCTGTTGTTTTATCTGAAAATGCCCAGAAATCCTTTTGATTTAGGCAAAATCTCGTACGCTATTTGCAAGAGTGAGTCGCTCCTCGGAAGAAATGAGCTGACTACGAGAATACGGAGATATGGGAATCATAAAATGTACAATAGAGCACCTTCCTACTGCTAGGACCCTACCACCTTGAAATTTGTTTCTTCAAAATAGTTCAGGAGAAATTTAACTGCTACACAATTCTTGGTTACTATGCTAAACGATAATTCCTGCCGCTTCATATGTCAATGTCAAAGTAACGAGACTTACGGGTTTCGGTCAGTGACGTAAATATATTGATTCTTTTTTGGATCCCATTAACCCATGCTGCGGTAGCCTGCGCACAGGCACGATTTATCTTCCCAGAGATGAATTTAGTTGAATGGAAAATTCAGGATTTCTTTCCAAAATTAGAGGCTGCCATGCTCAGTTTTGCAAACTAGTAACAGAAATCGAGGGGCAATTCACTATTGCAAATAGCATAAGAGATTTTCCCTAAAACAAAAGGATTTCTGGGGATTTTCAAACAAAATAATAGGATTTCCACCAAAAATGTACGTGTTTTTTTAGAGTGGCTTACCCCTCGACAGAAATTGTTAGAAAAAAATCCTTTGCAAATATTTTCCGTGTGGTTAAATCATTCAAAATTTGGTCATAATCACATAATTGTTCTCTCGATCATAAATCTTTACTACAAAAGTTTTATTGCAGCCGTGGTAAATTTAATTTTCATTAAAATGTCAGTTCTTTTGAAATATTATCACCCAAAGCGTGCTGCATTATGGCACCAGGAAACATTATGATTTGTCATCATAAAGAAATGAAAGAAATTAGTTATTAGGGTGCAATTAAAGCTAGACTACCTTAGCAATAAATGGACAATTAAAAAAAGAAAATGCGTATCACGTATAAAAGAGAAGTGTGAATAATGTTGCAAGAGTGTGTGCCCTTATTGTTTTTAGAGAGATTACGTATGGAAATTGCAGCGTTCATCCTTTCTGATCTTCCGGAAGGCATAGGCAGTTCGGTTCGACAGGAGAAAGGTATGAAGATTGTTAACCTTATTAGTTAATTTTTTTAACAATTTCACTCAAGATATTCTGTAAGGTGTCTTAAAAAGCCTAGTCAGTCCTAGCCTATGTAGACATGGAATACGACAGAAATAGCAATAAGTTATATTAGAACGAAATGAACTGAGGATTGCCAAATAAAGTTGAAAAATGAATAATGAGTAAAATTTTTATAAGGTTAAATGGAATGCATAGGCCTGCCGGCGAATAAATCGTTGAGAAGGAGAACACAGCACCGTAAACTGTTGTTGTACGAAAAGCGTCTCATAAATATTCATGTTGAATGTACTATGTAGAATTCGATATAAGAATGGTAGCCCCGCGGGGAAGGAGCGCTGCACAAGTGCAGACCTTTGAATGGGCTTCAATATAGTGAGCCAGGGGGCACCTCAGCGACTGTTCAAAGATGCTGAGTGCCCTGCTGCAAACATAACTAGGAAACCATTAAGTAAAAGTTTATTTTCATTCTGCGAATTGCCGTTCTGAATGGACTCAATCAAGCTGCCAGCCATGTTTTGGTAAAAAGAAGCGATATCAGGGGGGCAGTTGTCGTCTGATGCAAGTCTGATGCAATGTAAATAGTCATTGGACTATCATAGAATCATATGTCGTTCATCAGCAGGCAAAGCCCCTTTGCAATGGTCTCAAAGCATTTCACGAAAATCTACCCACACCGAATGAGACAATGTTCAATCAGTCTACTCAATGGTATTCTCACCTTGTTGGCAGTTAGAGCACGAATCAGCGTTCATAACGATTATCCTTGGCAGTTGACGTAACGAGGCGTATATACCTTTAGTGATATTATTTTAAAGATACCGTTTATTAACTTTTGCAGCGATTTATAGGATGTGGTATGACCAGCTTGAAAATAAGGTTTATTTGGAGCCATTGAAACTTCTTCAGGAATACGATACTTTAACGAAGAAGGTGTTAAGTTAAGAGCTACTGAAAACATGAAACACTTGAATTTGTCCATGCAGCAGGATAATATAAAATCAAAGTAAAGTATATTAAATAAGGCCAAATAGAACCACAAATGGCCAAGGAAAAGCAAGGAGCTGCAGTTTGAAAAGAGTTGAGAATTTTATAACTCTTACAGACATTTTATTATGCGTGACATCCATGACTTTCTATGAACGAATATCTTTTTCTATTTGATAAAATTTTTCTATAGTTTTGCTTTATACCCCTACCGTGAAGTGATTTATTTCGCCAAGCTCTCTCCCTTTTTACGAAAAAGTAACTTAAGCCGCTCTCCTATGTTCTTCCTTTTGAAGCAACAATTCTGAGAAACTCTTATAGTGGCTGCATTTGTATACACAAATTGACCTAGCCGTGTGTACAACTCATAACATTTGGCGGCAGCACCCCCGTATATATTACATGAGCACAGCAGAGATCCATTGATAAGAGCCCTAACCGGGCAAAATGAAAACAAACTTCGTGGGAATGAGTATTGCTTAAGCATGAAGCAAAGCAAACATCATAACCGAATTTGCTCTTTGCATTTTAGGGATCTCCTGTCTTGCCGAGATGATGTTGTTTGGCAGTTTGGCAAGCAAGAAGAAAAAGTGTAGAAAAGAAGGAAAAATCTCCGGAATGAGCCTATTACATTTAAACGAGAGTTGCCTCCAAAACATTGTAAGGTTATTGGACATTAGTTCGTTTCTTGCTATTTCAAAAACTTGCAAAAGGTTGTACGAGGTAACGAAATATTACTCAAGTTGGAATAGCCAAGTTATGCTGAAAAAAGTCGAGGCAATTATATACAAAGCTGTGGAGACGAGAGATGCAATTGTCATTCAATTGATGTATGAGACTTGTCTGAACGCAGAAAAGTTGCAACTAAATCTCGAGACAATATGTGAAGCTAACATTGCTAAATTGTGGAATAGTATGGGTGCAATAGCGGTTGAGATGTTTTCTTTATTGAACAAGATTAATATTGATGAGACAGTAGAAGTCTGGCCATTTTGTCATGTAAGCATGAAAGAGCTACAGTTTACATTAACAGACGGTTCGCATATCAAAGTCTCGTACAAGAGTCTTTTGGACAAGCAAAGCTCATTCAATAACCACATCAAGGTAAAAATAACTGTTACAAGACACGGAATAAAACATATGATCTTGCTTTACGATAGCAACCCAAGAGGTTTTTTGGATAGTGGAATGCTGCCTATAAAAACATCACGAACTAGTATTGAAGATGCAATCGATCTTTGTGGTGAACAAAATCCAGAGGTTCTTCGTCCAGCATTTCAGCTGTTTGAAAAGGAATTGAGCCACTGTGATTGCGAGATAACTTTTGATTTTTTCGTAAAATTCATTCAAAATATGGAGAAAGGTTTCGAAGTCGATATTGCTCAGTACAATTTGCAAACACTGGGCCAAAACTGTCAAACATTACAAGACGCGTTGGAGAAAGCGAGGAAGAGTCGTCAAAGACTTAATATTGAGTATTTTCAAACAGAGCGAAAAAGACATGAAATCCTTAATCGCGAGAATAATTGTGATGGGTTTATCTATTGTCTTGGAAAGCTGGCAAGCATGGGGGGAAGATACCTGAAAAATACGAGGCTGAGGGTGCAATGCATTCGTGATGTATTTCAAATGCAACAACCAAGGAGCCAGAAATCAAGAGAAGATTTAAAATTGCTTCCTAACGTAATATCCAATTTCGACTTTGATTCGATCACACAAGGATGGGCGTGCATTAATCCAAATTTGTTTACCATCTGGAAAGATTTCACTATCAAGCTCGGCAATGGAAGAAACTTCAAAGCAACGATATCATGGGAAGAGAAGCGCGATCGACTAAACGAATACTCGGTGGCTAATAACGAAATATGTTTGATCTTGCACAGGAAAACGCTGACCGTGAAAAGCAAGATGGCGAATCCAATGGACGTGAGCGAGCGAACAAGATCGATAAAAAACTTGAAAAAGGCAATGAAAAAAATTATTTCGAGGGTACGGCTGCGAAAGACGGGTCTCAATGAGATTTCAAGTACATTTTTGTTCAGCATATTAATGACTATTTTGAATGATTAAGAAAAATCGTCAGGGTACGAGAAAATCATCAGGATAGAAGGAAATCTTTTTTGTAGATATACATAGCATTAAAGGAGATAAATAATCATAATTAATAGTTTCCAACATTGATTAAGAAAATATGCGTCTATGATTTCAAATAAAATCGCAAGGAAGAACAAATATATATGGAAATCAAACAAGACATTTTAGACCATTTTCATACATAAGCATACTTTTGTCTTTTTTTGTGATTTAAAATGTACAGGGTAAGAAAAGATTATCAAATGTTTAGCTATTTTCATTGGAAAAAAATTTGTGCCAAGAAATCATAAAATGAAGCGAGACAAAGACAAACAGTAAGAAAATAAATCGATCTTACTTCTGGATTCTTTAATGACCAGCAGCAAATAAGACCCTCTTCATTTGAATCTGACCCGAAATTGCCATAACCAACTGCCAAAAGATCCTATAATTCAGATTGTCTTCTAATTAGTCTGGGCTTCAATGTTGAAGTTATGATAAAAAAATTTGAAATTGATATCTAAAATGTGTCAGGAAATATTGTACCATCGTTAGGTGAATTTGTGATTTGTAGTTATAAACGTTGAAAAATTGTTGATATGCCACTAGAACTGTTGATAGAAATGAACATATATATCAGATATTTAAAGTAAGTTAAAGAATCATATCAAACACAGAGTGACACTTCGACTTTTTGCTCAGTTATCAGGGGTTCGAGGATAGCATGGAAAAGTGGAAGCATAGCACATTAAAGTACTTTTTGTGACATACTCTTCAGAGAAAAATCGTCGGATAATGGAGAAAAGTAAGAAGAAAATCAAGGATCGCAAAGCAGTTTCAATGTATTAGGTACCTTAGTTCTTTTCTAGGAAGGAATGAGGAGATGGCATGCCCCCCCCCTGACGGCCCATCGTCTGCAGCCCAGGGAACAAAGAACAACCAAGAGGTAATATGCCTTGACTTTGATAACGAGTAGGTTCAGCATGCAAGCGCAATAAGAAAGAAAACTTAATTCAAAGTGAGGGACTGTAAGCATGGCAAAAAATCTGTTATTTCCATTATAGCCCATTAGCAGCATTAATGAGGGTAAAGCTGTGAGTACCGCAACAGCCCCCTCCTATTGAGAAAGTTTGAATGCTCACTTGATTCGCTTTGTTCCATGCCATGCAGTTAACTTTTTTCCCTTTCGTGATGTTGCAGGAATACGCCCATAACCTTGTGAGATTCGGACCAATCTTTGTTTCGATTGCTTCTTTTTCCTCCGAAGGTTCTTTAGACGAATCTGAGAAAAAATTGAAAATCTACCACTTGAAACTTAAGGCTGAGCCGCGAATGTCTGAGTTATTACATACAATGATATCAAAAACCATGTGTAGAATGTGAAGTTTTTCATAAAATACATTTTAAAGCTGGATTCGCAAAGTCAGATTCATCAAACTTGACAAAACAAGACAAAGAAGATGACTAACAGCATGTGCAGATTGTCCAGTTTAGCTTTGAATGGTTGAAGAAAGTTACAGATATATGACTAAAGGATAAAGGCATCTTTACTTTGACGCCAAATGTCAATTTTTCAATTCCAAACAGACGAACACATAACTATATGACTATAAGCTTAATCAAATCCACAGTTGCAATCTAAAACTTGCACCAACAAATGTCCATACCTTACACTGCCTCTGTGTACGGATTGTACATAAGCTCACATAATCCTAGACTGATTGTATATAAGCTCACTTAATCCTAGGCTTTTTTACTTAAATAAAAACTTTTAAACCGAGTGAAATACCTGTAACTGCGACAAGACCCTTGTAACTTGCTTGCTTTGCATGGAATATATTCTGAACGACAGCTCTTTCCACTACAAATAGGTTTTTCTTCATCGATTCTGACTAAAACGGTCGAAAATAACAAAATGCATCATAATACCATCATATAAAAATATGAAAATGCATTCAAATATATCCACACCCAACCAATACAATATCGATAATATCAGAAGCTGCAAGCAAAGTCACAAATCTATAACAACAAAAAATCATAATCATATAACACAATGATAAATAAAAATTTACAAGAACATGTCTATATTTCAAAGTAATGTTTGAAAGTAGATTGCTGCGAGAAAATTACTTATGATTAAATAAGCAAGTGAGTTAACAGCCATCGGGTGATTTTTGCATAATCAAAGGGCTAACCTTTAAGATTTTTTCAGCTTGCATATCGATATTGGCTTGTGACAAACTCTCCCTTTCTTGCAGATCCCCAACATCAGACGTATTACTCGTTGTCATAAAACTCGCTCTGCTTTCTGTAAAAAATAGTGTCTAGAAGTGAAAATTTATAAAAAAAAAGGCTAAGGGTGGTTTGGGCTACTATTTATGGATTCAGATTGGATCGTATGAGCTGAATACGAAATAACTTATGAAAACCCAGAAAAAGAAAATCCAAAGATCATGCAAAATGAGTAGAAATCTGTAACGAATAAAAGAATAAAAAAAAGAATAAAACAGAAGAGAGCATGATCAACATGGAATGAGCTAAGTTACTTTAATACCGCTTGCATCTGTTCGTGTTTAACTGCACTTAAATTTTTCCGTTGAAATTTTACACTGTAGACATCACGCAACGCATTAATATGGGTCGGTGCTTTCAGCAATAGATGACAGTGAAACGCTTGGAGTTTTTTTAAATGAGGTTACTTTTTGCTTTTAATGCAAGTGTAATACTATATTTGCTCTTTTGCTTTGTACAACTAACCGCCCACCTGTCATCAACGACTGCACACTTGTGCTCTTTTGTAGATTTGTCAACGCAACATCTCCACCGTCAACAACATTAGGCAGTGCCTCAGTCTCTTGATTGCCTTCTCTCGAGCTCGGTCTGCTGAGGCTTTCAATAAATCCATCTCCTTTTGCATCTAGAATGCACCAGATAAAAGTTGGAGCGGTGAAGAACGAGAATAAATAATTATGATGATCCAGAACACGAGCAGGGGTTTAACAAAATGATCTGAACATAGAAAGGAAATCACAACAATATGACTGCTTTGTACTGGAAAACCTCTTGACTAGCAATCCAATCTAATGACTAGTTAAAAATCTGTATATTTGGACAATATTTTCATAAATTCATATTCATTTCTATTAAATCCAGACAATGTCATTAACAAATTTAATGCTAGTCACGTAAATAACATGGAAAGATGAGATGAATATATACATATTTGTCTATAGGCCTATGAACCTTGAAGGCAAAATAATTGAAACTGTTGCAAAGAAATGGAAAACGGGCGTGGTCTAAATTCGACTTTCTTCCCATTAAACCAGTCTTTCTTGAGGTCATAGGAATCAATACCTATCAGGCTATGTCTCCTAAATAAAAGTTTAAATTTGTTGTGTACGATATGTACGGATTTGAAAGCATCCTACCGTCCTTCTTCGGGTCAGTCTTGGCAAACGTGTCGTAAAGGTCCCAATTCGTAGCCATGCATCCAAAATCCTGCAATCAGTTTCATAAATTCAAAAACTATGATATAGGCTACGGAATAAGAATACTCATTATCATCAAGATTCAAGAAATGCCCATGGTAAGAGTTATTCTAATCTGAAATGAACAGTGAGAATCTAAGCAGTTACATATATACTTCTATAGCATGATCAGTTACGAAGCACCGATTACTGAGTGTAAATAAGTGCGCTGACTGGATTTAAAGCGAAAATATTCACGTAGCTTGATAGTTAACTACCAAAACTAGAGAATACCTATGAAATACCTAAAAACGCATTGCATTCTCTAAAAACAGGGGAATGGAGGCTATATGAGTATGGGAATTAAACCTGGGTCTGTTTTACCTATGTTATGTGAGAGGTTTTAAAGAAACAGGACGCGTCGGAACGCGTGACAAGCTATACGATATACCAAACTCAGCATATAATTGAGCCTGGCATCGACAATCAACCTTTTACTTGGATAAAGGTTCCGTTGAAGAACTGCAATTCAGCACTCGATTCAGCCATTGCCTGTCTCGATTCAGCCTTAAACCACCCCAAATCAAACGTTTTACGAGCAAAACTGACCTGTTTACCGACGTACACTGTCTGCACTTCCTTTTGTTTTGGTGCATTATTGTACGTCTGCATACCACGCTCAACATACATGTCATTTCCAGCTCGATTCTTCAGTAGCTGCAAGGCAGACAAAATCAATAGTTACGCCATAATTTATTAGGGCATACTCGTTCTGAACTCGACTTTGAAGATTTAAAGCAGAGCAATCACAGCATAAAACATAGAGAAAACACTGTTGTAACGCAAATGTCGCTCCACCTTTGGGACAGATACACGCTATACTACCTTTGGGACAGATACTATATACTTTGATCAATTTTCTCCCTTCCACGTACACAGTATACTTTTGCTGGGGCTGAAATTTCACGCCAGGCTAATCTTTTTCACAAAATCCTGAATCTAAAAGCAATTTTTGTACCTCTTCGTATTTCTTGTTTCGCATCCTAACTTCTTCCGCAATATCGCTGTCCTTTGACACTGAAATACCAGGCATATCTAAGTGCCATATAGTGTCAGTTTCTGACAGCTTAACGTTAACCTGAAAAACAACATCAACACAAAAAGTTAGAAGTTACATCAAACAAGCAACACACGCAAGGTTTTTTCCTTGAATATCATAATGCAAGAAGTTTGTGGTTTAACTTACAAAAAGAGTGATTCAATCATAACTACGTTTATGGACAGGGCTGGAAAATGACACATCAATGGATAAATGGATACATCAATGTTTCAATACTATCTAGTTTGCTATGACTGATATGAAATTAAATCAATATTAATTTTCTTTGGTTTTCAGATCTACTAGCTTTAACCTTGAAAAAAAACTATGAGTTTGCTCAATCACATTCTCCTTGATGATCTAATACAGTAGAAAATGACAAAATGATTGCTGTTTGAAAACAAATCATGCAACTATAATATCACTTTCAGTGGCTGGAAACGTTCTCAGGAAATCTTGAATCTTTTATTTTGCTGTTAGGATGAAAAGTCTTTTTTCAAGCCCTTTTCCTGAATGACATTATCTATAAGCCCAACTTGGCTGATGTTTCTCAACAAAAAATCCACCTTGAGTTTCTCCAAATGGATGTATTTCTTTTGCAATAGGAAAATAAGTTGCCAATAGAGTAAAATCAAGATCTATCGGCTCAGTAGGACCGTAATATTTTACTCCAATCAATCATACATCATTTGAACCGAAAAGCAACTTGCCCTTAAAAGCCCATTCAAACGTTTGCGGAAACTTCCTTGAAGCAAAGCAACTAAGTGGTGCATCCTTCTACTTATTTATGTTAGAATAAAAGGCATTGGTTCACGATAAAATGTGACGGTACACCCAAAATACTTCATCACGTGACACTTTGAGCCTGGTTCCCGTAAGATCGGAAGAGGGTTGACGACGGTCTGCAATAGTCTGCGTTGGTCTCCCGATTTTAAAGGGAAAACATTTTTGCGAGAATTTATCTGAGTCGCGAGAGTTGATCTGAATTTAACTTTCTCGACTTTTCCGATAAATGCAAACTTTAATGGGAACACGGTCACAGAACGGGTCGCAACTATTGTTTAAAAAATAGTCACTTGGAAGTAATTAATCAATAATAGGAAAGTTATTTGGCGCGTTTTTGCTTCCTGTGGTTTTGTTGTCAGAATATTTTATCGCTTTCCGACAGTTGTCAACTTATCCCCAATAAATGGGAACACTATTTCTTTGATCGTTATGGAAGATGGAAGAAAGGATCGGCAACACGTTCCTGACTCTTGCGATTATATGGGAACCAGGTAGGCTTTAGTATCAATGGTTGACCTTAAGACTGTCCACTCCAAGTTGTACTGATTTTGAAACCAGGTCGTGATCAGTTGCCGAGATCATAAAAGAACTATAGAGCGATAAGACCCAAAAGTTGAATGCTCTTGCAGAGGACGCCTATCAACCAAGAACTAAGGCCTGAAATGTGAAAGCACAGAACACATCAACAAGCTTCTGCTACCATGAACATTTTGTGATGAATAATGTCAACATGAATAAATCAGTTGTAGATTTGCCGATGCAATATCCTCAATGCATAATTTAGGTTTTGAGATGGTCTGTTATTCTAAAGTTATAGATGTTTAATAAAGAAGAACTTTACCATTCTATCTAGATCAGCTTCAGATAAATCTTCTTTGACAAATGCTCTTCTCGTCTGAATATCTTCAATTAAGACAAAAATTAAACTACATCTAATTGGAACAATGTTTGGCAAAAAGTTAAAGCGATCTGCCATAAATAAATTCATTAGCATATCTAAACAAGCAACGATCATTCAAAAATGGTGAAAATAATGGAATGGGTATTTTTTTAGGTCTTTTTGAAAACTATTTTCACAAACAAAAAGATAAAAAAAAATTTCATTAATTTGAAAAATTTAACTGAAACAACACACTAGATGCCTGCAAGATATGAAAACTTTAGTGAAAAAAATGGAGAAAAGTTGCCTACACCAGACCCAATGCATTAAAAAGTGAAAAATGAAAGAATATATGCCAGAAGAAATATTGCATTGGGATGTATTTGGCTTTTACCTGTAAGCCCAGTTGAAAAGTCGTGAGTATGACTTGGTTCCGTTATTTCATCTGTTATTGAATCTAACGAAATTCTAGATGATCCTCCAATCATTGAGCCCATCATTGATCTATAAAATAGAATAAATTGAGAATAAACCCTATCCTTAACAACAGTAGAGATGAATCTCAATATCATGGCAAATCTCATAGAAGTAAAAGAAATAATTTCCTTTTCTGAAATAAATACACTCTACATAAGTAAACCCCAGTACATAAGTTCATATACCCCAAAAACATTGACTACCAAGTATTGGCTACAAGCTTTACTTTTCTTTGTTCACTGCATACAGTGCAAGTAAATGCTTCTTAAATTTTTGTTTTTCTTCCAAGAGTCACTTTCCTGGGGGTAAATCAAATAATAGAAGTGTTGAATAAACATTTCCAGATGGTGATAAAATATATTGCCCTTTAATTAAAGAATGACTAAAATTATACAGAAAACTAATACTGTTACAAACATTTGTTTACCTTGTAAAACCTTGAGCATAGCTTGTTTGCATACTTGTTCCATATATTGACTGTGCAAGTTCAGAGGGCTAAAAGCGATTGATTGGCATTTCAGAACAATAATTGTCTAAATCAATCTTCTTATCAACTGACTACAGGGTGCGGAGGAAATCCTAGCAAATATCATCTATATAAATAAATATCCAGAAAAAGCGGCGTACCCAGGGGTACAATTTAGTGAATGTACCCCTACCCACAATTTTTCACCATTGGACCAGAATTTAAACACTTTCTCATAAAATTATGAATATCTACATATCACTAGAAAAAAGTTTAGGAGCTTTTAAACTTATTTGCAATACAAAGTAACACAATCCTATGGATTTCAGGCCTAAAAGACTCTTTTAAACTTTGACTTATACAACTTATCAATATTTAAAAGTTGATTCTAATGATATCATTTATTTACAATATTACAAATTTTGATATAGTAAGAATTTGCATTGAAAAATACAAGGAAGAGTGTGTTTCTTACAGTGCCAACAGAGGATGAATCAGCCAAAATCATGTTGCTACTTTGATTCTTCCTACAAAGATGTAGAAAATGGGTAGATCATGTTCTTACTGACTAGCAAAGAGGAAAAAATTGTATCCTATGAAAATCAGTTTTGAAAATTATTTTTGCACTTTGATAAAAGACAGGCCAACAGATAAGAAACATAATTTTCATAGAAAACAATTAAATCATAAAATCACTTTGAATGCAAGCAAAAAGGTTGGCATGCAAAACTGAATATAAAATTTATTGACAGTACAAGTTTACATAACATATTTTGAAATAACACAAATACAAATTAGGCAAGCAGATACAATTGTGTTAAGAATTGCCCTTGTTTTGATGATGAGCATCATAAAACTGTTTACAGGTTTTTGCACAAAGACATTAACATCACTTGATTAGCACACAAGCTTTGTATCCTGTACTTCTGCTTTTAGTTCTGTTCAATGAAAAATCGCAAGCTTAGAGACCTGCAAATATCTCCTTATATTTCCAAAATTCTAGAAAATTGTTTGAAAAGCAAACAACTACAGAAACATCTTTATAAGCAGGCTTGAATTGCTTTGGCTCTTGTTATCTCACCTTTGGGAATGTACATCGGCTGGTAGAAGGCTCCTTGGTGTAACATCTTGACCTAGCTCATCATAAACCTACAAAATGCATGGAGATATTTTACACTAAAGAAAGAGCCTTATTTGCTAGCATTCATAACTACAATCTTTACAGAAGTAGCCCCAGTGCCTACATCAGACAACATGCAAATAGACAAAGAAAGACAGAACTACCTTCACCCTCCCTTAGATAATATTGATCTAAATAGATTCATACAGCTTTAAGTGACAAAATTATTACTTCTAGCTACATAAAAATTCAGGAAAATTGTAATAGGGGTTGGGGCTTATACAAAAATGCCTTAGCTTTGCTAAACTAGTCTAACAGTTCTGTACTTTCAACTCATGTGCATAACTTATTCAAAATATTACTGTGAGCACTTGATATTAAAATATTACTGTTTGTGATTTGAATGCATATCATAAATCTCCTGATTTTTAAATGAAAAGCCCATTTCAAATGATATAACAGAGATGTATGGAATAGCAAAAGATATTGAATCAAGCAGTCATATTTCAAACCTGTCAGATTAAAGAAATATATCAACTTTTTAATGGATATGAATGGATACTTGAACATTGGTTTTGACTACAAATCAATATAATGGAACTTCATTGAATTCATGCATGCCACTGACAAACATTACCTGTACTGCTGCTTTCTGAGCTGTGCTTTTCTGTGATCTCTCATCTATGGCAACATTTCTTCGACTTCCAGTCCCATACATTGTACTCTTTGAAGCTCTAAAACCAATTTTAGTTTGTGTGCCATAACTGGCTTGGCTTCCAGCCATGCTAACATTGCCAACACTTCTCTTGCCACTTAAGGTACTTTTTCCTCTGCAACAAGAAGGGAGCGTGTATAAAACTTTTAGAATTAGGAATTGTCATTTTTCAATTTGCAAGGTATGAATTTGCAATCAATCAAGTATATGTTTTACAAGAGGATTTTTGAAGGGGAAAGGGAATTTTGCATAGCAAATATGGTACAAAATTGCTGAAAGTACAAACATTTGCAGCTCAGTTTCCTGTAACATCGTGAGAAAAAATCGAAATCCTAATTTTTTACGAAGAAACTCATCAAACGGCAAACGCAACAGTTAAAAACAAACTTGGTAAACTACTGACAAATAAAAACAACGTGTAAACTGTTGAAAACAAACAATTTGGAGTCACCAAAAACAATGTACAAACACTATCCACAAAAAGAAGCTTTGTGCAAGAAGTGCAAGTTTTCTTATATGTAACAGACATGGCCATCCTACTCAATTTTTCCCATCAGGATCACCGCAAATAACTTGCAAGTTTTCTTTCTGGGCAACATCAATCATAAAAAGTGGCTGAGAGAATTCGTGTATCAAAGCATAAATTTTCATTTACGGGTAAGGTAATCAGCCGCTAAACCAAGATCACAGAAAATCCATATGATCCTAGCAATAGTTTTAGGTAAGAAGCTGAGACAACTTACAAATTCTTTTTCATTTTCCTTTAGTCTTCAATAACCCTTGGTGAGATTTTGCTAGGCCAAGTCTCGATTACATTCAGTTACCTGGCAACCTTGTAAATCTTTCACGTAGATCATTTAGTTGAATTGTTATCTTTCTTCACACAAGGACAACAGGGAATGGGGGAAAGATGCGAAGAAACTGAGGTTGCTTTGCTTTTTCATAATTTGCAGAAACACAGGAAAAGAATAACAGAGGAAGCAAAAGAGCGGGAAACAACGGGAATCGTCTTTCAAATGCATCCAGCATCAGGCACTGCGCTAGCAGGATGACATTGGGCTAGAGCAGGGGCTATATAACTCCCCCACTTTTTTGCAATAATAGGTTAGAAAATTTTTAGGAAGTTTTCTCTATTGCAAGTTTGGAAAGTACCGTAATGGATCCTAAGAAACAGCAGTTCTCTTGAGTCGGAACCCTTTTTATTTTCTTGGTGTCTAATTTTTTTTAATCAATTTTTATAGTAATTGTTATCTTCTCTGAATCGGACTGTTTATAAAAGAGGTGAAAAGAAGAAAGTATTTTCTAAAAGGGGCATTTTCTGGCGTTTTAAGGGCTTGGCCTCAAAAATTTTCATCGACCCTCTTTTCAGCCAACCAACTTTTAGACTGGCGCGCTTTGCCTGTCCAACATATCTTGAACTTTGATATGTTCTTTGCTAGCCTTTTTCATTCTAATGAACCCTTATGAAAACATTGAAATGCCAAAGAGGTTGCAAACTCCAAATTTTTCAAACTTCTCACTGGCTAATTGCATGTAGATTTTTAAAAAAGCTTAAAGGTTAGGCATCCTAGCTAAACTGAGACATAACGCACCCAATATCCTTTTTAATATTTGCAATTAATTTGATCTCCACTCCTCTTTGCTTGACCCTCATTTTTACAACCATTTAGAAGGCTATAAGAATTGTTTGCTTTAGAAAACACAGTGCCATTTCAAAACCAATTAGAACCGCCCCTCCCGCGTTATATTAAGGCCTATAATACTCTTTTGGGATACATTATCGAGACAAAGACGAATAGTTTTGGTACTTCAAAGGAGATCAATTTGCTCATTCCTACTACAGTACATGTACACTTACGTTCAAAAAGTATTGGGACACACTTCGAAACTTCAAAGACATTTTATGCAACAAATTTGGAAAGACTTTTTTAAAATCCTTCTCATTAAAAAAGTACGGCAGCTATTTCCATGAAATTTTCACAAGACATTGTTGATATTTTGAAGCCTTTTATGTACGCCAAAAAATTAAAAAATCATCGACCATAAAATTTCTATAGGTCTCGAGACGAAAACATGGAAGCTCTGAAAACTCAAGAACTGAGTTAAGAGAAGCGTATACAAATTGCTTTCTACTCAAATAAAGCAAATGGATTTCACGATATTGCATCAATTGTCGGCTGCTCATTGAGTGCAGCTTTTCTGGTGTGTAAAAAGTTTTTCGGTACAAGAACAAGAAAAAAATTTACCAAGGGTTGGCAGACCGAAGAAGTTTACGACGCCGAGGGACGACAGTTCTTTACTGAGGGAACTGCGAAGTAATAGGTTTGAATCCTTACCAGACATCGTGTTGTCATGTAAAAAGAAGCTAAATAATGGAACATAAGCAAAAACATGGCTATAAAGTTATGAAAAATACAAATTTTCCAGCGTTATAAGAAAAACAAATGCTCTCTCAAAGTTAAAATTAATCATCGACGATGAGTTCAATGGCTTCTCCTTGAATGTTACGCAATTTTAAAAGTAGCTTGAATAAATGCAATAATTTAATAAATTTGTAGCATTTTCGTCGATGAAGTAAACTTTTTTTGAAGCTTAAAAGTTTGATTTTATAATTTCTTTGATAATTTTTTTTGTTATTCAAACGTGAAATTAAAAAGTTGTATTTGTTTGGACAGCTCTAAAATTTTTGGAAGGTCATGTGACTTTGCCATTGTTAGGCCATACAACTCTTCTGCATATTTTGTTGTTATAATCAGGAAAATCGCAAGAATCCTGTTTTTTCGTGGTTATGCTTCATAAGTTGAAGCATTTTCCTAACTTGTTATTCCATTTTGGGGAAACGTAGGCCTAGATTATTTGTAGAAAGACTGCCCAAATCTGAAAAAGTTTCCGTTGCAAAACCGAATCCAAGGGAACGCCATAATTTGTTTATCGAATTCGTCCCAATACTTTTTGAACGTAAGTGTAATTATTCGACTATATAAAAAGATCGCACTTTCTTTCTCATGCCACATTAGGTTCAAAGCGAAAAGCAGAAAAATTCACAAATAAAGTTTTTAAAATGGCTTCATCATCCAATAATCAAAATTTAAAAAGAAAATTTATTCTTCATCAAGATAAAAATGCAAGCACCTTCATTATTTTAACTATGCAAACTCGGACGATCCTTTGTAATAACAGCGTAAACTGATAGGGCCATATGTTTAAAAAATTGTTTTAAGACACTCCTATATGTACCCAATCTTCGTACATACCGTAAAAGCTCTATTTAGTCCCCGGGGGCTTATTTCAATCCTAGAAGAGGAATTAAAAGGGAGGGAGGCGTATTAATCATTCAATGTAAAAAATTTTACAAAAAAGCCTTATGCATACTATTATGTTATGAAAATGTCATACAAATGTTCTCAACCCTGGGACATCTTCTAAACAAGTTTCAACTGACTTCTAGATTTAAGGCGCACATTTAATGCACACAACCCAGTGCCATCGGAAAGAAATTCATACTGGGGTGATGGCTGCCAATTGTATTCATACTGGGGGGCTGCAAATTGTATTCCTTCTCATTCAGTACACTGTTATAAAAGAAATATACTACAGCTTGAAAATTATTAGGGGGGCTACAGCCCCCCGTTTCGGACGGGCTTTGTTTGACATCAGGGACTTAAAAGGGGGGCTTAATAGAGAGGGTGGCTTATTTTAATTTTTTGCTTGATAAGGGAGGTTTAAAAGAGGGGGGTTGTTTAAAATAGCTGTTACGGTAACCAGGTACTCAAACGCGTTTTCTAGCAGGAGCCTGAGCAATGATATAGAAGCGCCGAAGGCGCTAGATGTCTAACTCGGGTCATGCTGCGTACTGCCGAGTGAGGCAAATTTGTTAACTTCCGCCATTTTAAATAGTGGCAAAAAGCGAGCTGCAATAGGGTTCAGTATGGAAAACGTCGTCAAATGAAGGCTGTCTCACTCACTTTGTTCGCAAATAATCCCTGAACACCTCCCAAGAGCGAAAAAGCTAGCAATCGCACTGCTTACACCCTATTAATTTAAGAACAAATTAAGGACAATCCAGCCTCGGATTTTTGCGAAAATAAAGAACAGTCAGCCTGAACCTATTTACTGGTTTTTATAAAAAAATAGTGAATACAACATGCACCTAGCAGCATACCCTTCCCTCTACAACGCGTATAAATGCTTGATGACACTTAGTTGCACCCAAGTTTCCTTTAAGATTATTCAGCGCTACTGATAATTTCAAAAGAAGAGAAAACTTTTCATTTGATTACGAGCAAGTCATTGGCAAATTTACTGATTCATTTGCACTTCTTCGAAAAGAATTGAAACTCTGAGAATTTAAGTAAGTTTTGATCTTGATTATTAACTCTACCTAGGATTTTAAAGCCTGTTTACACGAGAGGAAAGGTATGGATCCAATCGGGTCCGAATTTATGAAGTAAGGTCGATATACTGCTGCTGTTTAGCGTATTGCTTTATTATCAATTTTTATTGAATCAATCGTATTCTAAGCCACATTTTTAGTGGGTGTGGCTCAACTTTTCACACCACGCCTTTAACCGGGCCCTTGAGTTTTCTAGCCGCCCTGCGATTTTGACGCCAGACCGCCCCTGAGTGTCGTTTTGAAATAGTTTAAAAATATCAATGATTATATGAAATCAAAAATTGATTACCATATTTAGATTCTGTTATTAATATCCAAGCATTGAATTATGACCTATTTTCGGCTTTTTCTAGAGTTTGGCCTAGATATTTCATAGCAGTTTCTGTAAACAAACAAAGAAAAAGTAACTAAATCACATCTTTGTACAAATGTGTTAAGAAATTTATGCGTTGAGTGGCTAAACATTGTTGCTGGATTCGTTTTAAAACAGATCAATCATTATTTTCTGGAATTTAGACGAGACAGAAAACACCACAGCAAGCACCGCGACGGTAAATGGTTGGAATTTGCGAACGACGGCTTATTTTTCCAATATTAACATCAATTCATTATTTAAGTGCAATATAAGTGCTCAGTATGGCTTATGGAGTAATTGAGTATGAGTTGGAACTTGAATGAGAGGCTATATTATTTCCAAAATGGCTGCATGTACTGTTGTTGTCCGCGAGACAATCTTACTTTAATTATGACCAGGTCAGCTTTTCAGCTTGTCTTTGGTTTGGTAAGCGAATCTTCATGTTATACAGAGTATAAATATAATTTTACATCCAAATTTTGCTTTGGGTACAGTCTTGGATCCCATTTTGTAAAGGAAATCAAGTTTCTAACAGAAAGAAATCAAGTTCAAGTTACTAGATGAACAGAGACATCAAGCCTTTATTTGGCCAGGTCACTTATATTTTGATTGTTTCTACCAATCAGCCCAGAGAATTGTAGCTGAAAATGCACTTACCAGCACTGATTAAGCCCAGATTGAATGCCTTTGCATCTAATTGTCGCCTTAAGTGGTTTGTCAACCTGTAAGGAGAGATTTTCCTACCAGGTTTATTCTGGGTTTTAAATAAACAGTTGCTTTTTGCCAGAAAATTTACAACAAAAACCCCTTTTTAAGCTTTGAGCTAGCTTATTTCTACGGTGTAATTTTGGTATATAAAATGGTTTAAAGCTTGTAGAGTGTTCTTAACCATTCATTCAGAAAATTACGCTTTTGAACAGTTCTATGCTAAGATCTTGCACTGTCCTTACACTGTCCTGGAACCGTTGAAACCAAATTAGATGCAAAGCCAGGGTGCATTTCATGTACTTAGGCCTGAAAATTTTCAGCATATACTCGTATTTTTTTCAGCATTCAGTGTGCAACCCAAAAAAACTTGTTTGGCTTACGTAAAACTGTAATGCTAGTTGAAGTGCTAAACATGAAGCCACATACATAGTTGACACAAAAAGCAATGAAAGAAAGACCCATACACCTCAGTTTTCTCTATTAATCAGTTTTCTTTGTCTTGCCTACAATATTAACAGTTTCACAAACTATCTATATTTTCAGTGTACCTAAGCAAATGCCCCAGTGGACCTTCAGCACCTTGGATGCCAAGGCACGGCAAATGCAAAGCAAGATAATTCTGACTGAATTGTAATATCTATTTTGTTTTGTATTATTTTTGTATTTCTTCCTCACCAGATTCTGGCACTTATTGTGTTGACTGCATGGAGTTTAGTTATATATGCAGGATATTATGTGACTGTTGAGAAGCTGAAAGAAATCTAAGGTAAGATAAGTATTTTCTTCATAAACCATGGTTTGTTTTATTAAAGTTTAAGAAAGTATCTAATTATGTAATGTTGATGGTATCAAAATACAATCAAGACTGCATCATCAAAGATGATGCATTATTGAGTCTTGCATCCACTGCATTTCTTTCATACATCGTTACCACTGAAAGATGCATATTATTATGCATTGTTTGTTTGTTTATTTGTTTGTTTGTAACCTTATTTTAATCCGATATTGCTTCTAGCTATACATATATACATGGATATATACACATACAACTAATCTAAATCTAATCTAAATTGTTCAGGTGCACTTCTCTTCGCAAGTGCCTGTGGGCAAAAAACTGTTGTTAATTTTAGTGCTGTATTTTTCTTTTTAATTTTTTCAAAAAAAACATGTTTTGAGAAAAGCCTGTCACTTTTTTACTTCCTTTAAAAATAATTCTGCAAAGTTGCAAATAGGCCAATTAGAGTAATCTGATAACTCTTTTGTGCATGACCCCCTCTGTTTTCATTTATCTCACTTTTTTCTGTTGTGTCCAAGCTATTCTTCTTAAATATAAAGAATGAATACATCAGAAATCACAACAAACAAAACAACTGCATATAACTTTTTAATGATTTTTAAAATGTCATCTAATCATTTCAACATCAAAGACATAGAATTTGCCAAAGAGTCAGTGAACACTAATTTTCAATAACCTGTTGCTTTTGTATAGAGCTCAGTTCTATATTTAATGCTACTACTTGCAGTTACATGCTCACCTATGATGCCAAATGTCATAAATTTTCCAAATTCTAATAATATGAATCCCATTATGCTTTATAAAAGTCCAGAGAATTAGTCAAGGTCTTCAGTAGAATAGATCAAAGTACTGAGGTGAAATCAGGCAAATTGAAAAGGCAAACAAATTTATTATTCTTTCCAATCCCTGAAACTTTTTCTACAAACACAGTTTTAAAATAATCTTAAACTAAAATCCTTTGGTTTGAAGGCAAAGTGCATCCCCAATGCTAAAAGCTGGATCAAATTTTTGTCTTTGCAAGATTTAATCTGAAACTGCTTGTAATAACTTTACTGTTATTTTTATGTTTTCTTTTTAAATTGCTTAGAATGTGAGTTTTGTTTTGGTATAAGATACGATCCTACCAGTGCAAATGAATATAATATAGTCACAAGTGCTTCTATAGATTATTTATGCATAAAAACATTTGCATAAAAGTAAATCTTCTTCATGTTCCGCCATAGGCACAAGTTTGTTCTTCTTTATTAAGTTCTCCTCGTGTCTTTATGGTAGCCGAAAGGACTGTGCAGTAAACAAGCAAGAGTCATTCACTTCCTTTATTCAATTTCTGGTGTGTTGCGCTGTTTTCTAAGCAACAGTTGTCTTATTTCAGGTTTCGTTATGATGTAAAAGAGTGACTGAGTTGTAGGAACGAGGTTCCAAAGCAGCAAGGCGATTGGAGAGAATATGGTCGTGTTAGACGATGGTGTTGACATTCCCATGGCAGCGTAAATGATATCGCACACAGATGATATCAAACAGCTTAGCGAAATCATTAATGCTATCTTCAGCATCATAGCCTCCCGTTTATCGTGTATGGACACTCGCCTTGTGTTTATCGAAGGAGATCTTGAGCTATTGATCGTAGTCTGTCTTTGCCGCCATTTAACAAGTATGTATACGTAGGTTACAGGCTGGAAAATTATGTTGATAAAGTTGATTGAGATATCAAAATAAACCATATGAATCATCTTTTTCGGATAGTCCAGGATAAGAAATGGAATCCTGCTAGATAGGCCAAGGAACCAGCATGTTGAGACAGACCCAATGACGAACTTGTTTGAGATTATTGTACGATGCTTAAAGGGAACAGCAACTGCCAGGAATCTATCGATTGTTAACACGATTGTGCTCGTCGTGTAAGCCATGTAAAACCCTGTCTCGAAGATGAAAAGAAATTCTTCGATTTTCTGTGACCCTGGAAAGGAAACAAGCGCCCAGAGTAGCCACGACGGAATAAACAGCGTGCATAAAAACACTGATATCGTGCTTATGTTTATCAGTAGTAATGTTTGTTTGTTTCCACGTGGTTTTGTTTTTATAAGAGCGTGTATGCCCACAATGTTGAGTATCAAACCTGTCAAAGACAAGCATATTCCCGTGATGGAGAATGCAGTCTTTGCTTTATCTGTTAAGACTGATGCCATTTTTCCAAAGCTGTATATACTCCTTGTCTATGTATTTGTCAGGCAATAAGCAATTGCGAGATTTGTCTCATAAATGTCTTCAGAACTCGCAAGTCCTCCAGGCCGGTTAATTTGATCTTTTATTTTCCCTTTTTCACTCCAGTCCCTTGTATTCAGTAATGTTCTAGTTGGTTTTATCATATTCCGAATGCACATGGCTCTGGAGTCCTTTCCCAAACATGACGTATCCAAAATGCTAAATTCTTTTAATCACTACTGACTATTGCCAATGGTTTAAACTGATCAGTGAATGGTTTACCACTCAACCATGAATACGATGGTACTAAACAACTTCGTTTTTCTGTATACTGTTGATAATAGGTATCTCGATTCCGAGATAATTGTATGTTTTTTACTCAAATATTTTCCGATTGCTCACACTGTTGCTCAAAGCAAGGATCCAGAGGCTAACAATCAAGTCAGCGCTGCAAAGGTTTTAATTCACGTAGTTAATTCTTCCAGAAATACTGAATCATTTTGCTTGACTTCGCACCTGTAAATAAGCTGTAAATATTACTATTCGTGATTACAATTATATCTTCTTATTTGTAACTAGTTTTCAAAACTGTTAACAGAACACCAAACATACGGTCTGCGCTATGTAGATATGCTGAAGCCCGCGTCTTAATCCAATAACAATCCACGGTTGTCTAAGGAGTAAACATTAAAGCCAAATGCCAATCATGATAAAATAAATATGAAGTCTTATAAAACACCGCCAGAATCGTGAATTCAAAAGGTATCTACTCTTTTGGCAAGAATTCTTATATAGCCATTCCTTTATCCATGAGATAAAACTTGATCTCCTTGACTTTCCAAATGACTAAAGGTCTTCCGTTACTTGCTCTAGCTGGAAGTTATCAATTGTATCTTATGTAATACAGCGTTAACTACATTCATTACACTGCCTATATCGTAAGAGTTTGTCCAGAGCCAAAGCTTTCCAAGAATCCGCTGATCAAATAAACCTTCCCTGCTTTAACAATGTAAGGTATTTCTTGTAACTGTTGTTTCGGATCAGACGGATCAGTTAATTAGTAAATTACCTTAAAACCCATCACATGAATGTAGAATGTATGCAGCCAAAACCTGTGCAGGGATTTTAAATTTTTAACTGAGATTTTATGTAGCAAGTTTTTATTAACTCACTTTTTTAGAGAACTAATTTGTAAATTGTACTTAAGTAATCAGCGAAAATAGCAACTCTACTCACTTTGTCAGCGTGAATTAGTTAATCTTTCCACTCGCAATTGACGTATTGTATCAAGAATTTATTGTGTAAAATATATTGTATCAAGAATGAAGAGTTTCGTTTCTGAAGATTCTTGATTCATACAAGAAAAAATTCTTTCCTGTATTTGTCAATGTTTGATTTGATCAACACTCATCCATCTTTAAAGTCTTGGAAATATTTGCTCAAGGATATATCAAGGATTTATTACCTCTTTCAGTCCTCTGCATAACAATGTTCTGAAACTGATCCCTTTGCAAGTTACTGGTCGTACTTCATGGTTCATTTCAATCATTTCTCGTCAATGTCTGCTGTGGATGGACATTTCCACCGTAATATCAAGCCGTAATTATATCACCCAATATTTAATCAAATACATTTGTTTTCTATGGTATTAACGACGTACCAGACGTAACACTTGAACGTGCTACCCGCTCTCGCAGTCTTTGTAAATGAGCACGAATCAGGAGCTATCCAAGCACAGAGCATGCTCGTCGCGCTTGTCTCGTTTGCAAACAAACACGAGCAGGTGAAGCGATTTATTGTCGATATTCTGTATACATTAGTCTGTCTGTGAGCTTTTTAATACTTATTTCACTTAATCTTCACTCCAACGTACATCGTTGTTGATTGCGCAACGAAGCTGACAAAACTACCCACCTATGTAATACATAATTTAGCTTCAAGTGGGATCAAGAGCCCTTGTTACTGCAATCATAGATACGTCTTTGGAACACCTTACAGAACATCTTATAACAAAATTGTTGCTTTTAACAGCTAATAACATCTGATAGAAATGACAAGTAGCGTCCTTCCCCCCTTAGGAATTAAAACCTTGCTTCCATGGCTGTACGATTTATGAGAAAAATCCCTCAAAACAACTCTTCAAGAAGGATTGTGGAAATATGTCACTAAGAATTTGCATGAACTTGAGTTTCTTCTTAAAAAAAACGTATATGCTATCCCTCGTAATGCTAATTAAGATGTAAGAGAGCTTTATCTAAATAAACGCCAGAATCATAAGCCTGGTTGTCAAAAATTGCTTTATCTTTGGGGAGTCCTAGAGTTTACATTGTTGTATCACTTGCACTGTCGACAGTGGGAGGTTGCTTCAGCCAGTTACTTCTTATACTTTCCCAAATTGCAGACTTCTGGTCGCATAATGTTTCTTCAAAAGTTGTGATTTGAGTAGGTTTGAGATGTTGCCTTCAACTCTATTATTTTCATCGGAGCCGACTGTATTTTCATTTCGATCATCCATCTGGTTTTTTTTTGTTCTGAGTAGCGTCTTATAAAGCATAGCTTTCAAATAGGCTTTTCGGTATAGTCAACCCCATTAAAAATTACAAAAGCCGAAATAAAAAGTTATTATCAGATGCAGTATTGTTCAGTCCAATGACCACATTTTGTTTTATGCTTTTTGTAACCTTGTTTGCGACCAGTTTTATGCCATGCGTATGGAACAGGTTGCTTTGAACATAACAATGTTTTACTGTTATATACTGATTCTGGAACTCCTAAAGTTATTGAGTTGTGTACTTGATTTCTTAACCATTCGCCTTATATACATTTGATAACATTGTTCTTGTTATCATTAATTCCTTCTTTATGAAGGCACAGAGAACTTACAGTAAGAATTGAATGAAAGCAAATGTATGTCTTAGCACCTGTGAAGACTTACAAAAGATTCATATACTTATCAATACTTTTGTTTCATTCTAAGCTGTTAATCCGTAAAAGGTTCACGGTGTGAATTTCGGATGTGGAATTTGGCTTTTGTGTACATTCTTTTGTTTCAAAATTTTCATTTCTGGGTAAATACTATTCCGGGGAATTTCTCGCCACAAGTATCAATGCTTGAAAGTTGGTTGATATTGCAATGCAAATTGTAGTGTGATGTGAACATTCATCATTATGATAAATCCGCCTAAATTATTCCAAAAAATATTTATTCAAAGCATGCCTAAATAGGTTTGCGAAAAACTTTGCCAAATAATGTAAGATGTTGTGTTTGCTGCTAAATCAGCTGCTCTCATCAAGTTTTCTTTCATGGTTTGTAATGCAATAGATTAAATTTCGAAGGCCAGGAAATAGGTGATCATAATTTCGGTCGATAGGTTCGTACTTAGCCACTCGTGATTGGAAATCCGCCTGTTAGATGTGATTTAAAGCAGATGATGGTATTAACAAAATGTTTTTAATCAATAGTTTTCATGAAAAGAAGTCAGAAAATAAAGCTTTGTATTGCATTTGCTGCTGTGTTTAACGAACTATCCTAGTCAAAATTTCTTAAGCAAGAAAGCACCTTGCGGTTAACTTTACAAAATCGATGTACCTAGTTTCCGGGTGATTTGCTTAATGATTATCCTAGGTTTATGTTGTCTGAAAGTAGGTGATTAATAGTTGGTTGCACATAGAATTCATCATATCCAATTGTCAGTATCCACAATATTTGTTTTGGATGACGCCTGATGTAATAGCATTTCTCACAAACTTCTGCATTCGATCTCATGCGCGACTTAATTAAACATGTTTACCTAATTGTTTATCATTTATACTAGAGTCAACTTTTAATCGCTTAGTTAGAGGAAAAGAATTTTCTGCTGTTTTTTTTGCTGTTTGTCTTGTAATTGATCGTCAAGCGCCATCAAAATAAAAAATACGTTATCTGAAAAGAAGAGACGGTAGTTTTTACTGAGTTAGTTTGCATAGCACACCGAACCAAAAGTGCATGCCGAACAAGCAAATTTGGACTGTAATTGTAACTGTTTCGCACGCTTTTTGACTGCATACCGATCTAAAGTGAATGTAGACAGTGTAATTTTGTCGAGCATTGTCATACTGTTCTGACAGGCCGGCTAGCTATTGAAGTTTTTCAAGTTTATTTAATTGATTGAAAAATCAAGTCTTTAAGGTACTTTTTCTTCAGGCTGGAACTGTAGTAAATCAAATCTCCTTGCCTATCGTTTTTACGCCACAATGCTCCCTAAGACTGAACATCTAGATCCAGACCATGCCTTTTTTTACTAAGTTTTATTTGCTTATTGAAAGAGTTTTATTATTTCGGTTCATTAGCCGGACAGAAGGTAAACGAACGTTCTGTAGAGCAGCTCTTTTCAGAGATTGCTAAATAAGAGCCTGGTATATTAAAGGCAAGAGACAAGCAGAGACAAGCAACAAGCAGTTTCTTCCTTAGAAAGTTGGATTGTCATCAGATATAGTCTTAGTTTGCTAACTGTTGTGTTTTTCGCCTCAACAGACATATAAGAACAGAAAATAAAACTGTTTTCCAATATTAAACTTTCAACATCCAAACCGTACAAAAACAACTCAAAGAACAATGCTTTTGAAAAAGCATGTTACGTTATACAAATGGTGTTCACTCACGCATTTTGATTAACACCTTTAAATAAAGCGTCTTTTCTAAAACTAAAACACTAACCTATTCGAGGTACGCTACTTGTGGTGTACAGCAAGGATCCAACCTTGTGCTTCTGTAGTAATGGTTACACATGCAAGATGGCTTCGTATAAAACTATTGTAAGTGTAAAGTTATGCGTCCTCTTTCTTGTAAAGTTAATCGTCCTTCTCCGTAAGAAATATTGAATAGGCTTAATGAACAATACAAATTGCCCTCTGAAAGATGAAATATTCCATAAAGCATCCTAAACTAAACATCCAGATGTGCAAATCCTCCTGACATCAAAACCAGGGACAAAAACAAGTTGCTAATTTTGGAGGGGCGTGGAAGGATGAAAATTCAAACTTTAAGTGAGAAATTTTTCATACGACCAGTAAATCTACTGTACCTACCTAATGGAAATTTGTAAATAGCCCAAACACCATAGTCCTATTTTCTTTATAATTAAACTCATTTTTATAAGAATCAATAAACTTAGGTTCAGGCTGACTGTTCTTAATTTTTTCGAAAATCTAAGGCTGGATTGTTCTTAATTTGTTCTTAAATTAAGAGGGTGTAAGCAGTGCTATTGCTAGCTTTTTTGCTCCAAGGAGGTGTTCAGGCCTCATTTGCCAACAAAGTGAGTGAGACAGCCTTAATTTGCTGACAAATTTGAATATTCACCGAAAAAGCACCCACACATTGCTAAAAATCCTCGATTTTGAGAAAAACGTTGTTCAAAATTGCATTTTGCAGAAGCTCAGCCTCACCTTATTCTTAACTTTTGACCACTTTTGAGGCTCGTGTTCTTATAAAATTACTCTTATAAAAAAAAGATACATTGAGCCTGATAAAGTAATTAATTCTGTTTTAACATCTTAACAAGAGCAAAATCACACTTAAAAAAGTAATATATTTTGAACAAATGAATGTATTCAAGCTTTTCTAAAGGACGTGGTCACAAAATTTTCTGCTGGCTTTGTTCGCAGGGGTCTCGTCTTTTACTTTTGCTCCAGGGCCTTCACAAACTCTTGGTGGACCTGTCAATTATCAACCATACTGCATACCTCAGTTATCAATGCCCTGCTTAACCAATTTTTTGTGTGTGTATGGTAAATCCTTTAATAGGCCCCTCTCATATTAGCCCCATTTAATAAACCCCCTCCCTTGAAGTAAACATTGTTAATAAGCCCTATTCTTGAAGAAGTCCACACTCTATCTTGCCGGCAACTGCCCCAGACAGAGGCGTCGCCAATGAGTGGGTACAGGAGCGCTGTACCCTCCAACACTTTGTCCGTCGGCACATTTAGGGTTTTTGCCGGGCAAAAGAAATTTTTTTTCTCACACTTGAAATTTTTTGCAACAATTGTAACATATTAACATTTCTGTGAACTCGCAAAGTATGGCACTAAAGTATGAATTTTGAAGTAGAAACGCATAAAAGCAGCACAAAAAGTTTTTGACCACACCCTTAAAGTGTGAGGCACTATTTATGTCGGCAAAGATCATTTCAACACCCCGCAGAAAGAATCGTTTTGGCTTCACTCCTGGCCCCAGGGGGCTAATTCGAAAAATTACGGTATCAACTTATAAAAATAGGACGGAAGAATATTTTAGTCATCTTAGAGTAAAAGCGTCGGAAAATTTCCAAGGTAAGCAGAAAATTTTAACAACTTTCCACCATAGTAATCTGCCACTAAACAGGAGCATAGGAGTATAGTGTTGTGCTATGATAACATGGAGTACTATGATGCACGTGAACAGGCGGGAAAGTGAAAACATGGATGATAACGCGACCCCCACATCTAGTAGCTCTGTATTCCAGTTGAAAGTTTCGCCTGCACTTTTAGAGCTCAAGGATAAATACAGAGATATCGATACGTATGGTTTTAGTCCTTTTTTCTGTAAAAGTATACAATAAGAGTTTCATTGTGTATTTGAATTTGTTTTAACTGGCTGGCACATAGAATCAAAACAACGTCAGCAACCAGCCAAAGTTAACATTTTTAGTGGAAGATATTTACAAGAAAACATGATTCGACTCTTTCACTGAAATGAAGAATATAGGTAGAGTGGATTTAAAGGTTTGCGCTGGATGGAAACTTTGTTGCCTTCTAGGTTTTGCATTAGGAGACAATCTTCTGAATGACCTTGAACTCGAGGAGCTTCATTAAAGAGCTATGACAATATGCGTTATACCAAAGCTTTAAAGAAAGTTCTGATGTGCCAAAAGGCCCACCTGCATCTAGTTATGCAATGAAATTAGTCAGCGTTTATTTCTGTGTTGAGGGGGGGAGGGGCTGTTATTAATGCTAGGGGGTTACCAAGCATAATGAAGGGTATGGTCCTTGTCATATTTTGCTCTTTGCTTATACAAAATGTTATTCTATTCATACAAATTATTAGATGTATCCTGTAAGGTTTATTTTCTTTTAGTCTAAGTACACAGGAACACAACATGTCAACCCAGGCAACAAGAGATATGATTTGTAACTGTGTCAATAATCTTTTGACAGATCTTGCTTCAGGTTTGTTCAGTAAAGGAATGTTATTTGACCATTTTGTGCACTTAATTATTTTTTAGTTTAGAAAGTATTTTATAAGAGTGTCTGCTTCTAAACTTGTGATATTTTAACATCAAAATTAGTATGAAAATCTGTAGTTGTGTTTTTTAATGATAATGGGGAAGAAGCTCAGTAACACTATCATATCTGACCAGTCAAGCCTTTTAAAAAGAATGTTATAATACTGTTGTTTTTCTAGTTGGTGCCCAACTGAAACGAGAGACAGGTGGGTCTCCTCAGTCTGAAGTTGCCTTGCAGTTTTTTCATCATTGTGTGGATGCTCAACCGTACTTGTATATCAGCACAGAAACAATACAGTGTGGTTTGGAGAAGATGCACTCAGAAGATGGAATAGAAGAAATACTTTGTGATGTAGCAACAGGTGAGTTCAGGAATTTAAATTTATAAATTATATAAAAAGCAATCACTTGTAAACTATCACTGTCAACATTTTTGAGCACTTGTGTTTAAATAAAACTTTAACATAGAGTGAATGACCAAAATTACACTTGAAATGTATGTTTCATCACTGAGTGATTTTTGAAAGAAAAATATATATTATAGTTCCTATAATTCCTATAATTTCTGAGCTATTGCTCTTAGCATTAAAAAATATGATAAAATCAACATTTGTGTCAAAAGTATCTCATAAGATGGGTTTTGGCTCTATTTTGCCGATACTTATACATTTCTACTTCAGTTTTATGGTGTTCTTAAATAATTGACTCAGCTTTTTATAATTGATATTTGACATGTGGTATTCAACCATAAAGTCCTTTTAGATTTTACAAGGTGGCTAATATCAAGACTTCTTAGAATCTTGTCATCAAAGCAGTGCACCCCACTACATGAAAAGTCTATTGATGTCATACACGCAATTTTTCAAGTGAGGGTTCAATGTTCTGCTTTTAATTTACATCTTTTACATTGCAATGTCATATATGTTTGTCATTCTTAGAAGAAATGAAGAAGTTTCTTATCTAAAATAATTAAATAAATATACTTCATGTATGTGAGTATTTAAGTACTTGGAAAAGGGCCACTGTTGTTGAGAAACACTGAATTATTACTGTGCCAAAATTTGCTTTGATAAATCCAATATGAAAGATAAGTAACAAAACACATAATTTTCAATTGAATGAAATTATAGAAATAAGCAAAATGAAAATTCTAAGGTATCAATTTGGCCCATGCATTGTGTCTTAATGGAGTTGTATTGTTTTGTATTTGTCTCTTCGGAAGGTAGGTTTTAGGTTTCAAAGGGGCTATGCTTATCAAGCAGTATCCTGGCTCGCCCTCTTAAATTGATCACGCCTTGTTATTCCTATGTCTGCAATAACAGGTAGCTAATAACTCCATTTACTCTAAATGAAAGTATGGTCATATCAGTGACTTGATTCAAAGGCCCTTGGATCTGTACTTCACAAGCCTAATCTTGAAGCCATCCTCCCACCTTGTAGCCAGACTTTGTACTTCAATGCAAGTTTATTGCTATACATTTTTATTTTCTACAAAGTTAAATTTTTAAGCCTATCAATTAAGCTACACAAAACCATTCAGCCTGCAATTCTGCTAAAGAGTGTTAGGTTGTTTTTAAGAATATGTAGCTTTTAACAAGAAATCTTATTTATTGTTTTTTTAAATCAGCTTTACATGGGAAGAGACATTGTACTGTATAGACGTCTGGTTTCTGAGCTGATCAGTTTGACTGTTGGTGAGTGACATCATCTGACTATATGCCTATATTTAAAACGGGTTTCTTCCTGCTTAAAATGGGTATAGCAATTCTAGCCATTTTTTTACTAACATTAACTTGATCTAGCTAGATCAGAAATTATCAAGATTTGACATAGTCACTATGTTTTACTGATTGCAAAGTTGAAAATTTGTATTGTGTTTGAAACAGAAAAGTTATGCAATGTTCTTGACTGTCAAAAAGTCACATTTACATTCAATATTACTGTTGAGGTAACATGAGGATATCCTGCGAGTATTTTGGTATTTTAGGTTGTAGCTTGAAGGTTTTTTTTATTTATTTCCATTTTCTGTTTTCTTTTTAAATTTAGATTTGACTGTCCTGATGGAGAATGTTTTTCTAAATGGAAACAGTGAACTACAGGGCAACACTTTTGGTCTAGAGAGATTCCAGAAAGTTCAAAGTTTAGCGGAAAACCAGGTACTTAGAATTGCTTTATTAGAAAAGCAATCAAAATTCATAAAAAAGGCTGTGCTTCTTCTGTTAACATTTTGCATTTATTCATTCGCTACCAGAAAGAAGTGATAAGCCAATAGACCAGGGCAACAAAAAAGGTAAAGTGCATTTCAATATTGATCGGTCAAAATTTGAAAAACCAGAACTTGGAGAAAGTAAAGGTATAAAATATTCCCCCTTGGCAACGGACTTCATCAGAGCAAATACAACAGGCTGGTAAAAGAATTCAAAATAATTGATGATGGTGTTGGAGGGCGGGTTTTGGAATGGTGGGAATGCATCACAGCAGAGAAGGTGACGGATAATGGAAGTAGGAGTGAAAGGGTTGAGGCAGATGTGGGGGGTGTGGTTGGTGGTGCTGAAATAAAAGTGCTTTCAATGTTGTAAAATTATTGGTGCATGCCGTTATTAAAAATGATGGTAAGAAAGAACGTCCAGATAAATATTTCTCAAACAAATAGAGGTGAAATAGAAACCTGAAAATTTGACAAAGAAAGACAAAAAGTGTTCGTTATCTCTCTTGGACTCTTCAACTAGGTAAGAGGTTAGCAGTCGCTGAGTAGTAAAAACAGGATCACCAATCAAACGCATCTTTCTTCCTCTCACGTTACTTTGGATCCAAACTTGGATGTAAATTTTCAACTTACTTTCGGTCATAAACTGACGTTTAAAGTCTGAAGAGTGTCGGACAAAAAGGTGCTTCAGTATGCTATGTTTCCGGTATTTCGTGCAATCTTCAAGTTTTGCGGTACCAAAAACATATTTGTGTTTCTTTCTTAATAGGAGTCGGACGAACACAACGAGGATACAATGTATGCCAAGCTGATCGAAATTGAAACCATTTCTGAATGTGATTTGCTCCTATCTTGTTGCTTGTAAGTGTTTTTGGTTTTAAACGGTTACTTCAGACGTTTTCGCCGTATCATTGCCAGGATAATTTTTGGTTTCTGTAGTTTTCCGGTTAGTTTCATTTCAACTCTATTTCGTGGACCAGAAAAGCCCAGAAAGCACAGCCGTTGTGACAACCGTACGAAATCTAGTAAATTGCATCTTTACTAGTAAATCGCTAAATTCGAAAATAATTTGAAAATCATTCTATACCTGATGCCTTTATTGCTCCATGACTTTTCGCAAGATGCCTTTATCGAAGTTGCCTTGCTTTACACAAACCAAAAAAAGTCTTCATTAAAATTATGGTATAAAGAATTCTATTTTTCCTGCTCATGATTGAAAGATGTTATCAAAGATTCATTCATTTTTGCCTTATGCCATGATTTTTTGGTTATTACCTATCTGCAAAAACGAATTTATCCTTACAGTACTATTCTTGAGAAATCTGTGCATGGACTTTGTCTTTATTGTGGATCATTGTTAGAGAATCTTTGGAATGTTATAACTTTTCGTTTACGACTTGAACTGGATAGACTTCCAAAGGTATGTTTTTCACTTGCGTACAGCATTTGAGCTGTTATAAGTATCTTAGCTCCAGATATCCGCTTTATTCAACTTTTTAAATAAGCCGCCAGCCACTGAATTTAGGCCCTAAGTAATTTTACTGTGCCTGCAAGTTTTATGTACAATAGATAAAGTGGTTCTCATAGTTCAAGCTGGTAATTTGTACGAGTTAGCATTATTTTATCACCGTAGCTTTTGATTGACACGTTTGACCAATTCGACCAATCATATCACTGTAAGCTAAATCAAGGTAGAGAATGAAACCCTTCAAATTTCAAATCTGTAGCGACCACAGCTATTACCGTCCCCATTGCTATTTAGGTTACTTGTCTATAGACTTCGGGCTTTCTGTGGTCATGAGTTTTTTTATTAACGATCTGCAGTATTGCAGTATAAATTTTCTTGCAAAGCCAGATAAACATTTCTTGGCTGTTGCTTAAATGATCTAAACTGTAAGTAATTATGTTTTTGCACGTAACAAGAGGGCTTCGTTTTTTGAAGTTACTCCAGACTTTATTGCAGCCTTAGTTGAGATCAGTTTAGAATTTACCAGTATACTTCTAGTCTAAATACAGTTCTTAATTTTGTTTGTGCTGGCATTGAAGATTTGACATTTGAAAACATATAAGAGATTTCGCTGCAAAAATTGTTCTAAATTATTTCTACGCAGTGGCTTATCCCGCTCAAATGCCCTATAAAATCATCTGACAATCTGGGTGATAACTTTATTTCGCAAAAAAGTTATCATCGCGAGTCCTTGCATCATGAACATTACACGTAGACTAAATTTCTAGTCCTTATTCCGAACTTAAGGTCAAAAATTTGATGCAAAATGTTTAAATATATTTCAAAAATTAGTTCACAAATTAAATGGAATCAAGTGATTTATTGCGTTGATAGGCAAGCGCAAGGATTTTTTATATTTTGCTTTGAACTTGAGCTTATGACGTCAGACTAGTGTGAATAAATGTAGTTGTACACGTTTATTTGTTTATAAATTATATCATGTGCTTCGATCACTTTTCAGACGGCAGTTTCACTTACTCGGGTGCTTTTGAAAACATGCGGAATACTAATGCCATTTGCATTGGATAATATTCAATCTGCGATGCTGTGCTGCTTAGGAAATCTTGTAGATCAATCGAATATTGATGAAAGGTAATATTTTTTTTGAATAGTCAGTGTGCCGATGATCTTTTCTTGGCGAGAGGAAATCTTCACCTACACATTGTATGTTCTGCGTTTTTCAAAAGAGGTCCAGATAATTCTTAACTCAGCTGAAAATTATCACTGATAACCGACAAATTAGACTAAATCTAATCAAATGTTAGATGTAAGAACAAATATGATTCTCTCTCTGTAATCAGAGGTTTCGTGAAACACCACGTAGACATGATAAAGATGTTGTAACGCCTTTGTTTGGATGTGTTGCCGTGCGAATTTGCCATCTGTTTATCTGCAGTTTACCGTGTTGTTAAAATAGCAATTAAGATGTATTCTGTTGTATTTTTGATGTATTTGATTTTTGTGACCATAGATGTGACATTTTAAGGAGAAGTTTCTGCATTTTCATAGGAAACATTCAACATCAATACAGTGTAAATATTTGAGGGCATTACAGAATTGAGGAAAATTGCGACCATATGGGATAGTGAAAAGGTTTTAAGAGTTTCTGGAGGAGGAGGGGGCGTGTACTCGACGACCACTGTCGGCGAGGAAATATGGAAAGGTCGGTCACGGTTCAAAATCATTGGGACAAAAATAACTTTTACAACATAACAGCTCTTTTAAACATAACAATCTCAAGTATTCAGAAATTGTTAGAATTCTTTTATGATATCACAACAGACCCGCTCAATAAGCAAACATAAGACTCGCACAACCTAACCCTTCGTTTAAATTATTTGTAATGATGTTAGCTGGTCTGCTGCCAAGTCTGCGGTGCTGGTCTACAACAGAGTGCTCGATGTCTTAAACAGGGGCGGTTGGGGGGGGGGGGCTGAGGCTGTTGCCCCCCACTTTTATGCGTAAGTGTGATATCAATGTTATGGATGGAATTAAAGATAAAATTTGCTGCCTTCCATAGGGGTTTTGCCAACTCGCTTAGAATCCCCCCCTCCCACCAACTCAAAAATGTGCTCCGGCTTTCCTGGCTTTTCTGTTCAGACCAAACGGTTCTAAATTGCTTCTTCGAGTTCAATTTAACCACCGGATATTGCTTGTGAACCCCAGATCAACAGTTCAAAAGTCTGGTAGTTTCTTATGCCCTTTCATGCTTGCCACTGCAATTTTTTTGTCCACATAGATTGTATCAAGTTTTAATTTCCGTTGTACGGTGTTGCGTTTTTGACCCCTTGCTGTAAACAATGTTAACTGTAGTTAACTAATTTGGTTTTGGAATATTCTCGAGACGTTTATTGTGGAATCCTTTATGCTTTTCTTGCTGAAGGGAAGGAGACGAACAAAAACTGTTCGAGAAAGAACTCAGAATCACATTTGACTGCATTTTTAATAAGCGAAGTAATTCCTCGACATATTCATTGCCGGAGTCAAAAGCGTTTGTTTGGAAGATTGGGAGTTGGATTGCGGACAAACCCATGAAAAGCCACTTACAGGTATATGAATTTTGCATTTAATATGATCGAGGATGGTGTATATTGATGACAACTTTTTGTATCTTTTTTTTTTTATTTAACGAGGACAACTATTTAACAATCTGTTATATTGTCGCTTTGGTGTTTAGAGCAAGGCGGTTCTATGCTGCAGCTCTGAATTTCTTGCGCAACACCCACAATCAAGCAACTGTAATTTTTTATCAAATCAATTGTAAAAAGTTCCAAAGTTTTAAGTTGTTTCGAATTGAAGGCCCTTTTCCACGAAATGCTACCCTTTTTAGGCCGTTTTAAAACGAAATAGATAAAATTTTGAACCCCTGAAATAGTGTTCTCGGCTACATCGTTACTGCGTGCTATGACACAAATTTCAAAAACTGCTGCCAGGTTGTTTTTTGCACAATTATTAGATTAAAGAGTCTGCCACTTCATCGCAAACAATTTATAGACTGGAGTTGTCATTGTGATAATTAATATGCGCAAATTTGTATTTAAAATATTTTTTATTTCCCCAGGATCTCATTTGTTTCGTTGGAAGAAAAATTATAGCAACATTGTGTAATAAAGATTCGACAGGAGTCTCTAGTAATGTTTTGAAAGATTTGGCGAGGTCTCTAATCGAAAAGCTTGGGACCAGCGATAGTCCAGAGGTATTGTATGCTTTTTTAGTCTTGATGTAAAGCATATAACTTAACATGATATGATAAATATATTTCATTTGATGTGATGCTGATCCGATATGATGTGATTTGATATATAATTGATTGTAATTTAGCAAAGTATATGCACTTCTAAACTTAGTCAAATCGGGTAGATACACAAGATTTTAAATACCCTCTAATCGTTTATTTTATGCCAATGCCATGCAGGTTTCTTGTATATAAACAGAGTGTTGCAAAATATATATGCTCATAAACTTCAATTTTAGGTATTTGCATCATTCATAACTGAAATAGCAAAGGTATTGGAAGCTAATGTCAACAAGTTACCTCTAAAAAGAACGGTATGTACACGCATCTTTTCATTTCATTTTATCAACCTTTTTTAGAAGACTGTATTAATTTTTTGCAGCTTTCAGTATAATATGACTAGCACGCATTAAAAAATATAATCAGCTTTTTCTAGTTTATTAATTTGAATTTAAATATTATTGTTATATACTTTTGATCAAGTTTGAGTTCTTGCTCTTAATTCATTTTTGGAAAACAGAATACAACTTAATGCTAGTTCAAGAACACGATAAACTGCAGAACGATTCTTGCATTTCTCTAGCTTCAATATTCTTATGAAATGTGTTCTTACAAAAGTATTTATTAAAAGTAATATAATAATAATAATAATAATAATAATAATAATAAATCGAATATTTTAACAGGATAACCTATCAGTACAATATGTACTGTTATCATTAGGGTCCTGATATATAGTATATATAGTATTGACATAGTATTTATTTTAGGCCGCTGTCATGGAGTCCAGTGATCGTCTTCATTTGAAAAGGTGGGGTTTTTCTTACATTAGTTTGTATTGAAGCGCATCTCGATCTTATTATGCCTTAGCTATCATTCGCAAGATTATTTTATCATATCAGCATACGGTTAATTTTTTTGTGTGTTTTCCTTTCAACCGATCGTAAATTACTGCGATCTATGAGTTTTTTCTAATCGAACTGCAGACCCCAAAAAATAACTTATTACCCTTTTCCAGCAGCGCTCGTGTTGCCTCTTCAATCGGTGAAATGCTTCTCAAGAAGATCTCTGTGCTGGGTGCTGAATTAACTGGTTTTGATAGGGACGTACAGGTAATTATTTATTCTTCATGACTTAAGTTTTCATATTAATCATCTTTGTATACGTATCAGGAGATACCTCTTTACAGATCATTTAGGCTAAATCCCGGTGTTAACCAAAAATACACAGAAGTCCACATCCATGGATTTGTAGAACTCTTAGTTCCTGCGCCGGCCTTTTTCATAAATTTACTGCAATTTGGGTCTCTGTTCTGAACTTTATCAACCGAATCAGAATCTGGCCATGTTTAAAAACTTTTCCTTTTTTAACGGTATTTCTTGGTCTTCGTCTTTCAGGTCAGGTATTTCTAAAATAAATTATTCTAAAAATTGTAATGACGTCAAACCCCAGAACGATATTCTTCTGATAATGTTTGCTGATGTGCCCGCCATTTCAAGTGCAATATTTCCAGTTCATGTGCAGTTTGACCCTATATGATATCAGATAAAATGTAAAAAATATTCTCGAGGGTTGCTTGGTATTTAAATTCGGCGTGATTAAACTAATAAAAAAAATTACGAGATCGCCAAGAAGTCCTAAAATCTCCTAAATATTTCGAAAATTTCAAAGATTTCAGAAAAACCTGAACTTTTTTTGGACCTATCTAGGCAAGCTCTCCAATGCTTAATTTCATCATAATTGCCCTTTCTTCATTAAGGTACAAGTCACAATGTGTCCCTTCTCATTGCCATTTTTCAGTAGTGTCCCTCACTTTAAATATGCCCCTTTTCTGTTCTAAAATGGAACAAGTTATGTGACTATGGGACATTTCATGGGGAATCATCAAATAGTTTACCATTATGATATTATTAAGATTCGAACAATGGTAAAGCTGTAAAGATTTTCAGATCTATCACTCAATTTCCAAACCGAAGACACAGTCATTGCACAAACGGGCAAAATTTGCATAAAAACATGAATTCCCTTAAAATCGTAGAAGTATACTGCACTTGTGTATTTTATTTAATAAATTATCTTGTATTCGTTGCCAATTAAAGTAATATTTGAAACATAAATTGATATGTATTAATATTTAAAAATATTAAATTGGCCCCCTTAAATTGTAAGTAGGAAATTTTTTAATTTAATACAAAGCAAGCTTGGCTTGATGGCGGTTTACTTCAATTTATTTGATCGTGGGAAGCATGGCAGGATGGCCGAGCGGTCTAAGGCGCTGGTTTAAGGCACCAGTCACTTCGGTGGCGTGGGTTCGAATCCCACTCCTGTCAACCTTTTTCATCGATCTTTTAAAATTTTATTGGCACTCAACACCTAATTTATTTATTGAAATTGGTGAAAAGGAAGAGATACATCTGAATTATAATAAAAGATAACAAATCTTGGTCCTTCAAAATTAAACTTAAATTATTAAACAACATTTTGAACAAATATGTTTAAAAGACTCTGCACAAGAAACTTTAAGAAACTTTTCAGTGATTATTTATAAAAAGCATTTTTTGCGCTACAGTTAGAAGTGTAAGAAAATGTAAGAAAATTCCATGAAAGATAGTTTCTTCTGCTGGTGTTATTGGAAATCACTACCTGCATTATACACATCGAAAGTTCTAAAATGATGTTTCTTGTCTAAAGAAGTAAAACCCAAAATACTTCCAGCCTCAAAGTCTGGAAAAATAAAGGGCAGCCAGCCTGAGCTTCAATTTACTGGTTCTTATGTAACAGCATTTGTTTATGGTATAGATTCTGTTTCTGACAGTGAAGGCAAACATCGAAATCTCATTGTCCGGTTCATAATTTCCGGGTATTTTAAAGCTTTGTTACTTGAGTCTATGCTTTTTTTCATTCTGATTGTAATATTTCTTTATAACAGAATTCTTGCGAATTGATTATGTACCTGAGAGGCATCAAGGCATGCATAGAAATATACTATAATACAAATTCCCATGGTCAATGCCAAAAAGGTAAGCGCTTTAATTGATTTTGTTTAAAGTCATATTGAGTATCAGGGCTAACTGAAGTGTCTGATCCAGTTTTATGTAAAATATTTGTTTTCCAAACAGTTTTACCAGCTTTGCAGATAGAATCAGACTGCGATGCATGAATACTGCTCACATGATAATTCGTATGATTTCTTTTATAAAGTCTCCTTTTCTAATTTAAATCGCCGAGAGGTCCTTGAGTATCTCGTTCCTTTAATTTGAAGGCGGAAAATTTCCATAGAACTTTCAGTTAAGTTTACCACAAAATTTATTTTTGGCTAAAACCAATTGATATGATTATTTGAATAGCTAAATATAAAAACCTTGGACAAAATTTTTTTCTTATAAACCAACATAAGAACAATTTATTGCTTCAGCTTTAGCTGCAAAAGTCTATCATTTATCCATATAAAAAGAGATTCAATATAGTTATGCTATAGTTCAAGCTTTAGTTATGCCATCGAAAATATTCTCAGACCGCATATATTGATGTCCTCTTTGTCTCCGATGAATTGTAGCTCCATAAAGGTTGGTCTGATGTGCTCTTCCAAACATTTTACTAATTACGCTTTTAAAGTTCCTTGACTTTGCCTACGCACAATAGATGGCGAATGATTATCGATTCAAGTTTTTATCCTATTAATTATGCAAACATATTTAAATGCCTTATTCGATGAATCTCAATTTATGCAATAGTATTTATCCAATCATATGAATTAACAAAGCGCCATCACTCATACATCATGAACTCATGTATCATGCCTACAATCATTTCCAAAAGTACTTGGAACATCCAGTAATTTGCGTTGTGTTTTAGAATTTTTAAATTCTTTTCCCGGATACTCCTATTTCCGCACCCCCTTCCCCCTAAAGAATGTTGATAATTTAGAATAACTAACATAGAAGTCGCGGAAAAAAGTGTACTCCCTAATCCCCTATGTCGTTTTGTAGTAAACCAACATTGTCCAAAGGGGGGGGGGGGGAATGGCTGAATTTGCCCTTGAAAACTGACGTTAGTGTACCAAGATTTTTGGCAAGCATTATAGCATAGTAAATTTCTAAGCTTAATTGATATTCAAAGAGTTTTGTTTGTTTTTCTTGCAATACTTAATAATTGTTTTTTACTAATAACAATTGTGGGGTATACTATCAGGCGCACAAATAAGATTCAGAAATTTCTCTTTGTATCTTACAGACTTTCTTTCATGTTTGGAAGATATTTCGAATGGAATTTGTGCGCTAGTATATGATAAACAAACACTCAATTACGAAGTTCAGCAGAAATCGCATCTTTTAATTCTGTCAATTCAAATCTTGGATCACGCTGTAGCAATGTTCAATTCCAATTCAGTCAAGATGGCGGCTCCTCTTTACAATTTTCTTGCTGAAGTGGTCTATTTGCCGTGGACCGAGAGCATTGATCCGCCATGGTTTGACTGGAAGCCAGAAGTTCACAAAGAAAATGAAATTAAAACTGTTCGAGACAATTTGGCTCCTTGCTTAGCAACAAGTTTCATTACAACTGCTCTAAGCGTGATTCTTAAGTTGCCAATATCCGATCATATGCTATGGAAGGTACATATATTTAGGACAGCCTTGGTGAGTATGGCTTCAGTTTCATTCGGTGACAATCAGAAATGAAAAAATAAGCCATCAGTCTTCAGAAAGTTTTGAGATGACGTGTAAACCATGCTAGAGAACTTTTCTTCAAACGCCATTCTTCCAGTATAAAACGAAGAAGAAAAGGTGTTTCTGTGAAATGCCATCAATTGCTTATGAATATACAGCGTTTTAAGTTATAGTTAGGATAATTTTCGAATCATCGGACAAGCTAGGTCATCATATTATTTAGATATATGAAATTTCTAAAGGTTTTTTAAATAAAAGAAGATGTTTTATGTAAGTGGACAGAGTCATTAACTATCTGAGGGATTTATAGGCCCCAGCGGGTCAAAGCAAGAAACCAATAAAGTGCACCAATCGGCCTTTCAAGCTATTTTCAATGCCAACCTTGGATTTCCAATTTACCTTTCGTTTTCCTGTGCCACTTTGAAATTAGAAGTTAACAAGGGTCGAATGCGGAGCTGATTGATTGCAGGTACAATAGCCTGGAATATAAGATCTACTAGTTCACTTAGAGTGTTCTAGTCTCAAGAAAATATTTATATACTTAGAATGTACTAGTCCCAAGAGAATATCTTGATGTACTCCGCTTGACTCGCAGGTACACCCAGATGCTCAAGTTCAAAAAACTGCCATCAGATGCCTACCAGCTTTGCTTGCCATTGGCGGCGAATCGTCATATTGCCTGCTAACGGAAGAAGTGAGTTCTCTGATAAGATCCGCAAGAACCACTGTACGAAGCGAGCTGGCTAAAATATGCGGAGATGTCGTCTGTGCGTTAGCCAAATGTTGTCGCATTGAGTTTGCTGTTGTTTTACAAGATGAAGGAGAAATGTCACTTGACGCTGATCAATTCAAAAGTTTCCAGCTAATTTGTCAAGCCTGCAAAGAAGGTATTGCTGCTCCTGCTTTTGATATCTTCCAAAATGAAAGTTGCACTGTTCTAAGTGCTGTAGAGATTAATTTCTAGAAATATCCGAATTTTGCAGTCTAACATTGTTGTTGTCTCGAGGCTTTTGTTCTGTAAAAGTTTTTTGTGTAGTGAGAGTTTTTGTTATAAAAAAAAGATATTTGCCTGGCCAGGTAAAAGCAAAGAAGTAGTATTTTGAAAAGAAATTTTATACTTACCCAAAGTTGCTAGTTTTTCAGCAAAGTAAATTTTACGTTTTACACCAACATGTATCATGCTAATTTTCTACAAGAAAATTGCGGATTCAAGGATATATTACTGAAGTAAATGGTTATAGTGTCAAGTGCGCCTGTGTTGCAAATTTCAAAATTTGATTAGGCCAATGTCAGTAGAATATTTTTAAAACAAGATTTATAAGGAACTTAGGGTGCCAAATAGTTTGTTAGATGTATACGGCTTATTGCTATTCAATGTTTTTCTGTTAAACATGTTGACAAAATAGTTTTCACACATTAGGCATTGAGTCAAAAGAGCACCCTGACATCTCCTTGCTGAGGTCGTTTTTCCAGTTGCTGAAGCCGGATTCGCCAAGAGACGTTAAATTGCCATTTGTAGAGAATCTGAGACACTTTATGGTACACCTGGCGCACGAAAAAGAGAGTTCTATGGTAACCACCTTTTTGTGGACCCCAATTTTGAATTTCATGGAAGATGACGATGTTATTGTTAGGATTGCATTCAGGTGAGCTATTGTATTGCGTTGTATGTGTCATGAGTTTCAAGCCCAATTTTGAATGATAGCTTCCCCAATTTATTTAAGTTCTAACTGGAAAAATTATTCAAATGTTTTGCCTTTAAAACACAAATGTATACGTTCTTTATTGTGTTTTCCATAGTCAAGTGGTCAGTGTGTTTCTGATGCGAAAAGACTTGGTACACATCCAGCAACTTCTTTTCGTCAAATTGAAGAGTTCATTTCGCAAAGCATCGAGAACAGGGGATGCAAAGATGCTCGAAACAATCGTCATGACGCTTGGCAGTGTAGGCCAGGCAGCGCAAGGTATACTTTGGCACTTTAGTAAAGTTATTCCCGACTCCCGAGCTTGTGAAAATCTACTTATCTACGGGCTCAGCTGAATATAATTTTGAAATTTTGAAAAAAACGTGTAGCCCTTACTTTGAGCACCAAAAATATGCTTATTGCTCAAATTTCTTGTCTTTAAAATAAAATGAGTATCAAGCCAGTCTCCAGTCGTCGAGTAAGGGGTGATTGCCCAGAGTTGTTCCTCCCTAAATCCGCTTCTCGTAATATTTCGCTATTTCTCTCTATTTCTCCACCGTGTAACGTTTCTTTTTTGTCTTGCCTTTCCGCACACTTTGTACGGAGTCTCTAATGATTAATAGAAGCATATGTTGCGACTGTTTGTATTTCAGGCGACTTGCTGCTGATCGTTGTGATTAGTCTTCTGGATTGTCTGACAACCCAGCACCAATCTATTGGACCAGCTGCTTATGATCAGGTAGTTAACCACGTGATTCATTTCTATGTTTTGTCGGCATGTAAAGCGTGGCTGATCCCTTCTGGTTCTCTTTCTGCGTGTAACTAAATGAGAAGCCTTATTAAGAACATTACACTTTTTATCACCCTCATTCAATTATGAATCCACCGAAATGCTTGCAAAAGAAGAGAATTTCTTTTTTGCCTTCGTCATTCCATTATCAACATCGCTTCTAGCCGCCACACAGTATTCTTGACGAACCTTATCCAAGCTTGCAATGAACGAAAATAATTTGCGTGGATATCTTGAAATATTGCGGTGATTGGAGTTTACAATCATGTGAAGTAATAAGTTAGAGTTGCGAAAATGCAATATGAATATGAATTTTAATATTTCTTTGTTCTATCGTATGTTCCTTACCTAGTTAATTTTTCCTGTATACCGTTTTGTCTAAACTTATATTTGATACAATTTGTTTTAATAATTCATCAGGATATCCGCATGAAATTTGAAGGAATATTTTCATATTTTCGCAAAAACATTGGAATGGCAATAGAGTGTATATTTTTTGCTGCGATGTGTTTTTAATCCCATTGGCTAAACGACAGAACTGTCACAGGAATCCAAACCGTTGTGATTTGATATTGTTTTCCCTTTTTCCTTGTTCAGTAAAATACTTCAATGTGTCTTTGTTATGTTACGATTTTTATTTAGAGTTATAAATGTATCTAAGTTGATAGCGTACAGCGTTTGCTAATAGCAGTTCATCTGTGACATTTCTTCAACAGATCCACGTTGTTGCAAGTCATCATCAGTTGAAATGCAGTGAAATTCTTTTCAAGTACCGATCACAAGTGTGTGAGTTTCTAATCAGCCAGTTCAGGGAAGCAATAGAGAGCGGAAAAGACAGTGCCTGCTTGGAAGAGCTTATTGCTGAGACTGCCAGCGTGTTTGACATCAAAGATTCAAAGACGTTTTTACAGGTAAGATCATGTTCTTTTCCTTGCTACTTTGAAGAAGTTGTTCCAGGTTTGTCTACAGCAGCGTCGTTATCATTACTCAAAGCCGTTTCTTAAGATACTTGCTTGAAAGGAAGGTCACGTGTAAAATACCTCGACTCATAGCTAAGTTTAGATAGTAGCACAAATGTCTAATTGATAAGACCTGATGATAGTTATTAAACGAAAAGTCATGTTAAGAGTGCAAAAGAGAAGTATTTCTGCCTATAAGCGCCATGTTTTTAGTACACAGTTTCTTAATGAAATAAATAGTTCTCAATTCCGTATATGCAGAGCTTTATACGTTGCTAAAAGATACCTTGGTGAAAAGGTGACCTCTGACAATAATTCTTAGTTTTCATATGAATAGGTTTTGCACAGAGCTCTCTCTTTAAACTCGGCTTGATAGCAACGTGAATACATTTTGCTATTTTCAAGACAATGGGCGCTCACCTTTTCATGCCATGTTTCTCCATTTATGTGAGAATATGATACAGATGGTACAAAGGCCGGGGGGTATGTATCAAATATTATAGATGCAGAGTTGAGAAAAGCAAGCCACATGCTGACCTGTGTTTTTCACTCGAGGCAAGATTTATTCACCGATGCATTCCACAAAACCTGTGTGATGACTGGTTATCAGTAAAACTGGTCATTAGGGTCAAAAGACCATTAAAATCTGTATGGCCTTGAAATTATGTACTAATGTGAAGCGTCGGTGGTGTAGCGGTTAGCATGGTTGCCTTCCAAGCAATCGATCCGGGTTCGACTCCCGGCTGACGCATTTTTTGGGGGGCTTCTTGGAGGGGATGCTCCTCCGCAGTGACAGAGGTCGTGAAAGTAATGCGCTATATTTAGATTGCTTGCCCTTCAAAAAACTTTTGTTCATGAATGCATTTCTTATGAGTAACCAACTCTAGATATATCTCACATTTCCCAGAAGCCGAAGTTTGAAGTATATTTATTTCTTGCCTGTAATCTACATAAATTCATTGCCTGGAATTTTATTCGTCTGTTATTTGAATGTGCGAAAACAGAAATGTTTTCATGCCTCCTTTTTTCATTTTCTCCTTTTCACCCGTGTCAACGGGAAACATGAAAGTTGTTTTCCTTAATATGTTTTAAAATTTCTAAAAATTGTCTAAATCCGGCCTGGTTTCATTACTGATGCATGTCGGGTTTAAGAGCAAAATGTTTGCAAGCCATGACTGTATGATGCCAAAATCTGAACAAGTAACTACAAGATTTACCACTGAGGGCCCAAGAATCTTGTTAGTCTGACTGGCTTTTTGGAGTTATGTGTGACAAGCATCGAGCTGTGAGGATATATGGGTTTGCAAAGTATTAAAGTCATCCTACACGCACTATATTTCGTATATGTGCACACACTATTTATATACAAAACTGTCTATCTTCTTTCCAAATACCATAGATAATAGAAAAACGAGCTTCTAGCTATTTAATTATCATATCTCACGTTTTTGTATTTCTTGAAAGAAGGTCAGTAGCATATCAAACTGCGTAGTGGTGCAGATTTGTATGCGTTTATCGCAATTTGCGCAATAAAATTTGTGGAAGGCTATTTTGGCAAGTGTGTGAGAAGGAAGGAGCCGCAGGATAGGCTGTCCGCCGGATTCTATGAATCTTGCAATGAGTATAAATATGAAGGTAAAGTTCAGGAGCAAAGCAAAACGGTGACGAAAATCCAATGTAATGAGATAAATTTTCAAATTTAGTTGAATAATATGCATACTGTTTGCTTTTTTCATTTAATTCATTTGAAAATTTATCTCATTACATTGGATTCTCGTCGCCATTTTGCTTTGTTCCGGAACTTTATTTTGGCAAGTGCTTCGTGTCAGAGCGCTTCAATTTATTGTTTGCTTTTAGACAGCGAAGCGAATTGAATTGATTCATATTTTGATTCATAACGCGCTGATAATGCGCCCAAGTGAGCGCATTATGAGCGAATTCAATTATTTGCTTTGCTCTCGGATTTAGTCAGCGAATTAAGAGCGCATTCAATTGACACTCACAATATTTTATGGTCAATAATTTATTTCGCTGCGCCCATAAAGCGCTGTCTAAACTACGCCTAACCTACTCATAATGATATCACCAGTGTCGGAAATTCAGGCTTTCATTTGAGGGGGCTCAGGCACCGCCGATTGGGGGCCCATAAACCCATAATTTCCGCCACTGGATATCACAATTCTGTGATGATATATACCTACTACACTAAAATGTCGATAAAATCTATGATGAAATTCGAGCTTGGCTAATATTCTTAACTATATAATGCTAAATCTCAGCAATTTTCGAGACTCAATACTCTTATTAAATTTTTTCTGATAGCAAATGCTGCCAAAAATATGAAAAAATTTTGCAAGAAGGCAAAAATGCGTCAGCCGGGAGTCGAACCCGGATCGATTGCTTGGAAGGCAACCATGCTAACCGCTACACCACCGACGCGATGACTCACTTCTACAATGAACGCGATTAATTCGCGGGTTCTACAAAGATTCCCTCGGGGCTTTTGGAATAAATCTCCATGATAGTATTACAAATTCAATTCAATACGGACCATTTGTCCAAAGACCGATGTACAACTTTGAACAAATGAAAGAAATAGTACAGTTGAGTTAAAAAAGACAGAGGTGGAATCCTTTGAAACCGGCGACGAAATACAGTTAGAACAGTAGCGTAGCCAGGGTGGCAAGATTTTTTTTGGGGGGGAGGGGAAGGGGATGATGAAGATGATGATGATGAAGATAATTATGAAGATTATATAAATAAGGAAAAAACGTAAATTACATGGAATTTATCAAAATGATACATAAATTTGATTCTTGACCTCATGTTATAGTATTTCTATGCGAATGCTCAAAAATCTTAAATGCAAAAAGTTTCGTCGTGACAAAGTTTCGTCTTATTTTGAATTTTCGTCAAAAGATTTGTCCGAAATTTTGTCACGAAGAAATTTTTTGAAATTATAGTATTATAAGAGATGTAAAAGAGTCCATCTTTTCGCAAGAATGGATTGCTGGAGTGACTGTTTACCCCAAAAGAACATTACCAGCATCGAAGCACGTTTTCGACACTGCTGAAACTGGACAACCGCACCTTAAAATTTCACGCTAATACTATGAATATGTAAAAGTTTTCTTCGAAAAAAACATACACTCTTGGTTTTTGCGACGGCATTTTGTTTTGAAAGGCCACTGTATTAAGTTCCTTCTAGTGAATTATGTTCCGATATGAAACATCACACTTAACACGGTGTTCAGGTAAACGAGGTTCGGATAACCGAGGGTGAACCATACTTTATTTTGCATGTATTCGCTGGATATTTCACTAGGTAATGCGTGTAGTTCAGGGACATAGGCATAAAACATATTGAGGGACGGGGGTCCGGTTGAGCATTTACATGTGATCTTAAAAATCGATTAAGGAAAACTGCAAAGCCCGAAATCAACAAGCATTTTGAATGTATTGAAGCAAATGGATTAAGTAGTGATGCCCCCTGCCATGTTCTCGTTAAGCTCTTGTGCCGTATACCCCACTCTGGCGTTTTAATCCCATGCTGCAAAGTTTCGACGTTGCCATTGCTTAATCTAGAAATATTATTGAATATTTCCTTAATATGGTGCATTTCAATCTTTCGTTTCAGGAACAACAAAGCATTTTACTGCCAAGGGTAATGCGATCCCCGGGCAAATCTTCGTCGACAATTCTTCGTGTTATTGCAAAACAACTTGAAATAAATAGAAGAGAGATGTTATTTTTCAACTTTCGTTTCATATTCTCATTCCTCATCAGAAGCTGTTCTGGTATTGAACTCAAGAAGACCTTAGATTATCTAGAGGTACGAAATTATCATAGAACGATATTATGCATTTTAACCGGAAACGTCTTCTAGGGGTATGTAAAAGCTTGCAAATTCTTAATGATTCATCCTCTCTTCAAGAAGAACTGGGACCAAAAGATTTCAAGCCATCACTCTGGACCTATGGCCTGGCAATTCCTGTTGGGAGCAATATTGCCAGATTTCCCATTCTTTGGAAACTGCGCGATTATACTTTTTTATCAGTCTTTGTTAAGTATAATACACCTCTCGCAACATCCGGTGATATTTTCCCTTTATCATTGACATTATATATCGTAAAAACATGTGTGGCATATGAATATAAGTGAAGATTACGTTGACATTAGAAGGATCACGAAGAATAGTGCGAGCTCAAGCCATGAAATCATTAAATCATATCGTTAGCATCAAAAAAATCGTCGCAAAAAGATTAAAAATCAAAGCACAATCAGACTATCGTTTTATTTGGTTACTTTCTGGTATCCTTTTTCTGTTTATGTTATTAGAAGACGCTAAGAAAGATACCTGAATATTGTCATTGTCATTCCATCTTATCAATTGTTCCTAGTTTATCTATAGGACAGAACTTCTCAAAGTCGTCATTTATTTGACCATCACGTAAGCCCAGTTAGCATGCATGCCTATCTGACTACAAATCTCAAGATTATCTATTTTTAAGATGGAGAGCGATTGGCTTATAATCGCAAAGCATGCCGGTTGCCCAAGATCCTTTTGTGCGTTTATCAGGCAACTTCTGTTACAAAAAAGCAAGGACTCTCTCTTTTTAGACTGAAACCGATGTCCAGTTGAGCAGCTTGCTTCTCTCAGAATGTCAGCATGTTTTCAACCAGTTGCTGTTGTATCTAAGCGTGAACAAAGAGCAGGTTTTCACTGGCCTAACAATCCTGGCACATAATGATGCAAACTATAGCGGACCAAAGGAGATCAAAAGCGATCAAGAAATGGTTTGTATTATCAATAAACTAAAGGGTTATAAAGTTACCACCCAAATTCACCAGTCCCCAATTACAAGCCCCATAGTTAGAAATTCACCAGACGGGCAATCTTCTCGCCAAAGAAGGCTTTTTAGTAGTGGACAGTGTCCTAGCTATTATACTGTTGTGGAGCTATTTACACCTTCGCAGTAACCATACTATTCTACGGACCGTCACTCTTCGTTCTTCACAGTTTCCTTTTTTTGATACCACGCATAACAAGGCGTGTTTTTAGAAGATTGGGTATGAGGATTCATATGCTATTCACAATGGTTTCCCATTTTATTTTTGTTAGTATTATGCCTTACATAAAGGGTATTTGTCCGCCGCATCCAATGCCCTCCTCGGGCTACGTACATGGCCATGAATCTGCTAAAGAGAGAAGAAATAATTGAATGATGCAATTTACTAATAAATGGCCCCAGTCTTGCTTAAATACATGTTTTGAATCAGAGCTGAAAGTTCAAAAACAAACTAGTGTTGGCCTTTATTTTTTGTCTATGTGTTACAAGTGAGCGATATCATTATCATAAAACATATTTATTATTTATAAATCTAATTCTTTTATTTCCACTTTAGGCAATATTTCTGAAACCACGGCTTCTCGGAGTCCTAGCGTTTTTCAACTCGGTCCTCATTTATGGAGATGCGGAGGAGAAACGACTTGCATTGCAAAGTCTTGTTTCACTTATGCAAGTAATGGGACCAGAACACGTGACCGTTGTTCGACTTAAGATTATGGCAATATTGCGACTGGGGATGAAAATTGAAGGAGACAGCATGGCGGAGCTTTGCTGTTCTGGGTGGGACTATTTTGTCCATAATGTTGATTTAAAGACGCTGGGACCTCTTCTCGGACAAATAGTAGTCACTCTGTTCCCTCTACTGGATAAATTTTCTGACAAAGTTGCATCTATTTTCAAGTACCTGATCATCGAAAACAAGTACGTTACATTTAAATTTATCTTATTTTCTTATTTTATTGAAGTAATTTTCAAGAGTTGTGCCAATAGAAAGAGAGCAAGCTACCCTGGCCACTGAGTATGCTTTTTTACTAACCAAGTCAGTCCTTTATAAAAGTGACAAGAAATTAGGTTACATCTACGCTAGGATTATATGATACAAAGGGGATATGGCTACAGAAGTTTCCCCATGGATAGACCCTTCGACCTCAGATTTTTGCCCCCCCCCCCCCGCAAGTTTTAAAGCCTCATTGTTGCCAGGGCACTGTTAATTGGTCTACAGCAAGTGATAGTGTTGGAAAATTACGATACACGGGTGGCTCGAAAGTTGATGTTACCGGATGCAACCAAAGGGTACTTTTGTAAGGCCGCACCTTGCGAGGCGAACGCAAACTTTGAAAGAGAAAATATTCATGTAATTCCTGTTCTAGGTTCATTTCGTCTAATTTCAGATTCTTTACTTTTATTTTCACTGCCACATACCTAATTATAGTCTCTGTGTGCAACAATCATTTGCCCCAATTGATTTTTAAGGGGCGTGATGAAAGAATTCTTCAAAGACATTTACTACCTACCAAACAACCCTGTCTTGAACGAAGTGAATGACGTCATTAATTCTTGCAATGCGGTTGTCAGATCAAAGCGAGACTACTTTAGGGACCAGTTGGCCTTGACAACGGAGGGTGTGAAGCACGAGAATGCAGACGTTAAAAAGTACGCCTTGAAGCGCCTGGCTGAACTTCTCTCAAAGCATCAGGTTCATTGGTATTTTATTCAAAAGTTGTGTAAAAGAAGATAATTTCTTAGTTCCCTCTTATCTGCATGCTAGGTTTTTATCAAACATCCTCTAAAATATGACAGCGAGTTATTTTGGGACTAGTTTCTCAAGCATTAGGCAGTTTTACGTTCATTTCGTTATCGCAGCAAACGTTTTTCGATATGAAAACTTATTTGTATTTGTTCTATATCTGTATCTCATATTATGCTGCCTCTATTAATTGATGAAAACATAGTTTGATTTACTTATCCGTCTGCTCGAGCTGTCTGCCGTCCTAATGCACCTGCCATGGCGTCTGTTAATCGACGAACAAGAGTCTTTCTGCGACACTCAGTCGTTTTCTCATCCGTAACCATGCAATCAGGCTTTTTAAAGAACGTAGAGCAAATGATTCCTTATAGTAATTATATCAAATTATTTTCTTTCTTTTCCAGGCGTTCTTACTTGACTTCATTTTGTCGTCTGAGAGTGTACATCCAGCTGTTATCAATCTGTTTAGTGTGGTAAACATTTTCTCCATTTTTTACAGAATCAGTCTTGCTATTACTTTTCCAGTGCTCTTGGTAATTGCAGGTTTCACTAATTTGAGTAGATACCAGTACTAGTTTCATATTGGCATTTAAATTATTAAAGCAGCATAAAGCGTGACCAGAAGCTTTGCTGCTCTCCCAGCAAGGCTAACCTATTTATTATGTTTGTTCACTAAAGAATGGGCACATTACTAATTACTTTTATCCCAAAAAATAAAGACTTGTCAAATAGATATGTGAAATAGTGACAAAATGTGCCAATAATACATTCTATTGGCTCTTCTCGCTCTATATAGTTGTTCTATCATACATCGCAATTTCTGGTGAATTCATACTTCGCTGACTTCCTCATCAACCTTAATCTTCCATCCCCTAACTCTTTTAGGCATCCGTCAATATTGATACGTCGTGTTTTTCTTCTTAAGCTCATGAGTAGCTGTAAAGAAGCTGATGAAGAGACGAGAAATCTTATTGGTGTCTGCTTCGGTCATCTTGGTGCAGTTGATCCAGGAAGGTTTGTCACTTCATTGGTACCTAACGAAGACTGTTGCCATCCGTAACTGATTTCTTGAAAATGTTATCATTCCATAAGCGAACACAATCTCAGGGCAAATCCGTTAGAATGGAGCTATGTAAATATTCAAGAATTTTCCCAACTTATGAAAGGCAGTTTTGCAAAATTTTGCAGTGCTATTAGCCGTAGGGATGTTTAAAAGGAAATATTTGGAAGAAACGGCTTTTAAGACAGATTGAAAATTTCAAGATGTGCTAGCCAAAAGCCCTATATAAAGCCCAAAGGAGTGTCACAAGCATTTTTTCATAGCCTGATACCCACTTACTAATAAAAAAACTTTCTTAGCTCGAAATATTCCAAAATCTGACTTGAATGTCTTGGTAGGAAATAAGTAGATGTCATTTTATTGAGGTCAGCTCAACTAAATATTGTAAGGGGGGTAATCAATATGATTTTTGCAATATTTTGTTAGTTAAAACATTTTTTCAAGTCACTTATTGTTTTTGTAGGCTAGAGATTTCGAGCGATGGTTTTAGTGGTGATAATGTAATTTATCAGGTGAGAGAATATTCTACGAACACAATACTTTAGAAGTAGCTATTCAAGTATGTATATTTATCGATATATTTTTTGGATCCAGAATTGAAAATAAGCTTATACTAATTGAAAATAAGCTTAGTCAAATTAATGGAAGTACCTATTTCTAATCACACTGTTGTGAAGTTATCCATCCATCATGTTTGGTCACCCAATTATAAAAAAGAAAAAAGTAAGCTATTATTGTCATATTTTACTAGAGTTCCTCCATCATATAAAACTGCATTCGAATTCCAGCTAAGGTTCATAGTGAAGTGGACATATGACAGTGTGAGCAGTTACTCATTGGTTTTGGCCAAACTCCTAGAAATCATCATCATAATCAACATCATTATCATATTGTTGTCCTCTTCTATTTGTTTTTGTTCATTTTTTTCAGAGACATCCATCGGTATTAAGCAAAGAAGATTTTTATTTGTTGATAATGAGCCGAAGGCATTTTATTAAACGTCTGCAAGTTTTCACATAGCCTATGACGTCATTTCTTACAGAATGGGGTTGAAGATTTGAACTTTGCAGTGGATTTGATCAATGAGCTATGCAGAGCTTTTCTCGCTGCAAGTGACACGAGAGCACAGGTATGGCCGTTGGAGTAAAATTACGTATTTTTTGCCAATCGTTAGCGTAATTTTGTTCCGTTTCAAACCAGAGTTGTTGCTTGCACCGAGACGAAAAAACACTATACACATGAAATTAATTTATCGGAGATTAAAGCATCATGACTACTTTTTCATCTTGTCCTGGATTGGGCGTCCCATTTAGATTGTCATCAAGATACTTCATGTTGTTGTAAAGCTCAACCTTGAACCAAAGAATCTCGTCCCTAAAACCCATGTTTGTTGTCTTCTGTGAATCGAGGTGCTTTTTATAACCAAAAAACTTTCAATAGAAATTAATGTTTGTGATATATTTACAATAAGAGCCACTAAATGAAAACAAACGCGAAAACAAGAATGCAGGAATCTCTAGATTATTGTATTTAAAGTATTGAAGTTAAAAGCATGTATAGCATTTTCTTTGGATGCCCTATTAATGATGTTCCAATGAAATTATCGTAGCCTTTTGACAATCTCTATTGATACCTGCTTACAGTTTTTCTATTTAAGAATATATTTGAAAAAGAAACATTTTGAAACACCATTTAGCTTTTCGTCGCACGCTCTTCAGATTATAAAACGTCAGAAAACTGATCGAAAACTCTAAGTTAGCAAATATATGTCTAATTTACGAATCGGAAGAGTTTGATTTACGAATCTAATTTGAATCAAATATGTTTAATGTAATGGCCACAGGGTTGCTAGGTTTTTCCATGCTCCCTGTGGTCTCGTCTTGTAGTTGTCTGTTTTGTAAAATTTTATGAGAATATAAAAAAAAACAAAAACGGAAGAGGCTGTTCAGAAGTGCGAACACGCGACTGTGCAGGTTGCCATTTCAGTACCCCTTGCTTATTGACAACATTACAAATTAGGTCTTTGGGTGAAAGCCAACTCCTTCTGTCTACACATAGCGGTTTTTACATTTTCATGTAAATGGATTCCTAATTCATTTTTGTTTTTTTAGGATTGCTCGGCATATGCAATTCAAGAGGTTTTGCAGTTCTATAACTGCTCGGACACAAGCCACAATAAGTAATTCCTCTCTATCACTTCCATCCAATTGCAGAAATTTTTAACCGCTTTTCTTTCAGCAACAATTATCATGAGATATTATTTATAAACCTCACGGAAGTTTTAACAGAAAAGAAAACTAATATTTACTCCGACAAAAGTACTTAGTCATTGTTTTCGCCATTCCCTGCTATCTACAAAATTTATTTTCATCCTAATGCAATTGATCTTCTGAGATTTGTCTCAGTTTGAGTATTTTTCAAGCAAGCTTTTTTGGATTTACAATGTTTAGATTATGCCAAAGCATTGTTTTTGTCGTAGGATTTGGCAGAAGTTTCCTGAACAAACCCAGGAAGTATTGAGGCCACATCTCCATTCAAAGTGAGTAGATTCCAAATCATTTTGATGTCAGTAATAAGTCTCCGTTTGCCGGACACCAGACAAATAACTTCAGCTTTACAAATCTCCATAAGTACCACGAAGCATGGAAATATATTCCTTTGCTTGTATTGTTTGTGTTTTGAATTCGGGAGAAAATCCCACGTATCAACATAAAAATATATATATCCTTACTTTTTTATGACAGTTATTCATTGGCTCGTTGTATGAATCTGACTATATCGAAAAACCTGATATGTGTTCCTATATTGAACCTTGTTTTGCCATTTGCATCTAAGAAAAGAAGACACATTTCTGTCATTCATTTTATCGTTATGCTTAAGTATTTTTTTTTTCCTTTGTCATACTACCAAGTATTCGATGCTTACTTGTAACTCAAAATTGTGCATGCCAGGTACCTCCATTCAAGCTCTGATAGCTGGGCAAACTTGCCACGCCCGCTATTCGGCAGTTCAAAGGGAAGAAACTTCAAGGAGTGGGCATGCACATGGGTTGGCGTTCTCATCTCAAAAGTGAGCTCTTACCTAGATATTTTCTTATCTATTCATTCTTTCAACAAATACTAATTGAGCAGCTGTCTTATTCTTTCCTTAAAGAATTTCAGTTAAAAACTTTCCTCGTGAAACATTTAAAGATTTCTTTCAAAAACAACTCTTCACATATTATTTTTTTTACTTTTCTCGCCACTATGTTCTTATTTTCCTAGAGTTCAGATAAAAAAATATCTGGTGCCCTCCGTCCCTGTACATCCATTGTGAAGGTACTATTTTATTAGAAATTTTATATCATGTTGATACTACGCTTTGGTGTGCTGTCCTACCAGAGCATATGCAGGTCTATACGGCATTCAGAACTTTATAACAAGCCGATAAACATTAATCGTTTTCAACATAATATTTACTTATTTGATTATTAAATTAAGGTAGAATTTCTGTACAGAATTCATTGTTAAAATGTACACTGCAAAATGCAGACTGCAGAGTGCAGAGCGCAGAGCGCAGAGTGCAGAGTGCAGAGCGCAGAGTGCAGAGTGCAGAGTGCAGAGTGCAGAGTGCAGAGTGCAGAGTACTTAGTGCAAAACGTAACTCTATGGTACATGGTACAAATTCCTTTTGTTTAAATCTTATAAGCAAAATAAGAAATATGAACGAAACGCAGAGTATAGAAAGTAGAGCAGATGAAGTCCATAAGGTAGCGTTTAGTATTACAGTATATCAGTATTACAGCATATCAGTATTACAGCATATTATGCAGTTTAGTAGTATTATTAATGCAAGCGACCTGTGACGAAAGCTATCAATAAAGTATGTAATTTGATTATTAGTAGCAAAAGTTTCGGATTTAATCCGATTTGACACAACATAATTTCTACCTTCCTAGCATGACCTGAAAATGGCCAATTTCATCCTGCCACATGCTGCGTTTTTTGCCATAGTTGAAAATGATTCCGTTGCTCAAGAGGTTTGTATCATAGCTCAACAACAGGAGAAGCAATTCACTATTTAAAAATATTTTTAGAATTAGTATCAGAAGTTGTCAAATCACATTAAAATGTAGGGTCGTGACACAGAAAAGCAGATTCCTTCGGTATTTCTTACCTTTGGACTATATTTATAATCAACCCTTCTGTTTTATTTGGTATGATGACTCTTTTGTTTCACTTTGTTGTTTTCAAATGAACTTACTAAAGGCTACGACAACTAATCGTGTTTTGTATCTGCAAAGATGTATTTCAAGGGGACTATAAATAAAATGCAAACGGTTATACAGAAGGTTTTCATTGCTACTGCTTTGCCCCCACCAGAAGGTTCTCATTGCTACTGCTTTGTCCCCACCAGAAGGTTCTCATTGCTACTGCTTTGTCCCCACCAGAAGGTTCTCATTGCTACTGCTTTGTCCCCACCAGAAGGTTCTCATTGCTACTGCTTTGTCCCCACCAGAAGGTTCTCATTGCTACTGCTTTCTCCCCACCAGAAGGTTCGCATTGCTACTGTTTTGTCCCCACCAGAAGGTTCTCATTGCTACTGCTTTCTCCCCACCAGAAGGTTCTCATTGCTACTGCTTTCTCCCCACCAGAAGGTTCTCATTGCTACTGCTTTGTCCCCACCAGAAGGTTCTCATTGCTACTGCTTTGCCCCCACCAGAAGGTTCTCATTGCTACTTCTTTGTCCCCACCAGAAGGTTCTTATTGCTACTGCTTTGTCTCCACCAGAAGGCTCTCATTGCTACTGCTTTGTCTCCACCAGAAAGTATTACACATATTCTAATTTTGTTCCAAATATTTACTGATATTTTGACGCACATTGAAAAATTTTGTCCGGGAGGCCAGTTTTTTATTTTAGAAGCCCTTATTAAGCTTTTTACCTAAGTGACAGTTTTAATTCATTTATTTATTTAGATATATAATCAAGAATCGTTCAGCAACTATTTATCCTTGAAATGTTTTATTAACTAAACTTCTAGGTTCTTTCTGAAATTGAGACTGTGCTCCATGCTGTATTGGGCAAGAAGCCAGGTACATATTAAGGCAATTTTTACGATTCTTTTGATGAGTTTGTTTATTGCTGTTTAATAGTTTGACCTATTAATATATAGGTACAGTTTTAGTGTCATCCTGGTTGTATTGAAATTTGATTTTTGCAGATTTATTAGCTGGTATCATTTCCTCTAGAATCAGCTTATTTATTTCAAAATTATATTTGAAAAAGTAATTATTCACCAAAAGTATTTCGAATATCAACTTATTGTAAAAATAAAGGGAGACGAAAGCGCGCTATAGCGAGCTGCTCAAGTTTTAAGGCTGTTTCAAATATTTTCGCTCCCTACTCATAAAGTACTTGCCGTAGAATGTCAAATTGTAACAAATTGCAACGGACGTGGAAAATCAGAAAAATTAAAAGAGCCATTTTCTGGTGAACAACATAAATGAAGGACATTTTTATTGTTTCAAATCTTTTCAAGGGGACTCCCCCCAAGATTGCTCTAATTTTCAGTGCTTGTGGTTTTTTAAGGGACTGTATTTTATTTAATCTTGTTTGACTTCATTTAAAGGCTTTGCCACAATGAGCGCTCAAGCAATCTACTCTTTATTGGACTTCTTGAATGCGTGGATTGACGAAGGAAGACAGGCCAGATTCAAAGCTTCGGGGCAAGTTTATTCAGGTAACAAACTGTCTAAATGCAAACTGTTGGTAGCTTGCTTGATTTTTTATTGCCATGCAATGATTTCTATTCCCTGCAAAACTGTCAATCGGTTTACAGCATTTTTGTCAATGTTCTTTATGTCATAATTTCCCACTGTCAATTTATTCTTCTGTAAACCCCGTATGTCGTCAGAGGTTATGGGTGTATAAACTTTTGAAGCATTGTCTGAGGCATTTGATATATAGGTATCTGAGGCAATAAAAGTTTATATTGGTTATTTCCTGTATTTAACGTACATGTGATCATCACAAAGCAACTTGGCATTGTCCGTCATGAATACTTTTGTCATTGTACATACTAACTTTTTATTGGGCATTTCAATCGCATGTACTTTGGCACTCATACTTTAATTTTGATATTCTAATATTCTTCTTTAATCGATTTCAGGTGTGTTTCAAGAAAAAATCGAACAGAAGATTTTTGAATTCATCAATGGAATTTCTAAGGTAAAATTTTTTTGTATTTCTTATGTTTCGATGTTTTTATATTATCTCTTCCTCAAAATTTGGGAGATGATGCACTTCGTGCAATTTTTTTGTAAATTGTAACACACCGTTAAACCTCGGGTAAGCCCGGAAGGGTTAATTTTGAAAGTTTACTTTTCTAAATGAAAGATTCGGAAAACAATGTTGCCAACAAAAACATTATAAAAATTTGTTGCAGTTTTCCGTTTTCTGTTAAGTTACCATGGGCTAAAATATAAGGGTAGGGGTTGGGGACTTCGAGGCTACGGGCTTATTCGAGGCTGGGGGTTTATTCGAGGGTAGTGGCTTATTGGAGGAGGTGGGCGGCATTTCGAAAATTTACGTTAAGTTACATGGTTAGCCTTTACGATATTTCCCACATGGTTGCAACTAAAAATCCCATATGGCGAAAAAACTTTTTCTCGTTGATATCATTTTCTGTTTTATCATCCTTAAAAATTCTGCTAGTTTTCTACTCAGTCTAGCTGTTAGCCACTCTAATTGACATTCCAAGCAAAGGGCCTAGTCTGCCTGAGTTCGCATAAAGCAAAAGAGCCTTGTAGTGTATTGTTGCATTTTTCATTGCTGATTTTCTAGTATACCTTTATCCCTGGTCCACAGCAGTCTACCACTGCGTTGTAAATGTGCCTTTAAACTGCATTTCAGAAACTTCTTTCGTCAGTGGCATTTACCTGCAAGGCGACGCCGCGAGCTCTGATGTATCTTGAATCGTACATTGATAACAACGACGAAAAGTTGCAAGAGAACTTGGACATGCTACAACGGATCTACTACGCTTTGGATGAGCCTGACGGCATCAATGGTGTTGCTGCGGCTAGGAAAGTAGAAGTGTCCTTGAAAGCACAGATTTTGGATCATGAAAGTTCTGGTAAGTGTATATAAATCTTTATATATTGCAAAATATATTCACCAACCTGTCTGTGTCAACTGTGAAATTAAACTACAATCAAATTTTACATATTAAACCTCTTCGTGCTGTTTTCACTGATCCTGCCACAAATTGACGCTTTCATTGATGATAACGTCAGATGTCCAAATCGTGGACTCTTGAGCTTCTTATTTCCTTTGGAATCAATGTCCAACCCGATACAAGAAATGCACAGTTGCTGCTCCATATGAAAGCGTGGGGTGGTTTATTTTAATGGTTTTTGCAAGCAGAAACCAAGCCATTAGAATGAACATTCCCCTGGATGAAAATGCATTGCCTCCTAGACTAGGTGCGTTTTGTCTATCAGCCCCAGTCTTTAATTTTCCTTTCCCATGAATTAACTATGTTTCCATCACGAACAACCGTTGGTGAAAAAGTAAATGGAATAACGCAAAACCTTGTGTATTAAAACCTTGTGGCGAGCACTAATCCATATGAAGACTTTTCTCATTTATAGGTAGACTTAGGGACGCTGCTGCATGCTACGAGAAAGCCATACAACAAGAAATGAACGATGTTACTCATCACCAGGTATTTCTGAATGATTTTGCAACTATTTTTTCAGTCTTCCTAGTTTTATCCTTTCTCTGATACATGTAGCAGCTTTCATCCCCACTCCCTAGAGAAATATAAAAGGGGGCATTTTTTTCTTTATTTGCTTTTTGTCTAGAGCTTACGTTAGATACCCCCACCCTCGTTTAGGAGAGTCAAGGCTCGTCAATGAGTTCCCAACATTGTTTCCAGGACCATTCATTTAATCTTTCCGTGACTAATGAATTTTATTATTCTGGTACAGGGTCTGCTGCAGTGCCTGATCCGCTTGGGACAGCTCAACACTGCATTGATGGACGCAAGTGGAATCGTTACAAAACGGTAGTGTTACTTATAATTGCATGTTAAGTGGCAATTGATTTCTGTCAACTAGATTCATAATGCTGCAAACCTGTGAAGAAACGCTAGCAAAAAAATATCACTTTTCCTCGTTTTGCAAGTTTACTGAAGAGAAAGAGGCTGTATGACAGGAATATCAACTTTGAAGATTGGCCACGATGCAAGAAATTTTGCTGAGAAGTTGCAATAACAAAAAGTAGAAAACAAATACCTTCATTCAATGTTTTTTCTGTCTGTCGTTCGGAAATATTACAGATGTTTTTTCTATTGAAACCAACAAAGATCAATAGCCATTCTTTTTTGCAGTTGTTCCCTATATTTGATCTGTATCTGTAAGTAGCTCACTTTGTCCATGCAGGCCACTTTGGAAGAAGGATATTCTACCGTATCAGTCGGAGGCAGCATGGAGACTAGGTCAATGGGACACTCTTAGAGAGAATCTTGATGGAGTGAGTAGGCTTTTTAAGTCTGATTCACCACTTATTTAATACCCATATCTACACCCTCTAGATATGTTTCATATATCTCGATTTGTTTATATCTGAACATACCCTTATTTGCCTGTTCAAAAAATGTGTATATATATATATTTTTCTTATATTTCGTAAATACCATCAATTATGTTATATTTCAAGTATTTTTCTTTTTATTCAGGTCTCTGAATTTGATAACTGGAGTATCTCTCTCGGAAAGTTGTTGGTTTACGTAAAGGATCAAGTAGGTTATTGCATATTATATACCTCTCACTTTAGAAATTAATTTTATAGACCCTCCTCTATTTCATCGTTCTTATAGATTGACAATACTTCTCATAGCTGAAGCTTGAATTGTTACTTTTTTTTATTAAATCCACATGCATATCAAATATAGTCTTGGGTTTTTAAAACAGCAATAAAAACCAATTTTCGGTAGCATTGAAAGGCATCCCTTTTATGATCTAATCTATCTGGAAAATCGTTTATTCATCACACATATCATCGTATGTTTCGTTCATTCTTTTCTGTAACGTTTGTTTCAGGTTCCACTTTTCTTAACTGTATAGGTTTCATGTTCTCCCTTACGCTGGTGCCATAACTCCCGGGCTTCCTTATATTCTATCAAAATCCCCCTCCATCTTCTATAAGCCTTCTCTACCTTTCCACTGTCCTTCCCACTTCTCGGTTTTCACACCCAATCTCTAATGCTTTAACAGCCCTCTAGCCCTTAATTCTCTCCCACCTCTTTACCTTTTGGCTTCACCTCTCGCTAGTTTTACTGATAATACTACCTTATCCTCTACCTCGATATGTCATTTTTCAAACAGAGAATAGATGACCTTCACAAGCATCTACAGCTCGCAAGACAAGAACAGATGAAGCCTCTGTCTGCTTCTGGCCTCGACTTGGGGGACAAGTCATACGAATGCATTGTAAGGTATGTCTTCATTTTTATGTAGTTAAATTTTTTATATCATTCCACCTTTAAAGTGCGTTTGAATTCGATTATTGCACTTGTTACAGAAATAGCTAAAATATGATTCGTCTTCCACCACCTAGCATCCCTGGAAAGTATCACTCCTATTATATCCTAGACGAGAATGAACTCAAAAATTCTACACATCATCTTCACTGCTTTTTTTTGCTTGCTATATGTTATTTTTCAGGTTACACATGCTACAAGAAGTTGAGCAGTTTGCAACGTTGCTAATAAAGAGAAATTCCCAGGATATACGGACTCAAGATTTAATAAAAACATGGGAACAAAGATACCAGTCAACGCAGGTTCCCATAATTATTTCACAATGAATCTACGTTTTTGTTACCATTACTTGCATTTCTGCTTTCTTAAATGGAGAACCTTGTCGCCTGAGGAGAAGTCAATGAAGTCGTGAATAAAAAATGCCATTAATATCCAATCCTTTTCCTTGCAATTTATCTTATTTAACTTATTTATCAACTAATTTAGAGGTGCTGGCTATACTCAGTTCCAATTTTTTTATTGAAGGCATCATACAGAATCCGCGAAGAAATACTTTCATTGCGCCGAGTTCTTCTTGATCTTCTTCCGAGGTAAAGCATCTGCATTTTCATCATTTTTAAACGAATTTTTCAGCAATTCTTTTTTCCCCGGTCTCATTTTGTTTGCCTTGCTTTGATGTGGATGCATCAAAATTCTTCTATTACGATTTTTGATATATTCTTCTTTATAATCGTAGTCACAGCAATGCTGTCATTAATGAGCAGGACAACTGTTGGCTAAGGATAGCAAAGATTGCCAGGAAGTAAGTAGTGATTAAATCAATCTTTTGCTTGGGCTACGTTGGGTGTAGAACCAAGCGAATCATCTACGTTGATGCTACACAAAACCACACAGCCCGTAGCCGAAATTGGCCTTTATTTATGGGAAACAACTTGCTTGAATTTTCCAATTTTTTGTTTGAACTGTCCTTTCTCTTCTACTTCCAATGCCAAAATATCTCATTTTCAGTTTGAGGGAGCAATTGCTCAACCCCTCCCCTTATAGTTTCCAACATTCCTCCCGCCCTGGTGACATCTTTTTTGACAGTATAATATTATTTCTTTTTATTAAAGTTTGATCCGCCAGTGCAGTATTTGCCGGTGTTTTGCTTCTGTTACGTATAAGCGATGCATGTCTCTTTCTCTTTCTCAAGGGCTGGTCACATCCAGACTGCTTACAGCTCACTTCTTAATGTCAGAGAAACCAACAGGACTGACACTATAATAGAAAGAACCAAGTGGCTTTGGTCGCAGGTAGCCTACGTTTTTATAGCTAAGAGAAATAATAGAAGTATGTTGTCAAATCTGTCCTAGTAGTTTTGACTTTGACATTGATATTTCATTGTACTTTCGTCAACGCCTTGTTATTTAGTTTGTTCATTCGCCATATTAATGTGTTATCAATCCTGTACTAGAATGGTGTAACTTTCTGTTGTCGTTGTATGTCTTGGGAGGGGGCTTGTTAAAAGATTTTACTTCCATGGTGGATGCTTTTTCGAGTGGGGTTGGCAATTCTAGGTTTCACGTTATGTAAAGTCCAGTTGTCTATGTATTAGAACATAGTGTCGAGTCTCAATAGTGAGCTATTTTGTTTTCGCTTTTAGGGGGACAGACACAAAGCGCTTCTCTGCCTCGAAAAGGACGCTAGGTAAATATTGATTCTGATCTGAGTTTTTGATTTGTAGTTTTATGAAAATTTTCTAAAGTAAACGAGACTGCCTACTTTTTTAAAAAAAATTAGTCACTACTGTATCATATTTTTTAGCTACATACAAAGTTGTCAAGGGCGAGAAGACATTGGATCTACATATTCGAAGCAAAATGTTGCAAAGGTAGGTTTTGATACCCCTCAATTGTTATGTTTGTAATTGTGCCATGTTGCGATTTTGTAGGGAAGAAATTTATTTTAAACCATAAAGATTGCAGTCGTAAATGAATTCGATAAAAATATTATTTCAAAGGTTTCTTCGGTAGGCTTGTGCAGCTGCGTCATTAAAAAAAACCAGGCCCAATTTTAATTTGCACATTTCATTTACAAGAATATATCGTTGTAATTGATGTCAATGTACACCTTTCTCGCGCTATGGCTCAGAGTCCAGGTAACTGCTCATCCCATCCCCGACCATTGACCCAAATCAATAAGCTAAATGTCCAAAATCCTTTAAAGTTAATGAAAAGGCGTGGTCTGGGTGTCACTGCTGGAGCTCCTTGTGCACAGTGATCTAGCTCACATTTGTTGCTTCATGCCTAACGCCCCCCCCCCCAAGTGTGCTTTAGAAATAATGTTTGCATTATTTTGACATAGGTACTCCTTCTCGTTGGAAGATGGATGGAGGAAACGGAAAGCCATGAGCCGCAACCAATTTTGAATCAGTACAAGGTTTGATAACAACGAATCAAACATTAAATATTTCTTTCCGCAATTGTGTGTACTGTTCCATTTAGTGACGTGCTCCTTTGTGTCTTGACCTGCATTAAATGTTTCCTGTACTTGTTGAAAGTGGTGAAGACAGAAGGGAGATTTTTAATGATTGATTGAATCCGAATGGCTAATATCACTGTTCTAAACACGTTTGTAGCTTTTTTTGCATTCCATAGCAAATCGTTTGATGCTTCATTTAAGATATTAATGAATGCCTTTAGGTATATTTTCTTATTCCTTTATCAACTATTTTTATGAGGAATATTGCCTTCGTTAATTCTCAGTGTCATAGTGTTCCTGAATCTGTCAAAAAGAGTTACTGAGAACAACTCTCAGTGCCTTACAAGCAATCTACTTAATCTATCAACTTTGAAGCAACTCGACAACCTTTGTATCAATTTTCATTGCAGTTTTCTTATCTTGAAAATTGAAATTTCTTTTAGGACGTCGTCAACAAATGTGGCGATTGGGAGAAAGGTCATTTCTTTCTAGCAAAATATTACGAGAAAGTCATGAACGCTTACGATGACAAATCAAAAACAAAAGTAACGTAAGTTTGGTTTTATCTTGTTTCGAGCTTTGGCACTGAGCCCTGCTAAAATTATGAGAAGTTTTATTATGCTTCATTTCTTGCTATAACTTTAGATGAAAGATGAAATTTTTCCTGCAAGAAGTCACTCAACTTCAAGCATGAAACTCATATTTCGAATTTGAGGGCATACATCACTGTGTACCCCATTGACATATCAAACAAAAGTTTAAACTTAATACGCGTGGCTTGGACTATAATTTTTAAAGAAAACCGTGGTGTGAATCTTTGTATTGAAATTTCAATGAAATTTCCAGTGCACAATTTGTTGCTCCTTTCACAACTTAGATTTAGCTTGGACCTTTTTTGTGATGTCTTGAATGAAAATGGATTCACCACGTCATTTGCCAATGTTCTGTTTATTTTTCTTCCTGCTTGCAGTGATTTTATACCCTTTGTCATACGACATCATGCTTCGTCTCTTCAATATGGATGCAAATATCTATACCAATCGATGCCAACCCTTCTCACACTATGGCTTGACTTTGGGGTCAAAGCATACAACATCCAACAAGGTATTTTCCTTACACTCAAGTGCCTCAGTTCTAATCGTTTGTTGGTCATGGTTATTTTTTAAGGGGGGGGGGGCTGTATTGTTGTATGACTGTATTGTTGTTGTATGACTATTTTGGGAATAGCTCCCTGCCCCAATATACCTGATAAAACTGTATTCGTTTCTGCCTTATTCTACAAGATAAAGTGCCTGCAAGACTTAGACGACCAAGCTGAATTTCCAAGTTAATTTCCATTTGAGTGGAGTAAAACAATTTAGCGCAATCTGGTCTTCAACAGAAGGCTGTTGAGAATTCTTCGCGATTTTCTCCTGCTTTCTACAGTAATCCATCATGATTAGATCAGGCAAACTGATTTTAGAAAAATCTTTCGCCGTCCTTCTTAATTCTGTTTTACCTAGACAAAGAAAGCAACTACTCTAAACAGGCCTTGCACAGAGACAGACTGAATTCTGTGAATCAGGTGCGATGGTTTTATTATATTTTATGTTAATTTTACAAACACGTCATCCCTTCAACGTACAAAGTTAATGGTTGATGCTTGTTTCAGATATGAAAAAACCTATTTCATTACTTAAGCTTCTATGTAGATGCTTATGTGTAAGTGAAATCTTAAGACAACGTTCAACCGCTTAAGAAATGTCCTCGGAAAACTTCTAAAAAGCTTTCCCTTAGAATTGTTTTGTAACATAATTTCTCCTTAACATTATTATGCCTTTGCTAAGTGTATTTTTATATTTGGAATAATCTTTGCTTTTCTATCATTATAAGACTAAAGATACTTTGTAGATACAAACCTGGATATTCGTGATGTATTTTCTATAGTTACGAGTTACGTTTATAGTTCTTGTTACATGATGTAGTTACGAATAAGACGATAGAAATAATACATTCCTGTTTAATAATTGTTAAAGCAAATCTTACAAAATGTAATATTGTGCAAAATCAAACAGAAAAATCATAACTGATAAGTGATAACATTTCGACATTTTTCATTAAAATTGAAGCCCTTGTTTTATTGAATTAATTTCACTGTCTAGACAACGTTTATTCTCAAGTTTGTTAAAAACAAGTTATAGCTAATTTCTTGAATTTTTCACAAAATGAAATTCCGCCTGATCTATGCGAAGCTAAATGATGTATTCTTTCTTCATCTCGGAGTATCGATTTCTGATCCGGCTACAATTCCCTAAGTTTTCATCAATTTTAAGGGTATATAGGTTGTTACTTCCTGGCGACAAACCAGCTCTTCATACTACGATAAATGCTAAACGAAAAGGCTGATTTGCTATCCTTGCGTTTTCCAATACACAACCTTGCCTTGCTTTCAAATTAGAGGCAGCATCTCTACAACAATGCCTCTCTGTTTTTCAGGTTATCAAGGACTTCACCTCGAGTTTACCTGCCTATCAGTTCCTTACGGCTTTCTCGCAGATTATTTCACGTATTTGCCACCCGAGCCCATCAGTTTGGGAGATACTTGGGGTAAGATATCACAGAAAGAAGAATTTTTCCTTTCGCTTCTTCCTTGAAACTTCTATAAATCCATCTGATGTAGGCTGCGCAATCGAGAGCGAGTTCAGGACCCCGTGTATAATAATCATCAACACTAGATAGCTGTTACTCTTAGGTTGGAAATAAACACCCCCCCTTTTATTTGTTCGTGCCTTTTTAAGGCCCCTGCCCCTTATTCTAGACCAGCTGTCTTATCGACCTTGCAATCACTTTGAAAAACATATTCCGTTCAGAATAGCTCTACCCCCCTCTCCGTTTGTTAAAACCCCCGAACTAAATCCAAACTTGGTCCAAACTTGGCCCTGGACCCTGCTTTCCTTCAACGTCCTACTCCCCTCTCTTTCCAACCTCGAGTATCCTTCACAGGTTTAATATTTTCAGGCGCTCTAAAGTTTTCACCCTGTGTACCCTCTTGCTCAAATAGCGCTTATTGTACACTTTAACTATGGACATTATTTACTGCTTCTCTGACACCTGTATATGTACTGTAAACAGTGACTTGATAATTAATTTTTTCTCACAGCATAACACATCATGCTGACATCATGCTCATGATTTTCTTAAAAGTAGCATTGATTACATAAGCCCCTGTTACATTCTGGTTGACAACTTTTGCTTCCAAATAAAAACAGTTTGTCAATGCCGGTGCAATGCATGGATGCTCGTTGATGATGATGCTTTTGGTCTTCATACCCGTTAAAATTGATTGTGAATGCAATTCTATTTTTTTGGAATAATGCAGTTATTCTTCATACTTCTTCTTCACAATTTATTTGATTATTTATATTGACAATCCTCTGGCTGTAAAGATACTGATGATCTATCGAACAAATGCCCTTGAAAACTGATGCACCGTGCTACGTGTGCTCCTTTAAAACCAGCTCAAACTGTTATCTAAAAAAACCTTTTTTCACATACCCATTATCGAATTTCTTCACTACGTTCATGTTATCAAGAATCCGTTTTTATCGTAGGATTTGATTTCCAAAATATTCCTGGCCTATAAAGATCAAGCGTTTTGGAAAACTGTCGCTGTCTCAAAGGTAACTTAACTGTCAAATAATTTCCTACAATTTAATAGCAACATACTGTGCCTTTGGTAGCAGCAAAAAAAGTATTTACTTCGTTGGCTTTAGTAAAGGATTTGGTAAATTGAATTATATTCAGGTTTTCTAGGTAATATTTAGGTAACTAAGATTCCAGCAGTGCAAATCACATCAGATTAAACGGGTTTCTTTGTTTCTGTTACTGTTTCCTCAAGATTTAGTGACTTACAGTTGAGTTTATGAAGTTGGCCTAAGAGCATGCATATGACATGGCAATATTATCTACAAACTTGTCAGAAATTCTTTGATGAAATGCTATTTTAGCAAAAAGCCTTTTATACTCTGGGATGCAAGGAAAAGGCATCTTTTTTGGCAATGAATACATGTTTCGTTTTTCATACAACAAACGATACTTCAGTCGGTGCCCATTGAATTCGTCCACATCTGAAGAGACCAAATAAATAAACACCTTCAGTCTGCGTTTATACCCTTAGAAAGCTGTGTAGAATAGTGTTTCTGCTTTGACAGCAAGTTTTGATACAAGTTTTGATGTAGTAGCGTAGGAAGGGTAGAATTGTTGGGGGATTGCATTATTTGAGAACAATAGGAGCAAAGGGGATTGCTCGCTGGAAACAAAGGACTGCTGTAATTGTTTTGGGGGCATGGATCTCCCCAAGAACCATAGTAGCTACGGCCCTGTGATGCTACTCATTTTGCTTTGATGCTGCTCTTCTGTGTCTTTTGAAAGGAAATCAATATCTTAATTCACTACCTGTTTTATTTGTCATCTGTCTGGTCCAACTCTTTGATGCTTATCAACTCTCATTGAATTTCAGTCTTCATTCAGATCGAGGAAAGACAGATGCAGTGAACTGTTCAATCGTATTTGGTAAGCTCTTCAATTATCTGTTATCTGTTGTGTAATTTTTTAGGATGTTATTTCCTTTATTTCCTTTTGAGGATATTCCAAAGATGTCAGATACGCAATGTCTTCAAAAAAAGTTAGAACATAATCATTAATTTTTCAATAACATGAATATTCTGCATAATTAATCTGCTGAACACTTCTAAATTCGAAAACCCTAGATAATAATATCCTATGACAGGAAGGAACATATCATGAAAGGAACATGACAGGAAGTGCCTTTTTAAAGAGCCTATTGCTGTGAACATATCTACTGTTCTCTGGCTTCTTGTAGTTCAATTTTTTTATTCAATGAAGTTAACTGTCACTAGATGCTTTTTAAGCAGAGCTGTACAAGCTGTGATAACTTCAAGATGCCAATACGTGTTTTTATAAAATATTAAATATAATTTGAATATCATTCTTCGTTCACCTTTTTATTGCTAATATTTGATAATTCTGTTCTACAGCATGGGAAACAAAACCATGAGGCAATTTATCGAGGTATTTGTAATTCTTGCACTGTGTCGCTCCATCCTATAGATTAATATGTCATTGCATTTCTCAATAACATTTTTGATTATTTCTGTTTCATTGAATGGTACTTAGACTTATAATACATCAGCAAGAGGCTGTTTCATAATGCTCAAAGCAGCTTGGAGAGTTAAACTTGTATTGTACACAAGTCGTATATCAATATCAACTTGTCTAAGTTGCCTGTTCGCGCAGATTCGCGCTACTCTCTACCGTATTTTGATTTGCACTATCAATATATAATCTCTTCTTTGTTTCAGCATGGGCTTAGACTGACTGATCGCTTGCTGGAGGTCTGCAATAAGCCTTGTCGCAAAGAAACAAAGCTAACTATTAGTGCAGATTTCCCCAGTCTGAAGCGATTATTAAATGACACGTATGTTCACCTTACGTCATATTTATATTTACTTCCATAAACATCTAGTGTTTGATTCCATTATCTCTTAAGGCCCTTGATCTCATCAATTATCAGTTTCATATACCATTCTTGTTCTCGATGCATCTAAGTAAACTGTAATGGTTTGTTGTATTAGTTTTCTGTCTTGAAGAACCGATAACCTCGCTGTTTCATGTGTTTTGTGGCTCTCTGTATAAAAGTCATTAGATCTAGCTTTTTGTTTAACGGGTACCATGGTGTCTGTTTTTCCTGGTTTCTAATTATCCATCAACTTTCTACCATCCTTGAATCTAATTCTTTTCAGGAACTTTTCGTCCATCATAATCCCTCTGCAGTCAACAATGACGGTGATTTTGCCATCCGGTCAAAGCGCACAACCAAGCTACAACCCGTTCCCAGACTCCTTGCCAACATTTGCTGGCTTTGATGAAGCGGTAGGTTGCCTAAACCGTTAGGTCGCTTTATGGAAATAGGTTTTGCTTTGATGCTTACTGCACAGCCAACCCTAGAATTTCTACAGTGACATCTCTGGATGACAAATGTAACCTTTCTCCCTATTTTTCTTGGCTCTAGGTCGATGTTCTGCGCTCTTTACAGAAGCCTAAAAAGATTGTTATTATTGGTAGTGATGGAAAGAGGTACCCAATGATGTGCAAGCCGAAGGTAGTTTCTTTGTGATTAGTGCCAACGTGGATAATAATCAAATCTATCCTCACTCATTTAATTAGAGATGCATTTTGTGATTACAATGCGATCATGATTGCTCCATCATCAAAGTAGGTATGTGCCACTCCCCCATCTATCGGTGTATTAAACGCATCTTTCTATCATCGCCAGTCTTGATGTATCTGTATATCGATATGTCTTCTATATTCGAAGAACATTTGTAGAGTGAAGAAAGTATTGAGGCATAATCTTTCTTCCAGGACGATCTTCGTAAAGACTGTAGGTTAATGGAATTCAATTCACTTGTCAACAAGGTGAGGAAAAGTTTAACGGTTCCTATACAAATATTTGTCTATGATATACAGATAGAAACATACAATTAGATATGGCTTTGAAAAAAGCAAACATTTAGTAAACTAAAGCTTTTTGTCTGATACTCTTCAGAGTTTAAAATGTCAGAACATAGATCGAAAACTCTACGCTAGGAAATATATATACCCAGTTGTGGATCAAAATTTGCCAATCAGAAACACGAGCACATGACTGTATAGGTTGACCAATCAGTGCTGCTTGCCTATTGAGAATGTTACCAATGGACATCTATTAGATATCTTGGATGTTCAATGTATGAAAGGATTATCTTATAAATAATTCTGGAGTTCGACAGCATGAATATATAAAATTTAACAGAAAATCCTAATGTTTTCAAAACCGCCATTTGGTAAAATAATATCAATGCAGTTTGGACCATCAATTTGTACTTTTGTTGAAAATTAATGTAGTGTATACGTTGAGTTGATCAAATAGTTTTAAAAATGGCTTTGAAAAAGGAAACATTTTACAAAATTATAGAAGCTTTTTCGTGTGACATTTCTCAGGGTATAAAACGTCAGAATAATCTTTCAAATTTTGTACCGCCAAAATGATGACCCTTTTGTATACACCATAAATGATGGTCATTTTTATGTAATGCAAGATCGATTTTTCCTGGTAGAAGTTGGAGCTAATGGACTGTGAAATTCTCGACATGAAATTTCTTGAAGCCTACCCAAGACAAGCCTACCTCGAATCATATTTTAACAGCGATAAGCTTTACCAATTAATTGCTTTATTCATGTAATTACATTCCAATTTTCTTACAAGTTGCTACAAAAAGACACCGAATGCCGAAGAAGACAGTTGCATATACGCACATACGTAAGTTGCCAAAACGTACTGCTAAAGACTTAACCGTAAATGAACCTTCAAAGCTGATTTGCGTAGAATTCCTTCTGCTCTTTTTTCTAAGAACTTCTGCTGAAAGATCTTGTTTTCAATATCATCTTTAACATCATTTTAATTACCAGAATATAATTTTTGTACATGTCAACTGTTGTCGCGTTATTAAAAAAGGACTTTTTTCTGTGGGTCAAATTCCACTGTGATGCCTATTTTTCCGGTCCTTTAAAATAGGCGGTCATTCCACTGAGTGAAGAATGCGGAATCTTGGAATGGGTATCAAACACTGCAGGACTTCGTCAAATCACTGACAATCTTTTCAAGTAAGATAAAGCCTTTTTGTATCTAATGATATATTTGTTACTCATTCTGTACTTTGATATTAACATGTTTTACACTGTGTTCTTCAGTGTCTGTTTACCTTACTTACTTTTCCCAGTTTGATGTCAATAACTTTTCACGCCATTGAATGAAATTTAAGACAATCAAGAAATAACTCAAATCATCCTGAGCTCTGAATTACTTATTGTTTACAAAGAGCTTATTGTGCGACGATTCTCCTTTCCCTGTTTGTTTTATATACTTTAGAAAAATTTCTAGTGGAATAAAAATGTTTTTGGGTTGAGTGAGAATCAGGATCTTCATGTTTTCATTTTAGAGAAAAGAATATGCTACCAAAGATACAAGATTTGAAAAGGCTTTACAACAACATGACTACTTCGGATTTAAGGTAAGTTGTTTCTGTAATTTTTATTTTATGCCATACTAATATACGCTAGACAACCCTGTGTAATTGTTAGCTAAAGTCTAGAATGTATGACCGACTCACGTGTTGTCAAAACCCATATGACAACCAATATCGCCTTCATAATTTCAGATGACGACTAATAGCGCATATAGTGAAACATATCTTTAAAGGCAATCTGTCTCGTTGTGGATTGGTTAACGAGAACAATAGCTGGAGCAATGGCCTAAACACGATTCCAGCGCTCCGCCAAATTTTTTACAATGCGATAAATTAAAGGGGGACTGGAAACAATAAAAATCCCTTTGTTCTTATAACCAATCAACGTCGTGACAGATTGCCTTTGATATTTGTACAAAGAGATGTAAATGCGTGCATGAAATGACATTTAGAATCTTTATGAAGAATGATAATTAAAGTTTTTTCATTCAAAAATATATTCTTAGTATATAAAGCGTGTTTCTATTGTTCTAACTTCTCTCTTCATAGTAAAGTAACCATTGAAGGAAGTTCTTCATTCAAGCTATTTTTCTAGTAACTGTTTATGTTGTTTGTTTTTCGTAGAACAAAGATGGAGATGTTCAAAAACCAAGTGCTGCCGAGGTTTATTTATGATTATGCTATTCCTATGCATCATATCATATATTCTCTACGATTTTGTGTATCATATATTCTCTACGATTTTGTGTATCATAAATTCTCTACGATTTTGTGTGTTTTGTGTTAAAGGTCTTTCTTTGATGATCATACTTAAGGCTTGTTTATGCTTTAATGCTTCCTGGATTCTGTTACCATGTTAGATTTATTTCGGAATGATTTCACTTCTAACTGTCAGTTAATGTTTGTATCAATTTATATTTTCAATGTAGTATCGTTCAACGATTTTAAGCCAAGTGAAAAATACTTGTTTTTAGGTATCCTCCGGTTTTTCAAGAATGGTTCCTACGAACGTTTCCAAACCCATCTAAATGGCAAGTATTTAGAGCCTTTTTTCTCAGTAAACTCTCCTCAATATTTAACTGCGTGACAATCCTCTACCAAGTTCAAGTAGAACTCTCTTTTGAGACTTGTTTCGTCTATGCATATACATTTCTAAGCGCCTGTTATTAAGAAGGGTATTGATTGTTTCTTAATATCAAGGCATCCTTGACTATGATAAAGACTATGGTACATCATCAGTATTAACGTATACTGGGTTCTCAGAGAATCAGCTGGCTATTCGATCCTTTCTCAAGCCTAAGGCTTCTTAATATGACTTCAGTCTTACAACTGGTTATGCATCTTCGTCTTTTAACAAGCACATCTACTCGCATGACCTTTGAGTACGTCATTTCAAAAAGTGTACGCTTTTGGAACACAGTGTTATCATATCTGGTATGCCATGCAAATGTTATTCTCTAACAATACAATATTGATAAAACCGTAAGGAATAGTTAGAGTTGTGTTCTTTGTCATTAAATGTATTTGATTGTTGTCAACTTGCAATTTTTTGGGCAGGGTTTGCGTCTTTCAAACAAGCTTTCTTTCCACCTTAGGTACATGGCAAGATTGGCCTATTGCCGAACCACTGCTGTGATGTCAATGGTTGGCTACATCCTAGGCTTGGGTGATCGCCACGGTGAAAATATTCTGTTTGATTCTACCACGGGAGACTGTTTTCATGTGGATTTCAACTGCCTGTTTAACAAGGTCTGTCGTTTTCAAGGGTTTGCCAGCTTAATTAGCATACGCATATTCTTACTAACCAGTGTTGTAGAAAAGATTTGGGGCAGCTGTTTATTGTGAAGTAAAGGAACAATAGGCTGTTTATGTGAAAAAATGAACTTTTATAATTTTTGGAGAGGCTCGACCTCCTCCCTCCTTCCCTTTAAGAACAAAAGCAGCTACAGCTCTGCTGACTTTATACTGCTTGCCATTTTGAATTTTTCCAAAGCTTTGTCGAACCATTTTTACTTGAATTAAGAAAGACGCTTTCTCGGCAGCACTTGGTTTCTAAACTAAACATCTTTGAACAACTATTTTACATAGAACTACCCACTCGATTTTTTATTCATGTCACGTAAATCGGTGGATTGTCTAGGATTTTGATGATTATTGGTTTTTGTTAAAATATTTTGAAGAGCATTTAATTTTTTTGTACTGAAGATTAAAAGAAAATAAAATTTAAGCTTCTCTCTTTATTCTTCTAAGGGAGAAACATTTGAATGTCCTGAAAGAGTCCCGTTTCGATTGACCAATCAGCTAGTTTCTGCCATGGTGAGATTCTTCTTTTGTGAGAAGTTGCTTTTTTCAAGTTGTGTTTATTAAACTGCTTATCCACGGGTATTCGTTTATACAAAACGAAGAAAATTTTTGGTTTTTTATTTATTCAAAAAAAAAATACACATTACTTGATACGCTATCTACGATGTATCATATGCAACACTGCAAGGACGCTACCATTGGTTGCAAGATACCATGACATCTCTGCAGTCATTTGCATGAAGAGCGCTCAACTAAACTAAAGTTAAATAGACAGCTACAAACGATACACATACAAATCTTTACTGATAAAGATTTTTTACTGATAATTTTTACTGATGCAGTTTCATAAAACAGCGATTGTGTAACACTTCATTGTTGTCTGGATTGTTCAGGGACCTCTTGGTTACGAAGGTGTATTTCGAAGATCATGTGAAGTCACTATGAAACTGATGAGAACCCAGCGAGATTCACTTTTAAGGTGACGATAACAATATAAATTTTGTTCTATCTTTGTCCCTCGTTTTGATTGTACAATACTTCCTTAAGTTTTGTACTGCCCTTGCTTTTTTCGTGTTAACAATTTTATCATCTTTATAAATTTCTTTACATACTGGGAACTTATAATGTAGGAGCTAGGGACTCTGATAGAAACATCGCTGTGTTTCTGAAATTAGCATTACAATTTGGACATCTCCACAAACTAATGCGCTAAAAATGGCCTTGGAACCCAGTTTGAAAAATCTGCACAAATACGTTGATAGGGTATAAGGAACATATGTAGATATATATTTTTGAAGTCATCTCGAGTAATTGTTTTACTGGGGAAGACCAATGAATGAGCTCGATGTCTTTTTCTGTTATATTCATTTCGAAATATTCATTTCACCAAAGAGAACATTTTTAACCAAGTTCAGTACCGTTAGCAAACCACTTCTGCTAAAGTTTTCAATGTATTGACAGTTTATCATTATACACAAAACCTTGTTGGTTTCTTTTTGCTCTAAAATGGTATTGATTATTTCAGTGTTCTCAACACTTTTATTTACGATCCATTGGTCGAGTGGACCAAAGACAGGCGGAAGCAGTCTGTGGAAACTGGCGAAAATACAAACGAGAAGGTGGGTATTCACGTAAGAGAAAAGTGTGGCTTTAATTAATTTATGCAAATTTTATTAGATTTTAGTTAATTTATGCAAATTATTTTAACCTGTAGTTAAAATATATTAACTTGTAATTAATTTATGCAAAATATGTTAAGTTGTAATTGATTTATGCAATTTATATTCAGTCTGAAATTCCAAATTAACAAAACACTCCAAGGATTTTTGTAAATTCATGTGGTCTTTACAACAATGATGTTATTGTCACTTTTCTCAATAAGTTTTGCGACATCGCTGTCTCATCCAGTTTTGCGACATCGCTGTTTCAGTCGGTTTTGACTTTGAGACACCGCTGTCTCAGCCAATCAGTTATTAAAGCTGCCATCTGTAAAATGTTCTACTTGATTTGCAGTAATGAAAAATTTTAAGAGATATGAACAAAAATATTGGTCAGGAATCATTCAACTCTTAAAAAATGTTTACATATAAAGTTGATAATCAGGACCCAAATTCAATCGAAGTTTTGCCAATTTAAGGACTATTAAAGCTACACTAAATAAAAAAAAGGTAACTGTTTTTCAGGCCATGAGTATTTTGCGGAACGTTGAAGATCGACTTGCAGGTTATTGTGTTTCCATGAAGAATTTGCGACTGAATCTTTCGATTGAAGGCCAGGTTCATCAGCTAATCAAGGTTTGCAAAACTTCTCTCTATCACTAACATTTAAATACTTTTTCCAACTAGGAATTTTAGCAGAATCGTGTTATTGAGCTCATTTTCTAAATTGTATTTTACCCTTGTGGCTGCCAAACTTTCTGCGTGCTCAGAAAGCCACTCTTCTGTAAGTAGTGTCTCTTCAGTAATGAGGTACGCATTAGGATATAGGCTATACACACCACTGGGTATGCGCGACATTTGATGTAGTAGGCATGTTAAATGTACTTTGCTGTATCGTACGAATGCCTCAAACTTAATGCATACAAAAATCTGATCAAAATAGATTTTTGAAGAGCTATCTTTTGTCCATTTATGAACAGTTCCAAAATTTATATATATTGAGTGGTCTAGGTCTCCAGCCCTAATCAAACCCCAAAATAGCAATCATTGGTCCAGTTCTTGCTTCTTTTTAAACACATTAGAGTGGGGCAGAATATTTTTTTTTCATTTAACAAATATTTCAGGAATATTTTATTTAAGTTGAATCTTATATATGACTGAATGCTTATCAATTTTTAAACTGAAAGGATTAAAGGTGTTTAACTTCTTTCAGGAAGCAACAAGTCTTGAAAATTTATCACAAATGTACATTGGTTGGGCTGCGTACCTTTGAGGAGGAAACGCCTGGATTTTGATCTTGAACTGCGCTTCAATTTTACATTGTAAATTTAACTAAAAGTGTATTTAGAGCAAGCTGCTACATTTGTAAAACTTAAACTATTTGTTGCATTCTGTTCTTTTTGACTGCACCAATTAAGCGGCAAAGCCCATTTTCCTGAAACACTTGCACTTCGTACCTTCCATGGACTTATGAATATTCTCAATAACAACCAAAGTATTAATTCGCCCATCAACTGTTTTGTTCTTTTGACTTTCCAAATAATTTAAAAATACCGAGTAGGCCGCCATTTTGATCTGGTTGCTGCGGTTCCTCGCTCTCAATCACAATGTCTTTTTTAACCGGAGGTGGCAGTATTCCATTTTGCCTGTCTTCTTCCTCTTTCAACGCCTTTTCCTTTTCTCTTTGTGCTAGGGCTTGCTGTCTCACTGAAATAGAGCATATTTGGAAATGATTAAACATCAAGCTTAAGTTCTAGACGATGGATCCCCGAAATTGTGTTTTAAAGACATTGGCTCCGACAAAGGTTCAAAAGTGGGGGGGGGGGGCAAGGAAAAATTTAACACCCATAACAAAAGAATTTGAAAAAAACTCTATTGTTTTCAAAAATGTGGGGGGGCCAAGGCCACCCCGGCCCCCCCCCCTTCGTCGGAGGCCCTGAAAGAGTAAATACTATCACACTTTTACTTCAGAGGGGGGGGGGGGGGCAAACCAGTCTGAAGGATAAATGGTCCTGCCGGTTTGTAAAGTTCTACATATTCAACGCCCTCCTAGAAAAGTTTAGCGAAGGGGTACCCTTTTTTCCAACTCACATACATTTTTGCATACATTCATTTGGTTTTGCGTCACATTTTCGAAGCATCTTTGCACTCCCTTACCCCCAAAAAAGAGTATTTCCGATAAGCTTATTCCAGGTGAAGGGTAAAGCAACTTAATATCTGTTACAGGCCATAACTACAAAAGATATGACAACCTCTAGGAGACTGTTTTCGTACGGAACCCTTATAGTAATGCCCATCGGGACTTATGTAACGATAACTTTCTTCCGTTGGATATTTACCATAAAATTAGCTTTTCTTGCATCTCCTCGCATGTTAACAACCTTAGAATATATTTCTTCGCTTTCCATATTGATAATTTTCTTATAAAATCCAAAAAGTTAAAGAATCAAACCACCCTAAACGCACCTAGTTTCATGCGCACGTGAATAATTACTTTCTCGTAGTAAAGAATGCTCTTTCGTAAGTCTCCCATCAAATGAAAGATGCCTCCTAGAGACCCATACGCCTTGATCAACCCATCACTGTCCTTAATATCAGAAGCAAGTTCTGCTCGTTTCTCAAAACATTCTATTGCAGAGTCAAAATCAAATGTGCTTTGATAGATGTTGCCCATGTTATTAAGAATTCGTGCATAGGCACGCGTGTCCTCGATCCGCTCAGCAATTTCCATTGCTTCTTTATAATGTCTCAAAGCTTCGTCGTACAGCATCTTCTGCCTTAGAACACAACCCAGATTCGTAAGTGCTGTCTTTACTTGCTCCTCGTTCAAAAACCTCTTTTCCCTTGCCATATTCAAATGCTTCCAGCAACATGTCTCCGCCTCTTCGTAACGAAACAAACGATAGTAGGCCGCACCTAGGTCGATGTAACATTTGTAGATCTGATCTCTATCTTTCTTGTTTTTCAGGCTCTGTCTTAGATTTTCCTGCAATTTAGCGACTGTTTCGTTAACTTTTTCGAATCCAAAATCTTCTTTCTTGAAGATATCTGCATTTGCCGGAGCCCTGGTCTGTTTAGAAGCGTCTGTTAACGGCAAAGCCATTACTCTTGAGAACTAGCATTCCTTGCTTCAAGACAATGTTTACGGGTACCTGCTTCAATGAATAACGCAAGCCCAGTTGCATATATATTTACATGTTTGGCACCATGCGGCCTCAACGCTGAAAACAATGAACTAAAAAAATTGAAAAATCTAAATAGGCTCTTTTTACTTCCGTAGATTCATATCATTTATCAGTAACCTAGTCTTATTCAAGATAACTCTTAGTATTCCCTTGACTAATGGGCCAAATTCCTCCTGAAAACAACAAATCAGGGCGTGGTCTTGGTGGAAAACGTTAAGACCCCGTTTACACGATACCTCTGGATCCAGATACTTTTGTATCCAATCCCGGAAATGGCAATGCGTTTACACGGGAACGGATCCAGATGAATTTGCGCGCGTGCGCTTTTCGAATATTGGCGCGCATTTGACGTTTTCAGAACTTGAAAACACAGTTCAACCTGAAAATGGAGGGAGGTAACGCTGAAGAGGGTCCCTTCCTATCCTTTGTTTTTCTCACATCATCCGTGTTAATTTTAGATATTCATTTCTGTATATATAAGTATGTTAATTAATAAGTAAGTTCAGTTCAGAGTTCAGTTTCAATCAAGCAACACACTGTCTCTCTCTCTGGCTCCGTGTTCTCTGCACGTAAAATAAGACTCGCTGGGTTTGGAAATAACACATTAGTCGATGGATGGAAATATTACTGACTGCATTGATCGATGTTCCGATGCACACTAAACCTTGAATTGAAAAATATTCTGTCTCACTTTCCACAAATAACGTAGACGAATCCGATCTGGACCAGATCCACCCGTTTACATGGGATTCGGTCTAGATCGGATCCATGCCGGATCACCTTTGAAAGCGATCCCAAAAACGTTCGGATATAATATATAAGTATACGGATCCTCCAGTTCCCGTGTAAACGAAGGCCTATCCGTACTCTTTTGGAGGACGGATCCACTCTCGTGTAAACGGGGTTTAAACTCATTTGTTTTCCTTGACTTTCCTGTTCGGGAGATGAACCATGCTCGTCTTCCAGACATGCTCTAGCCCCCGTTTCAGGGTTTTCATTGTCATTATTACTCGAAGCCCTGGCGGTAAGTTCAAGAGAAAAACGGACAAGTATACTCCTTCCTCTACCGCCCTCTGCCTCTTTCTTGTGTATATCAAACGAGGCTCTGCTACCTAGGTTATGCTCTCATCACTTTTATGAAGTTTACGCAATTTACAATTTTCAAGGAAGTTTTTATTGCCTTTGTTTACCTTTTTAAAAAACAGAGAAACTTTTTCGCTACCATATTTGAACTTAAAAAAGGTCCATCTCGTGTTGATTTTAATGTTAACGTGTCCCACGTTCTTTATAACGTATGATTACCTTAGCTTTGCCCAAAGGCACGTGTTTCATTTTCAGCACTTTATGGGATAAGCTTTTCGTAAATCACACTTAGAGCATGATCTTGTAATTTTTAAAATCTAAACAGGATGTTCGTCAGGCATTTGCATCTTTTGCGACCGTCTCGAAATAGGAATTTCATATGACTTATAAATGCTGAAACTTGATTCTGTTGTACACTCTTTTTTTCATAAGAACCAGTAAATTTAAGTTCAGGCTGACTGTTCTTAATTTTTTTGAAAATCTAAGGTCTGATTGTTCTTAATTTGTTCCTAAAGTTATAGTGCGATTGCTAGCGTGCTAGGGAGTTGTTCAGGCCTCATTTGCCAACAAAGTATGTGAGACAACCTTCATTTGCCGACAAGTTTGAATATGCACCGAAAAAACATGGCTAGAAGTCCTCGTTTGTGAGAAAAACGTTGTTCAAAATTGCATGTTACAGTAGCTAAGCCTCATCTTGTTCTTAATTTGTTTTAATTTTACCAATTTTGAGGCTAATGTTCTTATAAAATTGTTCTTATAAAAAAATGTTACAAATGTGCGCGCAGGTAATATTCACCTCTATTTCTTGTTTAAAGCACTGCTATTTACCTCCCCTTCCCTGGTTAAATTAACAAATTTATTTCTTCTATTTTCTGTTTTTGATTTCTGTATTGATTCCATCTCCCTAATAAAGTTTATAAATCCAAGCAACGAGACTGTGAATAAAGCTCTAGATGTTAGATTTTAGGCCGGAAACTTTTTCCTTCCGATCAATAGCTTTTACGCGCGGTTCATCTGCGTGTGATGGGATGTTTGCTGTCATTTGTTCGCAAAGCAAAGTTGTAGAGTCGTATTACAAATAGACTGATCAGGTGACCAGTGCTGAGAGACTCGAACATAGTCACCAAGGTAACAAGCAAAGCTGGAAGTAACAGGTCTGTTTCAAACAGATTAGAGGACCAGAACCCCAAGAGAAAAGGCCAGAGAGACACAGAATTTTTGTAATTCAGTGACAAAAATGTCGAGTTCTGAAGACGAATCCGATGAAGATGTAGGGCCATATCTTGGAGAATACGAAGGTGACCGAAACGAGTTTGATGAGCGACATGGCAAAGGCAAAACAAAACTTCCCAATGGCGATACATACGAAGGAGATTATGCACATGGAAAAAGACACGGTCAAGGAATTTATAAGTAAGTTAATCGACTTTTCTGTATTTTGGAACATAGGTTCTCAGAATTTGTTCATTTGACTTTGACCAATGCGTTGACCTCTCTATTAAGGTTTGATATTGGATGTTTTTCAATTTGAAACTTGAAGGGTTTGGCGAGTAAAAGCAATATAGGCCTAAAAGGGGTGTTTGATGTTTTTAAAACAGACAGATGATCAATTTCCTTAACCTGGACCAGACTGGTCGCCTGCAATGTATTCCATTCATGAATTGTGGGACATATTGTCCAAGGCTTGGTGTGGCTTGGCCTTGAAGGGCATGGTTTGCCTTTGCCCCCTCGGGGATGTAGCTTACCCTAATAAAAGTAGTTTTGATTAAACAGGAACTAAAAATCACTTCACACACAAGATGAATAATAAAACGTTTGTTTCCGATATCTTCAAATGTTGTTGATGCAGCTTTACTTTTCATAGGAAACAATTTTGTTAGAAGCCAGGCTCAATAGGCTCCAAATTTAAGAAAATTTTGCTAGATTATTCTCTGCTTGTAAGAAATTTTATACAGCACATTGTTGATCATCATTGCACCAATTGATGAAGGAGGAATAGTAGGGCCTTGACCAGGGCCGCCGAAAGATTTTGGAGGCCCTGGGGCAAAAAGCAGACGATGAGGTCCCGTGCGAACGAAGCAAGCAGAAAAACTTTGCAACCACGCCTTTTTATATAAGCCTTAATTCGTTTATTCGTTTAAAATGTTTTTCTATTTACAAGCATAATTATGTTAATTTCAATTAATTCCATTTTTTAACAGAATTAATTTTTTTGCGAGCCCCCAACAATTTTCCCCCTGGGGCAATTTTCCCCCTTGCCCACCTCTCGGCGCTGCAGCCCTGGCCTAGACTATTTAATTACAGTGTTGGTCCCTATGTCTGGGTGAATCTGGACTCTAAAATACCAACAATGAGCTATTTGGCAAACAACATGGTACAACAAAGTTGTGAATTAATACTGAGATTAACTATGGCTGTTATCACAGGAATTTGCCGGTGCAGTGAAATGTACTCCAAAATTATCTAACTATTCAAAACGTAGTAACTCACGATCGGACTGTCAAAAACATGATTTTTTCAACAAAGGTCTGTAGATAGCAAGATACAGAATCGATGCCGTCTACTAACAACAAAGAATTGATACTCTTAAATGTCTTTGATGCTCTTAAACGCCCCCCCCCCCTCCCGCTTATCAATTTCTCAAACTTTTTCTTGCTTTCGACCCCCCGTTTTTTTCTGTTTCACATCTGCTCACCAAAGATATACCGGATTTAGATTTTCAGATTCATATCGAATTGGAAGGGCAGTTGCATCCCCCTACCATACCCTCATTGTATCCCCACCTGCAAAGAGCAGTATAACTCCTTGTATCAAAATTCGTTTGCATGTCTACGTCTTCTTAATAAAGCATCTTGAAGAACATTTCTTCAAACGTTTTGCATACGTTCAGTTCTGATTCTGCTTATGTGGTAGAATCTGCTAGAAAATTTGGTCACTGATTCTACTCATGTTAGATGCTTCTAGAATTTGATGTAACCTGGAATTTAGGCATAGTACCTCATCGTTCTAGGTTTAAAAACGGTGGGAAATACGTTGGTGGTTATGCCTATGGAAAGAAGCAAGGAGAAGGAACACTGTATTATCCTGATGGCTCTCGCTATGAAGGGTCGTGGTCAAACAACGCACGTAACGGATATGGGTCCTACTTCTACGTGAACGGAGATATATATGAAGGTGATTGGGTGGACAACAAAAAGGAAGGCCAGGGCATTTATACCTACGCAGCAACAGGTATGCCTCTGTGTATTGACGTATAAACGAATTGCGAAGGGCTATGGCAAAGTTGGGAACGGGTTGATGCTTTGGTTTTGATCAATAATTGTATTTATCGATTTATATTACATGAAGCATAGGGTACAGTGTTCGATGACCATAATTGTCGGGGCTGTAAAAATGTAGCAACTACGTTGACTCGCACAAGTTAGCAAAAAAGCTGTAGAAAATAATTCA